AGACACACGTTATGTTATTGTTCCTTCACTTAATTCGAATGAATATCTGTAATATCTCTGATAACGTACTATAAAAAAGTTATTACATGTAACGTTTGAAAAGTGGTCTTTAAAATTGCATTTTCAATTAACTTTCCATGATTTCTTAATGAGGGAGCTTTAAGATTAATTCTAATTAACATCACTATACGGGGCTCCACCTAAATTCGAACTTAATCTTAAAGTCGTCTCTCAAAATTTCTAAGTCAAGATGAACATGTCATTCATTTGCATCATAGCAAATAAAGTGTGGGTATATATATTAAATTAAGCAAATAGTGAAAGATCAGATTTTTGTCATTTCTTTTTTTTTTCTTTTGTAGATTTTTTCCTTACAACTATTTTGTTGTATTCTGATAATTTAAGTAATATTAAAACATATATAAAAAAAAGTAATATCATAACCTTGACCTGGTCCTCTCGGGCAACCATTGGTTGATGTACTGAGGCGAATAAATAATTAAGAGAACATACATGTTTTCTCTCGTTATCTTGTAGATAATAAAACGAAGAAAGAAATAAAACGAGGTATACTAAGTGAGACTGTATGACATATAAAATCATAACTGTTTAATCTAAATGGATGATTTTCGTTAACAAAAACTCAAAAAGCTTCCCAACATTTATTTTATCTACCTTTTATCTGAACACAAAGAGATTGAACTCGAAACATGAGGAAATGTAACTAAAAAAAAAAAAAGAAGCAAAAAACACTATCCACTTAACCCAGTTGGTTATTGGAAAATTACATGGCGAATTCTTGAACATAAAATCTTTGTTTTAGTACAGGTGTGATTTCACATTAAGTTATTAACTGGAGTTAATTTAATCAAGCTTTTAGTGAAATGATTGCGGCAGCCACAAATCAGCAGTTACGCATCTATTTTTCAATACATGTGTACTTCCCTCGATTATGCATATTTTTTAATCAAGCGTCTATTGAAATGATCTACTCGCTCTGTCCCAAAATTATTGTTAAATTTTAATTTTCTTTTATAGTACAGAATGAACTAAAAATGAAAATTCAAATTGGATAATAATTTTAGAACCGATGGAGTTATAATTTATTTTAAGGTCTCTCATATAGTTGTTGATCAACCTGATCATGATCCAAGTAATAAAAATCGCGAGACTGGGTCAAGAACTCAAGCATCAATAAAATCTAGCTTAGTATTGTAGGCCTCTAAAACTCCGAATAAAATCGGGAAAAAATTTTAAAACAATTATAAGAAGCTCCTTTTGAATTTCAACAATAATTACTAGTTCATTGAACGAAGTTTTCCTCTACATACTAGTGCACTATTTTATCAATCTTTATTCTATCGGGGTATATATATAATATTGGTAAAAATCAATTCTAAAACCATTTATATAATTAGGTTTTGAAAAGTATACAGAGCATTTGAACTTAAAGATTGCTAACCAACATTATGTGTAAGCATATTATTATGAAAGCAATAATTTGCATAATTATTGAAAAGATTTCTTCAAAGGGCAAAATCTAATAATTTTCAAGCTGGGAAAGAAAAAAGAAGAAAACCCGGTCCCTTTTTTTTATTCTTTATGGTTGATTAGCCAAAAAGGGCAAGAATGGTCGGACTGGGGTGCACCCACACAAAGAAGAGTGGTGCAAGTGGAGTTGAGGAGTGTGGGACGCTCGAGCATTTTCCAGCACACAAATGGGACCCCGGTACTGTATATGATCCCGGCCTTTAGCCAACCTCGATTTCAAACGGTTTAATTGTCTTACCAATGACCGTTGTGGGATTAACATAACTTTTCGGCATATATATGTTACAAAATATTCATTCTGTCCTGAAATTATTGTTCGTATTGTATTTTCATTTTTAATATAAATAAAACTAAAAGTAAAAATTTAAATTAAACAATAATTTTGAATAAGAGAAAATACTACTTAGTTTTCTTTTATTGGACGGGTGGACTACTCTTAAGACCCGTGTAATTAATAACGTTTATACATAAATATAAAATGACTGATGGTTACGGAAGGTATCATTTGTAGAGTTACGAAAACAAAATGACAATTTTTATAGAATACCATTAATCGAAATCACTGAGATCAGAGGTATACCCCCCAAAATAATAAAAAAAAACTGTCTTGTTTACAATACAAAATTAACAATAAACATGAAGAAGGGTTGGAGTAAAATTTTCCTATTCCGAATTATCAAAGCAAGTGTAATGTGGTTTGGCAATATACTATTGTTAGTTTATTTGAAGAAGAAAAAGAGAAAAGAAACTTCTGCTATGGCGGGCAAGTTGTAACAAGATTACAAAGCATTGGAGTCAAAATCAGTAATATACTTGGAAGTTGGAAGGTATATGAATATGTAGTCCTTTCTCACTTTTTAAATATTTATTTGAGTTTGTATCCAATGCACCCGGGTATACCGTATACCCCCACTAAACACACGCGTTACACACACTTAATATTTTTCACATTAAATGCTGGTTATCTACCCATTTCATATTGGTTATCCTATGATGTTATCCTGCTTATCCAATATTTCTTTGCTGATTATCCAATGCTCTGTATTGATTATCCAGGACTTTTGTCTCGGTTATCCACCAATGTGCAAAGAATATCCAACCGTTTGTAATGGTTATCTAGGATCTTTGTACCAGTTATCCAACTTGTTACACCTGATTATCCGAATATTTTATAGTGATTATCCAATAAAAAAAAATGCAAGTACAGTCTTTAACCTGATCATCCATGAGTTTATACTTGTTATCCAAAACCTCAATACTGCTTATCCATATGTAACCAATGCCTATCTACCATGTGAACATAACAAAACAAGGATTCAGAGAGGGCTTCCAAAAAAAACATAACAAAAGAAAATATCCATAAGAAAATGGCTATCCAAACGGCATGTTCATTGGGGGGCTTCGCCCCCCATGATAAACTAAACAACTCCCCCGGCTACCAGAATTGCAGGTCACCAAGCTGCTCCAGCTGCGCCGCCCTGCCGAACACGCCAATGTAGCTAAGGTAATCATTTTTTCGTGTGTGTCTAAGGAAAGTGTGTGTGTAAGGAGAGTGTGTTATTGCGTTAAAAGGGGACACAAATTACTTGTATAAATCCCCCGTGATAAACTAAACGACCCAGCTGCGCCGGTGCTCGCGGCTGCGCCGCCTTTCGCGGTTGTGTCGCCCCCATGCCGAACATGGCAAATTTCATAAATAGTATTTAATTGAATGAGGGGAAGTTTGCCAAATGGAAAACAAAAAATGAATGAGAGGTAGCTGGATAACCAGTGTAAAAAATACGGACAAGGATATCCAAGAAAAATATAAAATGAAGAAAATGAAATTTGGCAACTGGTTATCCAGCTGTGTGTAACTGGTTATTCATAATGTGCACACTGGTTATCCACTATGTCTATACTGGTTATCCAACATGTTAATAATGGTTATCCAACTGTGTGTAGTTAGTTATCCATAGTGCCAACACTGGTTGTCCATAGTGTGGAAGGAAAATTTATACATGCCGCGTTTAAAAAAAAAAGAAAAAGAAGGATGAATTATCTAAGCGAATTCACGCTATTCTAAGAGAGTAAAGTACACGTGCAGGGAGGTATACGATGCCCCCGAGTGTACCAGATAATTTGCCATTTATTTAGTATCTAGAAAAGCATAAAAATAATTTAGAAATTCCAATCTCAAAAAACTATTCACACAAACTCAATCCAGGACTATAATAATTTTCAATACGTTACTTGGGCTATCGTTGTGTGCCTTTTTAGCTGTCTTGCTAGAATCGAACACGCTCCTTTCTTTTTTCCGCTTCGGTTACTGGAATCAGATCTCCCCTTTACAACCCAAGGAAACCGGGAAAAGTTCACCCATGTCCAAACTCATCATCTTCTTCCCCTTGTCTCTTATCACCTGAAATAATAAAGTAATATATGTCTCGTTTTTTGTAATGTATCAATTCAGCTTCAGTGGTTAAACATCATAACGTATCAGTCCTTGGACTTAAATATAGTGCTAAAAAACAGTACTAGTGTATTATTGTAATTCATACACAAACATTTGGCATCCTCACACAATAGTAAGCACGATAATAGGTTAAAAAAACACAAATTATATCCTTTAATCTCGAAATAATTATCTAGTTTAAATTTCTATCATACTAGAAATAGAAATTCAAATTGGACAATTACTTCAAGATATGAAGAGTATATTTAGTAAAAATTAGTATGAATATCATATGTGACCGTTTAAATAAATTATTATTTAAGTATCAAAAAAGGGGTAAAAGATTTCTTATACCATAATCATACACCAATTCCTATATCATTACTAAGATTTTGACACATGATTCTAACGAGTTAATTCAATGATCGGTTCGGGACTGAATAAAATTTTTAAAAAAGGAAAGTAATTAAGAAGGAAAATTTGATAAATTTTATATTTATAGAGTAGGAAGTGTTGTAGGATTGTGGTGTACCCGATCCTTAGCTTCGGAAAAAGGGGGGAAAAAATGAAAATTTAGCAGGAAATCTAGCAGCCAAACCCAAGCCAATTGAACGGCAATCCCAATCTCCATTTGGAAAAACAACTAACCGTCTATTTGTCTCCTTGTTCATTCGATCTACTACTTAGAGAAACGCACATATATGATGATGAATGGATACCTCTTCAGTCTTCACTATCATCATCATAGCATCTGCCCATCAAATCCACAACAGTAATTAATCAAAGTGAAATCACTTTATCCCTTTTATTTTGACTATTCTAATCCCACGTGGGCCAACCCCAACTTCCCCACAATTGCAAAATTGAATCCCAAGCTCCAGCTCAAAAAACCATCTACCCCAAAATCCAACGGTCCTGATTCACATCAAATCCCGTAAACCGCGTCCTCCTTTCATGCGGCCCCACCACCGGTTATATATATCCCGTCGTCTCTGCTGTCCGAAATCCATGCACAACCAAATCCTCATTCTCAAGTCATTTCTTAAGTCGATTCTTACTACAAAGTACAAACTAACAAACCATTTTTATTCCAAAAAGTCTCCGGTCATCTTTTTACTTCCGGTGAGAAGAATGGCGTCTCCGACCACTTTCCTTTTCCCTTTCAAAGTCGCTTTAATCGCCACCGGCGCCATTTCCATAGCTTTGGCAGTTAAATTTTCGGTGCCGCTAATAATAGGTTTTTGCTTATACGACGTCCCAATCTTGTGGACCTCTTTTCAGGCATGGCTAAAGCCACCTTACCTCTACTTCATCATCAACGGTATAATCATCATAATCGCCGCAACTTCCAAGTTCAGTAATCAGATTCATCATCCTCAGGTCAACATCCCGGCGACCGGTCAACCACCGGTGCAGTATATCACGATCAGAGCGCCTCCACCGTCGGATGTAGTGGCGTCAGTGGTGTTGACTAGTGAAGCGGCTCCAGCTCCGGCTCCGGCAGCGGTGGAGGTGGGCCAGGTGTATGACTATGTGGCTGAGGAAGATGAGAGTGAAGAAGCTAAAGTTGTTGAACTGAAACCGGTGGTGGTCAACGGGATTAAACAGCTAGGATGGGAAAGAGTTGACTGGGAGGACGGCGACAATGACGACAACGTGGCAAATTGTGGTGCATGGATTGTACCCAAGGCTGATATCGTTCCGACACCGGAGATTAACTTTGAAGACGTGACTCCATTGGAATTTGTATCGCCGCCGGTGAAAGAGAAGCCGTTAGTTTTATCCAGCTTCAGTCATATTCCCAAACCTACCATCACCAACCCGCCTGAAGGTATTACCCGCTCACCCACCAAATTATTCCTATTGATATTATATTTTTTATTCTTAGATTGATAAACATACACGGGTCCTGATCATTTTAATAAAATCATAGTAGATTAAACAAATTACTCTAGATAATTTATTATATGCATTATTATTAGTATCTAAAATCTGTAATAATAGTTTAACTGTTATCAACAGTGACATTTCATCCGACAGAGGGAGAGAATACTATTATGAAAGAGCATAATTATACTTAATTCATTTACTGAGTTAAATTAACAAGCAAAACCTCCAAAATTGAATGTTTGTAGTATTATAGGATGATGATGGTGCTTGTGCATTTTTTGCTTCTACTATTAGCCAAGCTAGATTTTGGGTGACATAACGTTTTAACGTTTACAATAGGGCGATGAAAATATAAGGAAGGAACGTATTTGGACTTCTTGTGATAATTAAATTTTAATACTAAGATTTTTTTTTTCCTTTTTCATTTCGGCTTACCCTCCACGTGTAACTGAAGGCACTAATCCATTTGCTAGCAAGATAAGTTAAACTATAATTGTAGTTACAGCAAGTAATTCATAATTGATGACGTGCATATGATAACATCATCCAAAGCCTTAATAATTTATGTTTTTGGTGTTAATCGTATTGAAAGTAATTTTGTTCTCCCTTTTTATCTAAATTTGAAGGTGGAAGAGCGGTAAGAGTAGTTGGGAGGCGAAGGAAGCAGCAGCAGCAGCAAGCGGAGGAGCACGATACAATGGAGAACACGTGGAAGATGATCACCGAGGGCCGCCGTGTCTTGCCGGTCCCGGTGAAGAGGCAACTCACGAAATCTGACACGTGGGACGGCAATCACGGTGGCGGAGTGGTGGTGAACTCCCTGGACCTGGATCTTCTAGACCTGGCTCCTCCGCCGCGACAAGTGCCGAAATCGGCTACCTTCAGAGACCGCACCAATTACTATGACTCCCTGACGGCGCCGCCGCCGCCGCCGGCCGGTAAGATTAGGAAAGAGCCGTCACTGACTCCGGAGGAGGTAAATCGCCGAGCGGAAGAGTTCATAAGGAAGTTCAACGAGGAGATGAGGTTGCAGAGGCAGGAATCTCTTAACAAGTATATGGAGATGATTAACCGTGGGACCTAGCTAATTTAACTCTATTTTGTCCTTTCCCTTAATAATATTTTCATAGGGAAAGCGGAATTTCTTCAAGTAAGAGTACAAAAGAAGAAAAAAAAAATGGTTTGCCAATAGATAGATAGATTAGGAGTCTTTTTTGCTGACTTTTCCCCCCCACATATTTTAGTAGTGGGGAATTAGGTTGATGAGTTAATTAGATGGAGTGGTGGATAGACGAAAATAGGGTTTGTTTATTGTAAATGATCATACAAAAAAGATGGAATGGAATACTAATGTCAGTGTATAATTGTAATTATGAAAGATTTTCGCACTAATTTCAATATTTCAATTCTATATCGATACAATTTCCGAGTGGAATATAAACTGAATTTTTGGTGTGTAAAGTTCAGAAACACTTCTTAATCTGACGATTAAAGGCACAGAAACACTGTTGACTTGAAACTGCATGATTCTTAGTAACCAAGATTATGTAATGCATTTGGACAGTAATCTTATTTTCAACTCTTTTTTTGTATTTTAAGAATATAAACGGAAACCAGAACCTTATTTATTGACAATAGCATTGATATATTGTTTATATATCCTTACTTTATTATCGCACCTGGAAACAATTTTAGAATAAAAATTACAGTACAATACTAGAAACAAATTTTTTTTTTTCCTAAATAACGAAAAAGTAACACAATCAAGAGAACATATTCTTGTGGCGAAATGAGTTGGGTTGCAAAAAAAAGGGGCCTGAAATGGTAATTAATTGCATAACCTCATGGGAATTTGGTTCTGAAAATTACAACTCAGTTGCGCAAAAGATGTTTTCGGGGGAACTTGGGAGACAAGAGTGGACCACTCAAGAAAACCCATTTTTGAACAGAAGCATGGAATGGGCCCAATCTCTTGAAATGTTGATTTCAAAAAAAAAAAAAATTTAAAGAAAAATAAAAAGAATAAAGAAACCAGCCCTAGAACAATACAAAATCAAGAAACTTCTTATTACCCTAAAAAAAAGCTAATTTTTTTATTATAAATTCAAGAGCGAATAGAAATACTTGAAGGGACGATGGGTTGAGAGTGACGACTGATGAGAGAATGTGGATTGTAGTTTCGATGGCCTAAACTCAAATTTTGTTGGTTACAAATAATGAATTTATTTACTCAGAAAAAATCATTTCATTTTTTTTTTCAAAAAAAAAAATAAAATTAAAGTGACCCTTTAATAAAAAATATTTCTTTCTATTTTCGTAATATAATAGTCATAGATCATTGAATTATTAATTTCAATAGATAAGGATATATTGATTTAGAACTTAAGGAACTAACAAATTTTTATACGAGGAAAAGGAGTAGGAATACATCCATTTCCCTAAAAAGAATGTTATATTTTTCAAAATTAAAATGATACGATTAATATTACTACTTCCGCCCAAAAAAATTGTACACATTGAGTTTTGAAATTTGTACTAGTTTAGTACGAATTTGAAAATTTAATGTGGACTATTTTTTTGGAACAGTGGGAGTAATATTGATTATGTTTTTGGGTTAATTGATCTGCATATATGGGTTTGGGAATTAATGAAGTAGTAGAGTGGATTAGTGTGTGTTGTTTTAATTGCCGACAGTCCGCCCCGGGAGACCGTGACGGTCGGTAGTGCTAAATCGGCCATGCCATGCATTTTTTTGCTGGTGGCATTGACACTACTAGTTAAAGCCCACACGCGTCCACTTCTCCCACATTTTACATCCACCGAAATCAGTATATAATAAAACCCCATTTAAACTCTCAACATATGGAAGAAGTGGAACAATGCACATTTATATTGGTTCTGCAACTGAAACTTGATAATCATATTGCACCTCACCTTTAGTGGATGAAATTCAGTGTAAGGTTCAGTTGAGCTAGACGGTTGAATTTTCTACTTGTAATTAAGAGCCATTGGCATTTTCATACATATATGCATCGTGTGTTGGTCCATTTCTGAGGCCAGTTGCACCACAAAAAAAAAAATTGCTTAGATATCTTTTTAGAATTAATTATCTAGTTTATATTTTCAATTTTAATTTAAAATACAATAAAAATAAAAATTTAAATCGGACAGTTGTTTCTGTACGGAGAGAGTAGTTAATTTTCTGTTGACACTTAAGTATAGACCATGTACCGGAAGTTCAAGCGAAAGACTACTAGTGACTATGTGAAATTTTTTTTCCTCAAATAATCATGTTGCATTAAGATTAACAACTGCATGCAGACATGTACCGGCTTGAAAATGGAAAGGTTTAGGAATCAAGGTCTTTCAAATGTTCTTCTGAAGTTGAACTTAATAAGCCTAGTCTTATTATTTCTTAATTGAAGAGTAACGATGGAGACAGTGATGGTAATATTATGATTTTTTAAAGTTACGAGAGAAAAGGTGAAGTGAAGGAACTTTTGTATCATAGGAGCATGTTGCAAAAGATCGAATATTTTGATGATCAGTTGTAGTATTTCTAGCAATTTTTAAGTTACATCCTAATGTTAGTGACAACTTTTCTAGCTTCTGGAACTTCGTAACACTGATAGTTTAGAGGGAAACAATTGAGTATCGTCAAATCATGATTAGTACGAGTGTTTATTAATTAGATGAGGCAATTTTGCTGAGGGAATTAACAAGAAACAATGTCATGTTGCATGTTTTTGCATACAACGAGGTTTAATATCATGAATGTTGGGGATTTATCTCCACCTTACTTATTAACTGATTCTCATGTCCTCATGCCTTCAATGTGGGATTCACAATCTTTGTCATGTGTCCTCATGCTTCCAATGTGGGATTCACTTTTTGCATACAACGAGGTTTAATATCATCAATGTTGGGGATTTATCTCCACCTTACTTATTAACTGATTCCCATGTCCTCATGCCTTCAATGTGGGATTCACAATCCTTGTCATGTGTCCTCATGCTTCCAATGTGGGATTCACAACCCTGATTCCCATGTCCTCATGCCTTCAATGTGGGATTCACAATCCTTGTCATGTGTCCTCATGCTTCCAATGTGGGATTCATGCCTTCAATGTGGGATTCACAATCCTTGTTATGTGTCCTCATGCTTCCAATGTGGGATTCACAACCCTTGTCATATGACCCTCAACATTCTCCTCCGCCATAGGCAATCTCCACATCGGGCTTCTAAATTAACTTAACAAGCCCAAATATGTACTCCACCTGAGTAACTGAGCCGCCCATTCCTACATCTCCTCTCGTAGTGGGCCTTTGACTGCCTGGGTTCAGTCAAATCAACCGAAATAGTTTGGGCTAAATCACCCACCCAACTGGCTCAACCTGGCTTCTGATACCATTGTTGTTGGGATTTTTCTTCCCTAGCCCAATACTCCTCAAGCCCAATACATAAGCCCAAATGAGGTTTCACTTTAAAACCAATTGGTAATAGAGGGAGTAACCCAGTAGACTTATAAACTGAGCTTGGAACTCTCCCGTCACCGATGTGGGATTGGGTTTGCACACCCAACAAACCTCCCCTCAAACACAAGACCACACTTAGACCCACACTTGGGCCTTCCTTTCAACAATATTCCAACTTGTACCGCTGCTATCACCCGCGAAACACGCCCCCTGACCTACCATTTTCAGGAAGACTTTCGACACAAGGCCCACGACTAGGCACCGGCTCCACTCCTCGAGCCCACAAGTCGTTGCAAGGTCAAACTGGGAGAACACCACGCTATCCGCATATCTACTGGGAGTCGTTGCAAGGTCAAACTGGGAGAACACCACGCTATCCGCATATCTACTGGGCTAGAACCGTGGCTCTGATACCAATTGTTGGGCTCTTTCTTCCCTGGCCCAATACTCCTCAAGTCCAATACGTAAGCCCTAATGAGGTTCCACTCTAAAACCAATTGGTAATAGAGGGAGTAACCCACCAGACTTATATATTGAGTTTGGAATTCTCCCATCACCAATGTGGGATTGGGTTTGCCCACCCAACAATCAAATATGTATTGATCTGCAGGGAATTAAGTTCGATCAACAGGACAGCAAAATTAATATATATGTTTCTTTGAAAGGATACAATAATTGTAGCATTGCAAACAGGTGGATGAATTATTTCAGTACAAGTACCCCAACTCTTTCAGGGATCGATCTATATGATCAATATTTTAAAGAATCACAGATAAAGATGGCTCTTTTTTGATTATATCATATAGACATTAATATCCGGCGTCCTGGTGACCATACAAATTAATCTTCAAGCTTTGCTGCCTGGAAAAAAATACATGTGCATTTGGGGTCACTCTGATAGCATGTTTTTGGAGTGTAAAACCACAAAAATTAGTCTGATATGTAGACTCTGGGAAATCGTGCGACATACCCGATTGCTCTGCTATATAGTATTTTTTTCTTTTTCCAATTCCTGATGTAAACCCTAATTAAGTGTGTGTCGTGTAAACGTTTAGTCAAATCGACAAGGCATGCTAGTTCTTGAATTGCATGAAATGTGCACGTCATATATATATATATGCCCTCATTAATTCTCATGAGTTAAAACATGGATCATGATTGAAACCGAGTCCAAGTGTCTCTACCAGCACAAAACATGGGCTCCGATTCCGAATAGCACGATTGCAACTGCACCTTATGCACTGAATTGAGTTGTTCGTCGAGATGTATAACTCGATGACAAAGTCGACGAGTAAATTTTAACATTAAAAACTACTTTGTCAACTTTTTCATCGAGATTTGTAACTAATGTCAAAGTCGACGAGTAAAATATAATTTTAAAAACTATATCGTCAACTTGTTCATCGAGATTTATAACTCCATGACAAAGTCGAATACAATTTTAAAAGTTATCTCGTCGACTTGTTCGTCGAGATTTTAAACTCAATGACAAAGTCGACGGGTAAAATTTGAATGTAAAAACTATCTCGTCGACTTGCCTGTCGAGATTTATAACTCAATGACAAAGTCAATGAATAAGATTTAATTTTTAAGGGAATGAAGTGTTGGTTCAGTGGTTCAATCTCTCACTCCAACAAGAGTGAGGAATGGTTCTATCCTTACCCATTAACACCTCTAGAGAGCTTGCCACCCATACATGAACTTCTGATTTTGCCTCCGGTCTTGTCACCCCAGACTTACCTATGCCGGTTTACCTCCCACTATAGTTTACAGACTATTGATGTAGGCTTGGGTTTATCCATCTCTAGTGGGAATTCCGACATTACTAAAAAATAAAAAATAAAAAACTATTGTGTCGACTTATTCGTCGTAATGTTTAACTCGATGACAGAGTCGACGTATGATTAATGCTGAAAACTATTTCGTCGAGATTTATAACTCGATAAAAAAGCCGACGATTAAAATTCAATTTTAAAAACTATTTCGTCAATTTGTTCGTCGACATGTATAAGTCGCTGACAAAGTCGACGAGTAAAATTTCTCTGAAAATTGTGGTCGACTGTTTTGTACTTCTGTATAAGAGGACGACAAATTCAGCTAATTGGATTTAATTTCGAAAAAATTCTTGCCAATCTTATTGTCGAGATCTATATCCCGATGACAAAGTCGCCAAAAGAACTTTCGTTTTAAAAATAATCTTGTTCCGTACAATTGTATATCCGGATGGCTAAGCCTCCATGCCCCAATTAGATTCTGCCACCATCGATCATCATTACCTTTTCCCCCATTTTTTTGCCTTTTTATTTTCGAATAGTGTAATTATTTATTTTGATGATTTTTTTTTGCAGTTAGGATGAGAAGCTCTAACTTGCATTAACATGAATCATACAACAACTTTGAAGTGTGAGGTGTGAGCATACTTAACACATGATGGACGTAACAAAAGGTGATTTAGAAATTAGTAGTGATGCTAATTAACACCATAGCTTTTCATCTTCCAATAACACGTAAAATATGTGTAAAATGAATTTCATTTATCTAATTAAGTTCCCAACAATATTTAGAGATCAAAATTAGAAGGAAATGGTTAAGAAAAAAGATTGACCAATTTAATCTATGCCTTCCCCGGTTATATAGTGTTAGCAAAGAGAGGGATTGGCCGATTAACTTTAACTCGACCACTTCACAGGAGATCAAGATTTATATTTGCGCCAATTCATTTGTTTATATAATTATGTCCCGCGGTGAAACAATAGGTGATATGCTTATGAAAGCTTGAGGACACATGTGCATGTTGTTAATTTAATAATGCATAGTATCGATTATTGAAACGACATGTTTCATCGACGGGACATAATTAACTGGCACACAAAAGTTGAGATAGAAGATCGATCATCTCCCTATTATTCCATGTCTCTATTGGATTCGGCAACGAAAAGAGGAATAATGATCATGAAAACCAGGAAAACAGCCAGCACCAAACCGATTGTAGCCCTCCTCTTGGCTTCCCCATCATAATCCATTTGTTGATCTTGCAACTGAGCCGCCCCGGCTGGTTTCAAAAACGAATTCCCACGAACCATTTGATGATCCCCATTTCCATTCCCAGTGCCATTCCCATTCCCATTCCCGTTGGCGGATTTGTGAGCCTGTGTCTCAACAAGTGAAGTCATATCCAAAAACATCTGATGAAGTTCAACCAAATTCCTCTGCATATTCTTAGACCCTTCTCGTCTCTCATGAATCTCATCCACAAAATCAACCACCCGATCCCTCCCGTGTTCCTGAATCGCGTCGCTTAAACTGTCCTCGAGTTCTCCATTCGCCGCCAGATTCTCAATCGTCTCGATGAATTTCTTCTCTCCAGCAATGCAGAAATATCTGTTTTCCACAGTTTCTTTGTAAACAGCTGCGAGTCTAACTCTTAGCCCTTGAAACTCATCCATCACTTCCCTCAGCTTTTTGCCAATCCCCATAATCAGAGAAATCCGGGTTCTTTCAATGGATGGCCCTGTAGCCGAAGAAAGCCTCCTTTCAGGCGGATTGTTATTGTTGTTATTATTGTTTAACAATCTGTCTAACCCTTCAATCCTGTGGATGATGTTTTTGGCAAGCTTCAAAACCTGATCGAGATCGGTTTCCATGTCGAATTTCAGCTCCCTCATTTTGGAAGCACGCTGGATTGTTCTGGCTTGTTCATTGCTATCATTGAGTTTTTTCCTGAGTTTCTCAATGGTTTTCAAATCTTCTTTGCTCAGGTCAATTTCATGGGTGAAATGATCCAGATGGGTTGCATCATTTGCAATCCTCCTTCCAGCTTCTAACTCGTCGTCCTGATTCTTCATATCTGTATACCTTTTGAATGATCCAGCTGACGAAAACATAGCTGGAATTTTAATTATAACAAATTTGGACAAAATATTGTTTTTTTTTTTCTGTTTTTTCAAATAAAATTAATTCTTCTATTGAAGATTTGTTATACAAATCTCTATTCCATTGTTGTTTTCTTACAAGAGGTCCATCTTCCTCTTCATCAAACGTTGTTGTCTGATGAAGGAGGAAGAGAATTTTTTTTTCGAGAAATTGTTAAATATCAAACAATTAATCAAATCAACAAAAGGGTTTAAGCCATTATATTTAATATACGAATGGGGGAAATTTGGTTGTCAAAAAGGGAAGAAACATAATTTCCAGTCATCAAAAGAGTTTCAAACAATTTCGTCGAAAAGCCGTTCATTCCAGCTGTTTTTAGGGTTTTTGCTGGCACATTTTGTATCATTAGTTTACCTGGATTCAAGGACTAGGCGCGCATTTAGCTCCTAAAATAGGATCAACTAAACTAATTTAAAATACCTAAATTAGGCGCGCATAATCTAGTTTGGATTTTCATTTTCAGTACTAATTAAATTAAAAATCAAAATCTAAATTGGACAATATTTTTGGACACAGGGAGTGTAATTAAATTCCTTATATGAGTTAGTGTTAATTATATTTTGGGAGCGGCTAGAGTTCCATTACGAGACGCTTCCTTAATTAACCGTATAATCAACTAAATTAATTAACAACTGTAGGATTAAAACGAAAGTGTATCATAATAAAATAGACCCAACTCCATTTGATGATAGAAAAGAAACCTGCTACCTAAGTCACCGATTAGAAGGGTGAGAAAAAAAAAATCGCCCCATTACCTAATAACATTATAAGACATTTGCAATTAGGTTGGAACCGGGGATTGGCGCTGGCGGACTGGAAAATTGGGGTGATTTATGATACGAGCTTAAACAATACTGACATTGCTGCGGAGAACTGTGACCTCCAAGCACGTTAATCCACCATATAGGGGGTGATGTACCACTGCAGTTGACAATAAATGGCTTCATGACATCAAGGAATTCACTGGGTTTTTTTTTTTAAAAAAAAAAAAGGGGGGGAGTAATAATTGATATGAATTTTCAATACCTTTTAATTCTAACATTACAAGTTGATTAAATAGAAACTAAAAAACAAACATATCTGTTCTTGAGGGCCTTCAGGATGCTACTGGTTGACGCTTTCAAATTTTTTTGAAGTTATCTTCGGTTTTGTTTTTTGGTTTCTTTGCAGAAGATATGCTTTACAACATGCTTTGATCAAAGCATTTTACATGTTTACAGCAAATTCCATGCTCTTTTACACAGTCACCTTGCTTGTTCCCATGTTCCCTTGATACACCATTTACATATTTTTCACGGTAACAATCCCATTCCCATGCCACACATTATTCACTGTCAATCTTTGCTGGTTCCTCTTTTTCTTTTGGAGATACTCTTGTTTGCTCAATCATGGAGTTGGGAACTTCAATCTCTCCCCTCAAGCTCTTTCCTCATCAACTGTCTGTCCAAAACGAGCTAGATAGAAGATGAATGATAACCAGTGTTTTTTGTATTCCCATCTCAGTAGATCGCTTACTCTTCTAAGCAAACAAAGTGGACAAATTGCAGTAATTTTCACCACCACAAAACTAGCAGAAGAGGGTGGAAGAGATTTGGTGTATTCCGCGGTCTTAATAAACTCGTTCATATTCCCATCACAAGATTTATTATCCGTCGCATGTTCCAACCCACAAAACCAGCCTCTTTCAAATCTTCACCGGCGCGGAAATGATCGTAAGAATTATGCTTAATATCTCACAGGATCACCGGTTTGATCACCGGCGTTTCCACCAGCCTGAATTCACTAGTTCTTATTCCAAGTTTCAGATCAATCTCACTGTCTCCCAACCAAAAGAAATCAGGATTAAGCTTCACAATTGCTTCATCTAAAATCACCCGTATTTCTGTTTTCATGCCTACAAATCACCGGTATTTATGTTTTCTGCAGTATCCAGGTCAACGCAGTTTTATATATATTTATTTATTTTTTTTAATGAAAACTAGTTTTGGATATGTCAGCAAATTACGTACCACATAACCACATTTTATACTCTCAATTCTGATTGGTTAAGGAAAAAGCGAAAGACGATTCTGTAAAAATGGGCACTTGAGCTCTTGATTTTTCCTTAAATTCCTTATGTGAGAAAGTGTTATAAGAATGTGGATTTGCCGAAGTGACAATAATTAGGAGTAGAAGGTGGGCCTGGTACATTTTTGGCCTACAAAAGGAGTAAGTCAAAAGTTCATAACTGGGCTTATTACACTTATAGTTATCTTATAATCCAAATTTGATAGCGCATGGGCCTGATAAACCAACATGGAGATGGTCAAAATCGGGCAAATTCACAACCACTTCTGCCTATCAGATATTCAATCAACAGAATTGGAAAGCAATGGACAAGCATTAGGATTAAATATAGGGGTGGGAGGGATCGGAAAAGATCAAACTCTTCCTTTGGCAACTATCGAAAGGAATCCTACTTACCAATGCAGAAAGGACCAGGCGACATATGGCGGTTGACAGTACCTGTGGCTTCTGTGGCAGACCGGAGACTCTCTTCCATCTCTTCTATGATTGCCCGAAGATGAAGCAGATCTTGACAACCATAAGGGAGGACCCTCCTCCATCTTTCCCTCAATTCTGTAGGAATGGAAGGATTGGATCTTCACTAATCTTTCACTTTCTTTTTCGCAGGACAACATTCAATAGCCCATATGGTTTGCAACTGCCTGCTGGAAACTATGGAGCTGCCGGAATGACGACACGTTCAACGACAACTATAAATGCTCCAGAACAATCGTGGTCATGATCAAAGCGGCGGCCACCAAAATTGCCAGATCCAGAAAACTTTTTGCACACAAAAACCCATCATCCCATCAAAACCCAAAATCTGTAATATGGGAACCTCCACCATGGAAATGGGTGAGGCTAAACACATACGGGGCATCAAATCTAATAAACAAAGGAGCGGTGGTGGGAGGTTTACTGAGGAACCATGAAGGTCGGTGGATCTCTGGCTTTATAGCCAATTTAAGGGAATGTTCAGCCCTCAAATCGGAACTATGGAGAGCACTCTTTGGGCTACATATTGCCTGGCAATTGGGCTTCCACAAAGTCCAGTTGCAGATGGACAATACAATTGCAACCAAGGCCCTCTAGAACAGAATACGCCCAAGTCAACCTAGTAATATGTATAGCAGAATACTCCCAATACTCTACCAAAACTGGGAGGTTGATATTTTGTATATTAAACGGGAGGAAAATGAAATAGCGGACTCATTAGCAAAGCTGGGCTACTCAGTCCGGAGAGGTTACATATTTTGACAACGCCCCGTTAACAATACATGCAAAACTAGAACTAGAAAGTCCAACCTCCCCTCGAGAGGTTGTTTTGTAATCTAAGCGTTATGCTTCCCCAGTATATATAAAACAAAAAATTTGATAGCATGTATTTCTCATAGAAGTAGTTGAACGACGAATTTTTTACTCATTTTGCAAGTCATATATTACTTGTATTATTGTTATGTAACATTTCCAAGATACCGATCTAAATGGTGTTTTTTTAGAAATTAGAACACAGATGATATATACCTTCGTACTAAACGGATTTTGACTTTTAGCATAATCACATTAGAAATGAAATTCGAATTGAACAATGATTTCAGAACAAAGGAAGTGCAATTTTCTTATATTACTTTCAGTTACATTCACAACCTATATTTTGTTAAGAATTAGAATAGTAAACGAATACATGCCAAAAACTACTTGCTCTTTAACAAATGCTGCCTAGAATCTAAATTAGTCAAATTTATAATAACGAAGTTATATACAATATATCATAATTATTTAAGCGTTGAATAAAAACATCAATACATTCTTGTATAAAACAATAGTGGCCGAAGGACCATTACTCTGGAATGCATGATTGATGAATGATGCTAGATTGAAGGAAAAAATGGCGTTTATATCCAAAGCTTTAGCCTCGTTGTCAATCATACCCTAATGATTTTCAGTTAGTTAATTTTGTCTTTACAATTTGAAAATTTTACCGATTCCGTCCAATTAGCTCAATTTCCATTAAAGTTAACGGATTTTCGTTAGATTTTAAATGAAACACCTTCATAATTAATCTTTGGATTATTGGATCCTAGTCATTCCCACCAACTTGACTGTGTTCTATTATTGTGGTCTTTCAACTGGGTGGAGAACGTGGGAATCTATTTGTTGATTTTATGATCAATGTTGACCATTACACACCACTTGATTTATTAACAAAAATAATAATAAATTACACATAACAATGATGAAACACCTATACATTTAAAATGCAATATCATCCAATTATCTGGAAAACTAACTCTACAATAATCTTAGAAACCTTCTATCCATCATGCAAATGGGGAGCCAGTTAGTACTAGAAGCAGTATATATGCACTATGAAGTTTCCTTGATGATTGAGGTTTTAAAACATCTAGGGATTTTCTGTAACTAAAAATTCCTTTTTGAGTTTATGACCGATTCTCGTTGATTTCCAGGAAATTATTCTTTGCTTATGTGACAAATATATGTATCCCACTACGAGTAAATCATTCAACGCAATCCCACATCACCATATATATAATATAAAATTTTAAGGGAGTCCATAATTTTAGCGAGAGTTGATTAAAATTTGAAAGAGTAAACATATAATTAATTAATTATAATATTATTGGTTTGTTGTACTAAAAAGTAGGATACAAGTGCATAGAATATTTTCTCACAACAACTTGCTAATTAATGAAGAAGTGCACTAACATTAATTCTATCAAATCCAAATCTCAAAGGGCACTGTCATCTAATCAAACTCAGGGCTGGCATTCCTATAAAGTCAATGAAACAATAGATTTAGGTCTCCATTTTGGGAAGAACCCAAAATTTTAAAAACATAATATTATCATATTACCTAAAAAACAAATTAAAATAAAGAAATTATGCTATAGTTCATAAATAGAACAAAAAAACTACAAATTTTCAATCCCAATTCAAACTCCGCAAATTTCGAGTTCCTTTTTTTTCAAATCTTCTTAATATTTTTAGTTATATCCAACAAATCAATTTTCCTATTTAAAAATAAATAAATAAATAAAGAACTTCTCAATTTTTATAAATCACAATCACTAGCAATCTATCCAACTACCAAAAGAATTGCTCAATGATTTGTAATGTTTTTCAATAAATTATTCTAAAAATATCAAAAAATTGCTCACTATATTCACTCAATTATAATTTCAAATTTTATTATATGACATCATAAATTAAACTTAAGTAATATTTCTATAACTTTTTTGTTAGGTTTCGTGAAAAAAATAAATGATCAACTCTTTGCACTAGGGGTACACGTGAATTGAGCGAACAGTATTGTATATCCATATAAAATTTTAATATTTGTAAATTTGCAAGTACATTACGTGATACGGAAGACTAGAGTCAAACTTTCATTCGGTCAATTCACGTGCAGTTTACATGAAAAAAAAAGTGAATGAAAATACTGTTTAAGTTTGCGGTGCCATATAGTAACATCTAAAAATACTAGTTTTGAAGAATATATCAAGCAATTTTTTTTGTGCGTTTTAAGTAATTTATTATATATATTTTTTAGTTTTTCAATATTTAAAAGACCCCAATTCCGTATTTGCTTCAGGCCTCCGAAAATATTAAGCCACCCCTGAATCAAATATAATATCTCCAAATTTATAATTAGGCATCCTCAAACGTGGAAACGTCCGCGTGAAGTGTTGTGAGAAAATTTTCAAAAGACTCAGAAACTGCTCCCACTTGAACAATGTTTATTGAGGATTCCAAAAATTAAAGTTATTTCACCAAAATACAATAAAACAATAAAGCTAATCCAAAAGAGGAGAAAAAAAAAAACTTGATGGAAATAATGGAAATTAGCACGAACCAGATCAGGTTTCTTACAGTACACATGCACTATCATATCTTGATAATATGCTGGTAAGAGGTGGCTGACACGATCATCCTCAATATGAAATTTTGCATTGCAATCATAGTCCTGAAACAACCAAGACATGGATATGCTAACAGATTCAGGTCATTATTATATTATTAAATAAAAAACAATGTTTGAAGACGATCATACTTGCTGAGGCTGAGAATGAGAAAAACTCAGAAGGAACAATATATGAACAAATGTTTGACATGTGACAAAAAAGTCTATGAACTATTTAATTGAGCGACATGTATGTCGATTAAAAACTCTCTTTTAATATATAGTATAGATTTGGAGTTCCCGCAACACCTTTAAAACCAGGTTGTTACTAGTGAACTTGTTGTGCCCAAAACAAAAGCTTATCCGTAATCTTATTCTTTCCATACCCATAAGGAAGAGTTCTAGGGTTCGACTGCATTAATGATCCAGCCATACTGATACTCCTGTGATGGTCACTGCAGGTATGCCCTTGTTTTGATTGCAATGTACAACGTCTGGGATTTTATATCAACATACATCCCATTAATTAACTGCAACCAGATAAGATTACGAAAGGGCCTCATCTTTCCTACATTTGCTTGTTTCTTGCTCATCCCCCGTTTCTATTTCACTGCAAAATACGGTGATCAAGGGTGGATGATATTTCTCGTTTCCTTCTAGGAGTAACCAACGATTATCTAACTGTTTGTGTAATGGTTGCAACTCCAGAAGGTTACAAGGTCAGTACAAATCCCAAGTGGTACATTTCATCCATCATCGTCTCAATAAAATGAAAGAGCCTAATTCATGTGTTGTGTTGTAGGGGTCGGAGCAAAATGCATTAGGGAACTTGTTAGTAGAGTTTTGCTTGGTGGCATATTTTCTGGAGTGACTCTTAATTGGTTATGGACTATTGGAAATGGAACCTTTTAGGGAGGAAGACTACATTCAGATGCTAGCTGACTTCAAAAAGATCAGTATTGTTTTTGGAATTGTAGCAAACAATATTTACTCGCTTTAGGAAAATTATATCTTTATAGGTTTTCACCAAATGTTACCCGCACGATGTGTGGTGTTTATTCATATGCATTTATTAAAAAAAAGAGCATATATGAATAAAACTAAATAATGCTATCAATATAACAAATAAATATTATACGTCATAGCAAAAATAAAAGTATTTTATATTTATATATAGAAAAAACATTAACATTAGTAATATTTTAAAGACCACTACAAAATGAAGTATGAAAAATAGTAAAGAAAGTTGCAAAGATTAAAGTATTATACAGTTATTTTGTTAAATTCATATATATTATTATTGTCATTAAGTTTTATTACAAACAATTATGATAAAGACATGGACCGTCGTGTGAAGAATCATATTTTTTCTTTTTCAAATAAAATCTCATATTTGCAAATATTTAGATGAAAAATTTCAGAGGCTAATCTCATATTTACATCTGAATGTAATGCTTACCAGAGGCTTGCATACATTACACACCCGAACTAATTCTTATTATAAAAGCTGTCTTAATTTTTTAAAATTGTATAAAGATATATGCAATAAATAAATATATATATATATATATATGTACGTGGTTTGATGATCATTTCTCTTTCTTTTGGTTTCCCCTTCATCAAACTCTGTTTTATTGTGGTAAATAATATATATATTACTTTAAACACGACATTGCCATTAAAAAAATTAACAACCAAGAATACAAATTAGACAATTAATGTTACAAATTTTTTTTGGCCATACCTTTATAAGATAAAATTCAAGAGACCGTTAAAGTCTCCATCTGCGTAGGCTTCTTTCTGAAGTGAAATTCTTCTCTCATGTGCATCGTTTATAGTAGAGCTTGTAATTAATATTCACTTCCCCAAAATCATTGTCCATTTTAAATTATTTCTTTTAGTACAATTTGAACTAAAAAAAATCTTAAAATGAACAATCATTTCGGAATGAAGCAAGTACATAAAACTCAAATTTGTAACTTTTTCGGCAGTGAACATACTTTTTTTTGGCTTTTTTTGGACATAGGTAGATTTGTAACAATGGCTTAGAACATAGTACTTCTATAGGCTCTAGACTAATAAATGATAAATACTCCCTCCGTCCCATAATTATTGTCGAGTTTGAGTTTTTATTTTCAGTTTAAACTGTACTAAAAGTGAAATTTCAAACTGGATAATAATTTTGGGATAGAGGGAATAATATTTTATCAGTCCCAAAATTATTATCTAGTCTAGATTTTTATGATTATACAAAACTACAAATTGCCAGTTCTTCTCAATTCTTATTTTGTCCTAATCCCACACGAGAACCCCAGACCCTTCCCAAACGGCCAAACCTCCGTTGTCCACCGGTTCCCTCTCGTCGCCGGTTCTCCCACCCGGCCCCCGGTCAGATTTGCAGGTCAGTTTACTACTACTGAATTTAGTCAACTGCGTCGCTAATTTGTTTCTGTTTTGATTTATCTGCTTTTTTTTTTTTTTTTCTTTTGTCATCGATACATTTCGAGTCCTTTTATGATGATATATTTTTTCGTTTTTTTGGGTTCTTATGAAAGGACGTGCTGTATATTGGAGATCATAAGCACGAGTGCGATTGCAACTTTTACAAGTTTGTTTGAATTAATTTTCCATCTTGAAAGTTTATAAAATTTACTCCAGAAAAATGGATCTAAGAGGTGTTTAAATTCAAAACAGGAGTTCCCCAGGTTGCTTAACAATGGAGTAATTTGTGTGATGAACAATTAGGTAGCAGTATAAAAGAAAAAAGGTGCATTTGTGGGTAATTGATTGAGATTGATGTCTGTTTTGAATTTGGTTTTTAATTTTATATTCAGTGGACATGCTTTGGCAATTTGGCATTGTCCAAGTTGATAATCGTATATCATTTAAATGGAAACTTCACTTAAAGAATGTTGTCTAATTTGACGGCTTTAGATTCAATGGAAGCTTAGTGAATTTCAAATGCCATTGAAAGTTAGGGATTCTCCCGCTTTTATTGATGTTCATCTAATTAAAACTCAAGAGCCAAGTCTATAAAAACTAGATTGAAATGAAGAATAAATAAAGAGAATTCAGATTTTGGGAAGCTTTTGCCTATGTCCGAAGTGCAATTCGCCATAATTGTCTATGCTAATTTGAGGTTGTTAACTGTAGGATTTGAGGATTTAAAAAGATGCTAATTGTTTATTTTTTAAGATTATACATATAAGGGTATCTTTCAATGAGTTTCAAGTAGTATTATGTGGGTTATGTTTAACACCACCAAGGTCAAAATGGGTCAATTTTCCAAATTGGACCAACTGCCGTTTGTAATTTTTAATTTTTCCAAACAAAATTGGACCAAAATATAAACTCCAGTGAACTATTTTTCTTTGTGATACCGCAGCCCACCGGATTCCTCCCTGCCCGACCGATCTTTTTCAGCACACCACCATCCTGATGGACGATATCTCAAGCGAAGAAGATGACACCACCTCCACCGAAGAAGAAGAGGAAGATGTCGACGAAGAAGCATCTCGGAGGGATACAATGAAATGCGTTTCCTGTAAGGAAGATTATGGATCGTGTGACGCCGGCACTTGCAGAGAGTGTTATGAAGAGGCTAGCGAGACTGAGGAGGAGCTCAAGCGAGAGATTGAAGAGTTGAAGTCTAAAATAAACTTCCTCCGCTTCTCTTTGGGTTCCCCTCCCCGTTCTCACTCATCTCCTCCTTTCTCCGACGTCGTATTAGTGGCCTCCGATGATAGTTTTACTTCGAGTCAGCCTGTGTTGGTACCCGCCCACCGTGCTGTTCTGGTCAGTCCGTGTGTCCCTACTGAAAAAAATGCAACTAGGGCACTTTTTTTTCAGTTCATCTTGATTGCTAATATACTTATGTGAAACTTTAGATGATTGATTACTACTGATAGTTTTTAAGTAGTTGCTCCTGCTATTTGTTATATGGTGTAATGATTTAGCTTTATGAATTGTGGGGTTTGATTTTCCTATTGGGTGATGGATTTTGAAGTACTTCTCAGAGACGTCTGGACTTAAATTCGGCTTTGTAGATTTACTCCAGGAACATTTTTAGTAGCATTTTATGAGAAGTTTCCTAATTTTCAAAGTTGGGCAAGGGCTGATCACTGAACTGTTCCACTTGGATAATGCCTAATGCGGTGTTACTAGTACTTAGAATTTATAACATCACTGATGTGTTTGGTTTTTTTTGGGCACGTCTTTTAACTTACAATCTTTAGTTTGTCAATTTAACGACAGAGTTTGAGAATGGTGTCCCTACCTCTCTGTTGTACTTGTTTTCGGGTTTTAATTCCTATAGAACATTGCAATTTACCCTCCTTTTAAATAGGATGTGTTTGTATTTTTCCTGTTAAAAGTCTCATTATTTCAGTATTCGTCTTGTAGCGATATTGGTAGAGGATGAACCTGTTAATTAGAAATGACTGACACTATAGTGTACTGGAAAAGAATGTCATCTTGTCCCTTCTTGGTCATTTCATAATAATGTACTTATTCGAATTCTAAGCTGTGAATGTTTCAATTACCTCAGATGTGAAATGATGTCTTTTCTGCACTAGAATGGATCCTATGTTGACTGGCAACTTCTTTTTTGCCACAGGCATGTCGTTCCCCAGTATTCAGAGCTATGCTGGAAAATAAAATGGAGGAAAGCATCAGTGGAACTATTAAAATTGGTGATGTGTCTTATGATGTCCTTCGAATTTTTGTCAACTATTTATACACGGCAGAGGCTTGTCTGGACGAGAATGTGGCTTACGATCTCCTGGTATTGGCTGACAAATACCAAGTCAAGCATTTGAAGACTTATTGTGAGAAGTATTTGATGTCCAACTTGACTTGGGAAAACTCAATCCCAACCTACGCATTTGCTCATCAACACAATGCCAAGACCTTGCTTGACGCCGCCTTGTCGTTGATCATGGATAACATGGACCAACTATCGAGGAGGGCAGAGTATGCTGAACTTGTTGAAAAGGATCCCCGAATGATTGTTGAGATATATGAAACTTATCTATCGAGACAAGTCAATACTGCAGCAATTTCAGATCCCATTAAAAAGCCATAGGTGTTTTCTTGACTTGTGGCTGAACCAATAACAGAATTAACGTAGGAAACTAGATTAGTCATTACAGTAAATCAGCTTCAGTTGTAAATTGCTAATGAGATGGTTACTTTCGCTTCATTTGGTCATTCTTCTCTCTGGTTTTTTGTTGGTCATTCAAGCATGACTGTTTCATAAACAGAGCACTTTTACTTTCTTAATCATAGGCATATCTGTGCCAGAGAATGAAGATTATGAAAAGCAATTTCATCAAAAAAAAAAAAAAAAAAAAGAAGAAGAAAGAAAATAGTTCTTGAAACTCTTCAAAATCCAGCTTTCACTCGAACACCTATAACGATGAGAATATGGCTTCTGGGGGTTGATTAAGCGTCTTGAACTTTCATATTTACAATCTACGAGTTTTGGTACCAATTTTAGAAGTAAAATGTGCAATACAAATTAGTCGTTTAGGAAGGGGAAAACATCATGTTCTTGAACTCTTCGAAATCCAGCTTTCCATCACAATTACTGTCGTAAACTTTAATCATAGTCTCGCAATCCTTGTCACATTTTTCATCCAGCAATCCCAAATTGCACAATGCGTTTTCCAACTCTTCACTGGAGATGAATCCATCACCATTCAAATCAAAGACCTCAAAAGCTTTGAAAAGATCCTTCTCCAAGAGATGATTCTCATTCACCTTTTCTCCTCCTCCTTCAATCACACTCCCGTTAACACTGCTGCTGCTGCTGTTCTTCCTTCCCTTGATGACAATGTCACAGAAAATCGCAAAATCGACACGATCTAGATCCTTTCGCCCCAACAGCAACTCAAGCTCATCCTCAGTAGTTTTTGCACCAATTCTATCAAGAAGCCAAGTTATTTCATCCAAACTCAAGAAACCATCTCCATTCCTGTCAAGCTTGTCGAAAATTTGATGCAAGTTACTAGTGTTTAAGGGAGACATATCGATCACTTTCCCAAAAATAGTAAAGATCAAGAAGGATTTTTTTTTTTTTTTTTTTTGAAGATTGAAAGATTTTTTTTTGTCAACTCAAAGTGCTTATATTTTTCCTGGAGGAAGTTGAGGGTTATATAGAATGAAGGATTAGTTTGTAAAACATCAAGAGGAAAACTGGAAACCTACTTTGTTTGCTTCTACGTACCAACTTAGAATTTCAATCATGAAAATGACCTTTCTTCTGACCTAAAATGCTACTTATGTGGTTGAATATTTACTAATGGGACCAAATTTAACGTCCACAGAAAATGTTGGAATATTCAGACAATATTGAGCATAAAATTAAAAGGTTCTTCCACGAACTTTGGTTTGTAATTTGTTCTTGAAACTTCTTGAATGTTGTAGACCTTTCTTTTGGTCTTCCATCCAATTGAGAGCCTTTTCCGATTACATAAAGAGTTACATTGATTTGTGATTATCCATCAAACGGCACAAAATGTCAAAATCTGTACATAATACATTTTGCACTATGCGAAAATATTATTTGGAAGAATCAATACGTGGCGTGCAACAATTCATAATAAAAAAAAATAAAAATAAAAAAGGGTCGATAAAATGATAGAAATTACTAAATCACAATAATAAAAAAATATCAACGTAAAAAAAAAATGTCAACTTAGAAACAAGAAGTTGATCGTCCAGAAGTACCTGTTTATCTGCAACATCTTCTCTCCTTTATGCCTTCAGAAGTAACAATAACTGATCTTTCGTCTTTTTGTTGGATATCAAACGATTTGTTGGAGGTTTGATTGATCTAAATATGATTAGTATTTTGGACCTTTTTTTTTTTTTTTCTTGAGGTGCCTAGCAGCACCACTAAAAGACTAGAAAGTGAGGATTTTCACCGGCCGGAGGCTTGCATCCTGTAAATTTCACAATGATACTTTTAAATGATTGATAAATCACAGGAATGTCAATTTGTTCCATACCGGCAGAAACAATGGTTTTGGGATCGTATATACGGATAAATCTCTGTTTTTAGCCACATTGTCATTAATTGCATCCTGTATTGTGGCGAACTTCTAACTTCCAACTACATTGTGTATTATATGAAATCCGCAAATAATAGAACCACCTACCTTTTAACAAAGGAAAGAAATCTAGCTTATATACATCGGATAAGAATTCATCTAACATCATGTCCTAACCCTAACCTCCTGATAAATAAATACTTCTACACCAAAACGATTTCCTCTCTCAGTTCGACCGGCAAAATTTTCGGTCAGATAAAGAAAAAAAAAATTAAAAAGAAAAAGAAAGAAAGACAATCTCGATTCTCATCTTCCTAAACACCATAGAGAAGGGAAGATGATCGAGACAAGAATTATTAGCCATGCAGCCACAACACTTTCTACATGATTATATACAAATTGTATTTTTCATGCCAATAGCGGGTTCAAGTTATGAGTTAGCCATGCTTCAGGGAAGGGGGAAAAAACAATTCATGATCAGCGGATTCTATCAATGCTAGCGCTACCTTTGATGAGGAAAGATGGGGTCTGCATCAGTCAGCTTACGGCTGTTATAAAGAGCAATGCTGTTTAAACTCTTCCATACCGCCAAGCATAGTCTACTTGCCCACTAAATTCCCTTCACTACCAGCACCATACAATCTATGCTTAAGCTGTTCTTTTGTCTCTATTTGCAAACCTGACTCACTACCAGAATAAAACCTAGGTGAGACTTCCTCCTCCTTCTCTGGCTGTATATTGAGGTCTATTTCACCTTTATATTGTGAAACAGAAGAGCTCCTCTCTTCAAAATTATCTGGACGATCCTCATCGCTGACACAGACAACTTCCACGGAGTTTTTGGCCTTGCCAGATTTGACAACACTGGCATTGCCAGTAGACACTCCTTCAGGTGGCTGATCATGCTGAGGCATTTCATGGCCGGTATCTGAATCATTCTCCACTTGTTTCTTTTCTCTTTTCAACATCAGGGTGTTAAAACGACGTTGTGTTGACTTGCAGACAATACATGTACAACGTGGCGGATGTTTTCGCCCCTTTCCACGAGGCGGTTGAATGCACACGATGCATGAACAGCCAGGTCCATGTCGTGGGTGTTTTGTGGTCTTGGGCGCTCGAGCGGGTCCTAATTTCTCCTGCACTGCCAAATTAGCAAGTGCATCGAGCCCTTCCAGAGCCTTAACAGATTCAGGATCCTGCTTTGGAGCTTTCATCTTCACAGAAGCAGCTGCGAAGAGTTTTGCATTTGTAAAACAATTAACTGTATACTATAAAGCAACATGCAATAGTCAAATAAGATGACATAGATTTCCATTCAAAAAAGGAAGAGTAACCAATGACAGTTCACACCTGTTCTAACATTTAATAGCACTTCGAGCTTCTCCGATGAAAGTTCTTCAAGTGCTGAACACGAAGATCTGCAAAAGGTCAAAATAAAAGCTCAACAAGTTCAGAATCATAAAAGAGGCAATGGCAATGAGATAATGCAAAGCAAGTAACTTTCCATTTCAAACAATGTTTAGAGTTTTATGGATGTGCAAGTGTGTCAACATAGAATCACAAGAAATACCACAAATATTTATCAGTCCAACAAGAAAAAACTATCAGGTTGAAAGTCAGACATCTTTCATCTATCCAACAAGCATATTTGGTCCAGTTAAAGTTTCATGTATCTGACTTACCTTTCAGGGTCCCACAAATTCGTGGAACATGTCCATTTGGATTGTAGAAGAGCACCGGCTGGCACTTTACGCCACTTACAACAATCTTCACATTGAACCCACTGGACGTTTCTACTGCAACATATGAGCAATTAATTTGCATTTCATAACATACAAGTAGACGCCCTCAGCCCCTCACATAATTTATAAATGCAGTTTGTAATCATGAACAAAAATGAATTACCCCAGATGGTCAGTAGCAGGAATAGTAGGTCTACCAATTACTGGTGCATCCTGCGAAGGCAAACTAGTTAGAAAACCAAACAAATGGATACATACAGAGAACATCACCAGTTTCAAATCAAATTGCGAAGATGCTAACGATACAAGCATTAGTGTTCAACCAAAGATAAAGGAGATCAAATATAATCTATATCGTGCAGAGGACTCGGCAAGAGATAACGATAAACTGAGTTAGAATTGTATCCAAATCTACAGACTGCACTTACATATGCAAAAATACTATGATACTACACTAAATGCTGATTAACCGAGCAACAATTGATTACATCTCATGCATTTATTTGGAATCCTTCAAGTTGCCAATGACTGAAGCAACAACAACATAACCAGTATATTCCCAACTCGGTTGGGGTCTGGGGGGTCAAGATGTACACAGCCTTACCCCTGTATTATACAGAGAGGCTGTTTAAGTAGTACGGCCCAAGATGCATTGGTGCATCGATGTATTGATTTCTGGAAACTTCACCAAAATTAAGAAGCGTCGGAGTTTAAATGACTGAAGCAGAAGAAGAAATAATTTCAGCATATTTTACCTAGCGAGGACCTCTATATTTCTACCAAACAAGAAGAAAATATGAAAGTCTTTGGAATAATGATGAAAAAGGAAAGCCTACGAGCAGCAGTAAAAGCTGTTTCAATGTGAACTTGAGGTCATGGGTGAGCGTGCTCGTACAGAACTTAATGGAAAGGCGACATATGTTAGGCTGGAACTCTCCCCGGACCACACACATCAGAGAGATTACATGCACTGTGCTGTTTCATTATTCTGAATAATCAAAATCAATAAACTCTACGGTTTCCTCAACATCTGTTTCCCAGAACATGCTCGTGCATCTAAGGTGCCCTTTCTCTTTTATGCTTCCCATAAAAAAAACAAGACCGGATTAAGAGAATCTACATTTTCCTTAACCTACTAAAGCAAGGCGGAAAAAAAATCTATTGAACTGTTACAAACAAATACCTCGAATTCTTCAATCTCACAGCCATCTACATTGAGGAGATTTGGAGTTTTATTAGGAGGCGGTCGGAACAACCCTTGAACTTGTTCCCATGTGACCTTCAGCTCCAGCATGTCCTCATTTTCAATCCTAAGGCGCTTACTCTTTAAACCCAAGGTGCAATTTTTCCTCTTCTTATGGACCTGAAGCTTGGGTTCAGAGACTTCTCCGGGTATTGGCCCAGGCATAGCCATTTCAGACAAAGTACTTCCAGACTTGGCTGGAGCAGGGTTGGGCATTCGGAACCCAGAAGATGTATCAACATGAGATTTACTTGACGCAAGTTCAGAAGATTTGATATCCCCATCTGCAGAATGCTCACTAGCAGCATGAACTCCTCCATTTTCCTTAAAATGTAAATAAAGATCAAACAAATCTTCAGTTATGACATACAGGGAAGACAAACAAACATACCAATTAGATACTCAGGAGGCGCAAAACCATAAAATGTGTATTTTCCCACAGCCACGAAGTATTTTCAAATGCCAAGAATAATGCAAGGATCGTGCATGGAATTACCACCATAACCATATTGCGCAAGTTGTTGATTTGCATTAGCAAATTAAGTGGAAGATAAAAAACATTACTAACCTCTATCCTAAAATAATGAGACTATCAAACTGAACATAACCACAAGGCACAAGGTTTAATGGAATTGAACAAACCTGATCTGATGCAGCTGAGGAAACCTTTCTGCAGCCCATGACTAACTTCCCTTCCGGCTCAATTCTACTAAATGTCACTGAGGTATATGATTATCCGCATCAGCAAAATATTCGTCAAAACAAAAAGCACGCGTCAAAATAGAACATTATTATCTTCTTCATTTCTTCATAATTGGCCGTGACATATTTTAATCCTGCCTCTCACCCCCTGATCTGGACCCTTTCCTTTTCTCCTTTTTAAAGGCAACAACACAAACAGGATGGTGGGGGTGGAGGAGAGATATAGAGATATGCAGATACCCTTCATTAAACAAAATTGTGAAGGCATCTTAGCAGCTTGTAAGAAATGATTGGGACCCTTTACAGTTAAAACATTTGACTAAGAAGAAACTACGATGATATATACTCTTATAGTTGCAAAAGGAAAATGTCACTGAAGTCACTTAAGACTGAATGTAAGCACAATTGATCATTCCATTGCATTATACCCGCCGAGAAAAAGATGGATGCAGAGGAGATGGGAGATGAAGTTCCCTTTCATCCTGGAGATCATTACCTATGTCACCAGCTTGCAATTGCATCGACTGTATGCATGGAGTGATCCCTTCTAAAACATACATTCTGCTGTTGTTGTTAGGCCAAAACCGAAACTGGAAGATCCAGTCCTTCCCCTTCAAATCTTGAACTTCCAAAGGTACCCCATCAGGACTCGAAATTGGTGGGAAGTAGGCCTATACAACAGCAAAATTGCCGTGGAATAAGAGACCCAATTGTAAATTTAAAGTAAAAAACAGTCACAGCCCAATATCAAACATCATGCTGCGTATATTTTAAATTCAAAATCCAGCCAAAAGAAATTCTTCGTTTTCCAAGACACTGGAAACTCAAATTACACGAGGATTGCTCAAGATAAATGTGTAAAACGAATTTAGAGTAAAAAAATTCTAAGGCATTTCCAAAGAGACAGTACATTCAAACTTATTCACAAAGGATGGAGAAGGGACAGGAAAACTTCCATTGTTTTTCACTCTCTGCCTCATCAAATTGTATCAACTTCTTACTTCTGTACAGATATAGGCAACCGAAGACACTTAATAAGGGAAACTGTCAGTGACAGGGGGTTTTAGAGCACAACAATGCCCAGGAATAATAGCCATATGCTTACCAATTATGTTCACCATCTTGCAATGAGGTAAGTGAAGTTAGTTTACCAGGCATTACCAGAAAAGTGACGACAAATATTTTTGGTTGGATGAAAGACTCTCTTCAAAGAACAAGACCACACTCTGATGTACTAAACATCCCATGTCCCATATGAATTTTTTTGACACCCCCAATTGTAATTGCTTATCTCAGTTTCCATCCATTGAGAATTAGAGTTTTCTTAATACTTGATATTATGCACCTTTTTCTCTCCTTTTCCCTTTAGCACCAGACCACAAAACAGCAACAAGAAAGAATTTGACCACATCAAATAAAGAAGTAAGATTTCAGTTTCTCAATTTGATTCTATCATGTCACTATCATATATTTCTGGACCCTTTTAAACCACCACTTCCAGTACGAGCAATTTAAGTAGAACCAGAATCTATAATCACACAGAACCATAGCTAAAATGGGTTTTGACATGTGGGATAAATCACAAAAAAAAGCAGCTAAATACCAAATGATCTAAAACCTTTGAAACCTTGAAACGAGGGCTTCAACAACTGCTTACCTCAGCACATTTTTTGGGAAGAACTAAGCGGCCTATTCGGCCTGCATCGCTGGCACTCAACATCTTCTCAAACAAAGGTGTGATGACAGAATTTGAACTGCAAATAGTTAAGGCTTATTCAAATAAAAACCGTATTTACATGGTCAGAGTACGCATAAACTGAAGTTTCGAGCCAGAGCATTATGACACTTAACTAGGCAGAATACATAGAAGGCATCTGCTCATGCTATCATCATGTCATCACATTAAAACACAATGATTATCAAAGTAATTAATACTAATACTATCAGAACTACTAGAGATTCTATGCATGTCAAGATTTGAAAAAGGCACAATTCAATGGTATATGTCGAGCCAAGCTCCCCACACAATACAATACTCAGAGCATTAGGACAAAGGGAATAGCAGCATCATTAAATCGTGATCAAAACAAAACAAAAAGGAAAAAATGTATGCAAAAATGAAATAGCAAGAGAAAATGATGGATTTCAAATATAAGGATACTCTCCAGATATCTGCTGTAACTCCTCATTACTTATTCGAGGCCAATACCGAGGAAGTAACTGACTCCGTGCCCTAAATTCTAATTTGGCCCTCCCACTTCGCACTGGAGGCTCAGATATAACAGTTGAATTCTGAATGGACGGTGTTTTCTCCATCACTGGTGACTGGGTCGGTCGATGAATAGAAGTTCCGGGTCCCTTACAAAGATCATTTTTTCCATTACTCGCCGTAGGAGGAGAGATAAAACTAAAATCTGATATTCCAGCAAACCCTGGACGCTTAAAAGCATTTTGAGAAAAAGCAGGTTGCTCCAGACTGATGGTTCCTGCAACAGACAATGGCATTCACGCAAATCCATCAAACTCAGCTCCATAAATATGAGGTAAAAAAGGTTTTGTTTCTGGGAGGTAAGAACAATTACCAGAATCACCACCACCAGTTATTTCTGAAGCACCAATTCTCAGGCTTCCATTCACTAATCTTTCAAAAGATTCCTCTTTCCTCTTGTCAGAGAAAGTGGAAGATATCTTATCGTTCAGCCTAAGCCTATCAAGTCCACCCGATACGTCAAATTCAATAGCCACGGGTGTCCTTGGTTGAATCTCGGATTGAACTGAAGAACCGTTGAACAAACTAGGAGCTTGGCGCCAAGGTATTGGACCTGACCCAGCTAAAGGACTCCAATTTTTTGCAGAGAGGTCCTTAATTCTTTCAGGTTGTAGAGGAAGAAAAAGAGGAGGTGGCCATGCTGGATTAGGTGTCTGCAATACAAATTCAGTGGTGAAGAGGGGGGGGGGGGAAGAAGAAGAAGAAGAAGAATCAAAATATGAACTGTATAAAGACCTACAAGAGACATCATTATCATTAGAGAGCACAAGAAAGGTGAATAGTGTTCAATACTACTGCTTTATAAAGAAAGAATAGACAAATTCCATAATTAGTTGTATACTAATAGGCGAAAGTCCCCTGTTTAATAACACCTAGTAATCTCTGGGTGTCGTTAAGCAGCAGACACCAATTTTAACAAAAAGGTGGACACCAGACCCAGATTTGAAATTTCAACACAGTAAATACGACGTGCTTATCACAAATTTCAACATATTGCTCCTAGAGGTTCGTGTATATTTCTATTAACAACCTGACAATTGGGGATCAAGTTTGATGTGAATTAAGGGGGAGCAAGGAGAAAAGTCATGGTAAGCAATATGCAAGGGATGTAACAAATTTAGCTCACCAAGATAAAACTTTTCCTGGCACAAGTTATGCATTCAATGCCCCCAGCATCCAGCAGCACAAACATATGGAAAGAAACAATGCACCCGCAATGAATTTGCTGCAATTGAACAATAGAACACTTAAACCAAATCTTCAAGAAAGAAACGGACCTTGGAAGCTCAAAATCAACTCAGCATTCAAAGCAACAAAAAACAAGCAGAGATCATTCCCCCAAAATGCCCAATCACAAGCCCAGATTCAAAAAGTAAACCTTTCTCTTACCTTCCCGCAAGACTCACAGCACCTCCATCCAGATGCATTCAGGTGAAAAGTCTCGCAGAACTTTCCATCATCATAAGCAGAACTGAGATCAAACCGAACATTGTTAACTTCATTAAACTCATCAAGAAAACTCAATTGAAAGACACCATATTAATTTAAGAAATTTCCCCTGCTGCATGAGGTGACTTAGGTTAAGCAAAATAATGCATATTTAAGTAATCTAACAGCAATTTTAAATACATATACTGACAAATAGCTACAAGTGATTTATGACACGTAAAATGATAATTTCTGTTTCCCACGACAAGTGCCAGAAAGGAAATTATTTACGAGCTTAGAACAAGCAAATACATGCAACCTCATAACAGTACACACGTGTACCACCAGCAATTATACAGGCCAGCCAACAGTTAAAGCAACAGATTTCGCCCATCAGAAAAGAACATTCAACAAGATATAAGGCCCCAAAAAGAAATCATATCCATCTAGATTAGAAGTGCACACACCTATGTAATGTGATGTCTTGAAAAGCTCCCAGCAGACATCAAGACATACAGGAGATAGCAGTGAATATTCCAATGCAGTTTCATTCCTAGAATTGAATTCCATATCTAGAATTGCACTAGATGCAACCCATGGAAATTGTCGGAAAGGTACTAAGAGCCATCCCAATCAATCCCTATTTTATTCATGCAAAAGGCGTGTTCTCTAATATCTCCACAAAGAATCAGTTGATTACCGCTTGTAAGTAAAACTTATTTGAAATATTTATATAACCTGTGTAGCCACTTAAAATTCTGCATTAAGAAAAACTTATGCCCCTCCAGTAACAGAGTATGTTTAATTCTTTCCTTATCTTTTTATCAGCAATGTACAGTGGCAAAAGGAGGTCAACAAAAATGGCAACACTAAATCAATGCATCAGTAAGCCGTTAACTTCAATTTTCAGTTGTCACTTCCACATAGAGGAATGAGGGATACATTCATCAACTACGGAACATAAATAAAATACACTCACAAGCAAAAAAGGGAAGCGTGCCACTACACTGAACCCAATCCAAATCAATTTTTTCCCAGTTCTGCAGCAATTAAGTAGGGTCAAGAACAGAACAGCATTTTAACCACGGAAATGAATTTTACCAAAACTGCCTGCATTATCACTTCAATAAAAAACTTCCAAAAACATAATATGACTGAAAATATCAAGTATAATTTTTTAAAATTAGAAATTAAAAAAAAAAAAAAAGAAAACCTAAAGGCACAAAACTTTGTCTCCACCAAAATGCATATCATATGAATCAAAATAAATAAATAAATAAATAAATAAAAACTAGAAATATATACAGAAAAACAATAAAACAAATTCAATGAGTACAGTTTCAAATCACAAATTCTAATTTCCAATCCCCACTCCAACTCAATTTTTTCGGGTTTTCAGCAATTGAATAGGATCCAGGACAGAACAGCATTCTAAGGGCTGCATTGAAAAATATGAGTAACCAAACTTAGCAGCCTCAGAATCATTTCAATAAAACAAATAAACTCCAAAACATGATTAACAGCAATCAGCGAGTATAGTAGAACTATAACATACACAATAAAACAAATGCTCGTCTAAAGGGGCAGCACTCAGTTTGAAAAAAAAAAGGAAGAAAGAAAATGAAAAAAGTACAGACCTTTACTTTATCAGCCTCAAAATGCATACAAAACGAACCAACAAAATGGATATAGAACAAATACGATGTCTAACAATTTCCAAACTCCAATTCCCGAATTGCACTTTAAAAAAAAAAAAAAACAGAATTTCGATAACAAAGATGGTAAAATTCAGGGCCAAAAGAATAAAAATCAAACGGGGGGAGTGAAATGAGGGACGCAGAGCAAAACTTCCAGAACAAGAAAGTACTTACGCGCAACGATCACAGAGTTCAGCAAACTCGCCAGTACGGCGGCGCCAACCTTTCTGAACCTTTTCCAAGGATTCTCTACAGTTAGAATTGAAGCAAACCTTAGGCACCGAAGGTAACGCCGCCGAAGCCGTACTCGCCGCCGTGGCAGCAGAAACCGCGGCCATAATTGGTTGAACCGCCTAAAAAGCCTCAAACTTTCAAAACTCACCGCCGCATATGAGGGTGGGGGAGAAAAAACCCTAATCAATTATCACTGCGCAACTTCCAAAAATGGACCAAGAGGGAACCCAAGAAAAAAAAAACGGAACCTTTTTTAGTTTTGGAGGAAAAAAAAACACACAACGACAACAACAACAACAGTAAAAATTTATCGAAGAAAGCGTGTGTTTTGGGCGTCGATTAATCCGAAACACGAAATGCTCATGGGGGAGAAACAGGAAGCGGAAGAATTGAGAGTGCACCGAATGAGAGAAAGATGATGAATTTGGAGCGTTGCCTTGTCTCAGGGGGTTTTAGCCTTTTGGGAGAGCAGAAAACGCAGAGTATACACCCAAAACCAAAAATAATGAAAAAAAAATAATACTAACACAGTTACACACTACTCTGTTCCACTGTGTGACTGTGTGTAGCCGCGCGTGTATATGCGTAAAAAAAAGTGGCTTACGAAAATGGGCACGTCAATGAATGAAGCGGTGTCGTTTCGTAAGCAAATGCCTAGTTGGATTGTTCTAATTGGATAGATGTTTGGGATTTTATCTGAACTTTTTTTAAATATTTTAAGGATCGAGTTGTTTGTGTTGACTTCTGTGGACTGGTTGACTAGTCTTTTTTGATTTGGAAAGTAAATTCTTTTTAAAGGATATACGTAAAGATGAGATGAGATTTCCCCCATTTAAATGATCCAATTTAAAATTAGATTATATTTATATAAATCTGAAAATTGAAACTTTTTTAACCAGTTTGATTATATTTAGTTCAAATTGCACTAAAAATGAAATCTAAAACTAAACGATTATTTTAAAACAGGGAGAGTATATGTTTAGATTTGGATATTAAAATGTAATGGAACGAGTACAGTATGCTCAACGTATCTGTATAGCAACTAACTAGATGTTAAACCCGAACGATGCGCGGGGTTTATTTATATACATTGTAAAAAATCAACAAAAAAAATATAAAAAGTGTAAAATGTATTTGGAGGTCCATATTAAGATACATTACACAACTAAAATTAAATAAAGGCGTAATTATAAAGATAAAACAATGCATATCATTTGAAATGCAAGTGTTCACTTGATTTTTATTGAAGGAGAAGACCTAGACAATAACACTCATCAGCAGAGTAAAATAAATAATATTATATTAAGATTACATATTGAATGAAAAGATAAAATGATTATACGCATAAAATACATAATGAAGTAATTATCAATAGTAGATGGTAGATTATGTGTGACTAAAATATGAAGTTAAAATTTTTTATAGTTATTTTGTTGTAATTAAAGATTTTATGGTACTGTTTGGCCCAATACTTAATATTTTAGAGGAACAGACCAACTGTAGAGTTAAAATTTTTGCCCTTTAATCCATTTTTGCTATGACAATAGAAAATAATAATTAATAAAATTATAAAATTATGGCAAAAAAACATAAATTTAGTAACGTCTAAAAAAGAACCCTAAAACATCATTTTGCAGAAGAACATACGGAAAAAGAAAAATCATATATAACCTTAACTAACCATTACCTCCCATGCCACACGATCGACTCACTATTAGTTTATCGCTTTTAGAACAACAAACCAACTGTAAGGTTAAAGTTTTTGCCCTTTCATCTTTGGATTTCGGGTTGTTTTGGGAGAGGAAAATTTTTGCAGTACTGGAACATACTCATGGTTTGTGTGGCATGTATAAATAGAGATAAATTGGGATTGATGATAATTAATTATCCAAAATTTTAGTGATAAAGATAAAGTTTATAATAATTTTTGAGATATTATTAAGAAAAGATTATATTTATTTGGGTAGATATGATATTACACAAATAAATGCATTGGTTTGAAATTCAAAATATAACAATTAAATATAGTTAAATCCCATTATTTTAGTAATAATTGAAGGCAAGTTTTGTACTTTTTTTTCTTTTTTTATTGGGGAAAAATACAGGGTCATGTTTTTGGGAGAAGATTTTAAAGATAACAATAATGTTGAATGATTGGTTTTTTTTTTTATTGTAGTCTATTGATTTACATGATTGGGAGGGAGATTTTTTTTTTGAGAGAGATTAATTAAATGAGTCTAGTAGTAACTTTGGGGATTCTTTTGGGGAGTGAATAATTATGATGCATTAATGTTCATTAATCCCGTCCATTAAATTTAATTAATTTTTATTTTCCTATTTTAAACTATAGTTTTAAATGTCATCTGATAAAACTTTATTTACATAAAATTTGAAGGACTATTAGTATAATTGTTGTAAATATTTTTTGACTCAACCATTAGAAAAATGACACATATGATTTTCTTACGTGACACCTTTAGAATTCTTTTTTGTTTTCTCTCTCTGGTTTCTCTCTCAGTATAATATACTATAGATTGAAGGCAAGTTTTGTAACTTTTTTTTCTTTTTTATTGGTGAAAAATACAGGGTCATGTTTTTGGGAGAAGATTTTAAAAATAACATTAATGTTGAATTATTGGTTTTTTTTTTTTTTTGAATTGTAGTCTATTGATTTAGATGATTGGGAGGGAGATTTTTTTTTTTTGAGAGAGATTAATTAAATGAGTCCAGTAGTAACTTTGGGGATTCTTTTGGGGAGGGAATAATTCTGGTGCATTAATGTTCATTAATCACATCCATTAAATTTAATTAATTTTTATTTTCTTATTTTAAACTATAGTTTTAAGTTCCATTTGATAAAACTTTATTTACATAAAATTTGAAGGACAATTAGTATAATTGTTATAAATATTTTTTGACTCAACCATTAGAAAATTGACACATAGGATTTTATCCTATGTGGCACCTTTAAAATTCTTTTTTATTTTCTCTATCTGGTTTTTCTCTTAGTATAATAATACTACTATAGATAGATATTATCTTACGAGGTTATGCCCTTTACGACAATTCTACATTTTTTTTTAAAAAAAAAAAAAGTTAAATTCCATATTTGGTCCCGCTGTTGAGCAGAATCAATGCTTATGTATTTTTGTTAAGTCAAAATAAAGGTTTTCTATTCAATTTAAAGCATGCTGGGATGAGAATAAAAGTTTTCATTGCTAAAAAGAGTTCATCATGAACTAATTACAAGAACAATACTTTTGGTCTTTGAACTATACTTCCTGAGAATCTCCCCAAATAAATACTCTCTCTATTCCAAAGAAATAATCCACATTACATTTTGAAATTTACATTAAAAATAGTAAAAATCTGAAAACTTAAAATGGACTATTGTTTTGGAACAGAGAGAGTATATCTGTAGATGGATCGCCAGGAAAAACACACACTACATTTGTGATCTGTGTTAACTAAACAATGTGATACGAACTCATATGTAAGGGCAAAATTATGCTAAACAGGAGAAAATAATGTTGCCAATCCTTGATCAACCTTGATGAATAGCTTGTCATATGCCATTAATGCCTTCTGCTCACATTTATATGTTCCTTTCCCCCTCGCCAGAACCTCGCCATCAACATCGATAATGCCTTCCCTGGCTGGATCGGAATTGAGTGTTCCAGGCTCCAAAATGAAAGCTTTTACCTGTATTTGGTGGTGCAAAAAATTATAACCATCCCATCATGGGGTGACAATCTTTGACAAGACACAACCTGCTTACTCAAACGATTAAACATTCATAGCAATGGAAATAAATATGGGTAGCACAAACCCAGGGCGGAAACTGAAACTCAACCTACGATGTCAATCTTGACTCGTTGAACTATGTTTCACAAGAATTTTCCAACTTCCAACCTATGGAACACAACCCAATTACCACCCTCATGAGGTTCTTTTACATGGCTCTGGAATACCACCAAAATCTCAGCTATCTTATTAAATGCCATATGCTACTCACTAGTATAAGCTAATATATCTTTTGTACCCCCTTTCCTGGATAAGGTCTTCAGATGGTTTAAGTTGCACTCTTCACGAAATGAATAGAAGTGCAAAGACTAGACTGAGTAGAAGGAACATTTGCTAATGCAGGACAAAGCAAACTCTAAATTGAACAGAACTTCTTAACAAACAACAACCACCCAAAAAAAAAAAAACCCAACTCTTACTGCATTGCTGTTTTGAAACCTAGAACGACTTCATGTTCAAACATTATTTTTCCAAAGCAGACAAATGACTCTCAATATAAACAGGAAACTCACCTTGAGGTACTGGACATATGGTGATTTAACATGACCTCCATTGTTCATTTCCGTCATCAGCGAGAGTAACCCCAACTTTGTGCAGTCTCTAAACATAATCAAATCCAAATAGCCATCCGAAAACTATATGACCAACCATGGAAAAACTGTTAGTAGAAGTTGAAACAACTGGTAAATTAATGTCACATAGAGATATAGTTGAAGTTAAAAATGTGGTAGCCACAACTTTTTTCAGTTTTCGGCGAGGAAAAAGTAGTAAAATAACTACAACCGCAGTTTGAGTTTAAAAATTCCCAGCCACGTGTCCATCTCCCTACAATGCCTAACCTTCGAATAAACACAATCAACCTCAGAAATCAGTCTAATCATAGAAAGAAGAGAGGACAACCTTGGCATCTGGTGCCGCCATGGTTTCTTCAGCTCCCCATGGTACATTATGAAGCCAGATTGAAACAAATGGGCCACTAATCTTCCGCCAACTAAGATTCTTTATGTCAAGATCCGGACCTTGATAGCCATAGCCATGAGCCTTGACAGATTCACTATCGCTGGTAGCCACTCCAACTTCGTCATTAACAGCTTCTCCATAAGACTCATAACCCGGAGCAGGAACAAACTTTATGGCGCCATTGTACTTCCTCAGACTGCATATTCGTTTAATGGCCTGAGAATACAATATGAAACAGTATCATAAACTAAAGTCTAAGGGTACTCCGCAGAGAAGGGCAAATGAGCCCCCTTATAGATCTGAGACTATAATATAGACAAAGCAAACATAGCAAACAAATTTTCAAAGACAGACTTCAACGATTAATGAGGCTAAACTCTAAAGTAGGTATGGTGACTTCCGCACATCTTCTACCATGAATAAAGAGTAACACTTATCACTCACCACACAAGATCATGCATGCAATAGGTAGTAACCAAAAAAGAATTTCTGAATTTATTGCTACAAAAAGAAATGGATAGCAAAAACTTACATAGAAGTCAATGCGAGCGCTACCCATCCATCTATACTTCTCAGATTCAATGTCAATATCAGCCACCAGACCTGGAAAAGAAGTATGGAAGCACATCTTAGATACAGTTTTCTCTAACAAAATAGAAAAAATTACTTGTTAAAATACAGAAAATAACTAAAAATTTCATTGTACCCCAAGCAAGCATCAACACGGAGAAAAATTTGGCATGCCCCTGAGAGATGGTAGCAACATCCAGTGAACGCTTATGCCCTGGAAGACAATATACATACGTCCCACGAGACTTCTCAAGTCAAAACACTTAAAACTAGTAAGGAAAATAAAGTGTACATGTTTCAAAAGATAGAACAAAGATATTAGAACCTCGAATTATTGCAAGAACAGCATTAGCTGGTGCGCAAGGTTCACCAACTGAATCCAAAAGAGACTTTGCCATTCCATTTCCAGTTCCTGCATATAAAAAATACTTCATCCAACATAATATGGGTAGAAGGTAGAAACGAACTATGCCCTTCACAGATAATTACTAATGCAGATGCACCACCGAAAGCAAAAACATATAAGCTTTTAAAGAAGATGAAAGGGAGCCCAAAAAAAAAAAAAAGAAAAAATAAATCATAATTCAGTATGTTGGCACAATTGATCAAATCCAGTTAAACCATCTTTTATTGTATTTTTGTGGCAGGAATTTGGGTTCTTTTTCAGGTTACTTTAGTCAAATAAGTTCCCAGTTCCTTCACTGAAATTGTTCGGTTTCATTCATATGCATTTCAAAAACATTGTTTTGCATATCTCCCATCTCCTTGAATGCAATTTATAACCAATGAATGACTTGTAAAAATTATCCAAACAAAGACATAGAATCACAAACCTGCAGGCACTAAGCCAATAGGCATCCTTATGGCATTATTCCAATCACTCCTTTCAAGCAATCCATTTACTACCTACTAAAGTCACAACATAAGCAAAGGAGGAACGTAAGGTCACTAATGACCAAAGCACGCATTTAACAAGGCCATAAGCTGGTGTCAGACTAACCTCAACTAAAATTCCATCCCCACTAACACAAACAATACCGTCGTACTTAGCTAGCTCCAAGGTGGAAGCTACCTCCTTTGCATGTCCCTGGTGCTTAGTTTCTGCCAGATCATAGATAGTCGCAAAGTAGACCAAATCATTTGTTGAAAGAAATCATGGACTATTATGTGAAAGCACATGAATTTCAACACCACAAACCTTGTACTGTGATTTCAATATTTGCATCCTCCATAAGTGGTTTTACAACGTCAATAAAGACTTTCGAAGCGAATTTCTTCCCTCCATACGGATTCACAAGCACAAACAGTCTCTTGGGTCGACCTTTATAGCCCCAAAAAAAATTAAACACCGATATCAGTAACCAAGCGAACAAAGTGAAGTCCCAGTAAATTATCAATAATTACAACACTGGAATCAAGTTGGACCAGGCAAAGGCAAAGGTGAAAATGAAACTTCAATTCGACAAATTAAACGATGAAAACCCAATGGAAACATTGAGAAAGAAGAGTTCATACCGAGAGAATCGATGTACTGTTGGAGCTTTTCGCACCAAACCCGCAAAGAATCAAGGGAAGAAGGTTCAAAGTTGAAGCTTTTTCTAGTCAGAGAACCTCTGCTATCACCGCAGCAAAATCCAGCAGAAGTTTCCACAACAGACCTGATTTTAATCTTGGAACCTTCAACTGCAAAACCCAGAACCTCCTTTTCCACGTCCAGAGAACGATCCGACCACCGGAGCTGACCTTCAGCGGAAAGAGTCATGGGTTTAACGACCCCATTGATTATCACCCGGTCAGAAATCATGGGCTCTGGAGCTTGATCCATAACAGTCCAGTATTCTTCAACTTCAAAGTCAATCTTCTCTGTTTTGAGTCTCTGTTTTTTTCTCCATATTGGAGTATATTTATTTATATTGTCAGTCAGAACAACCCGGTCTGGAACCGAACCGGATCCTCTACTTTAACCGTATTTTCAATTTCTTACTCAAAAAGTTGGGCGTGTACGTAATCATCTTCCCAAGTTTGGGTTTCAGATTCCTTCAAAAACAAAACATACTAGCTCGAGAATGGAAAAATGTGTTTTTTGTGCTGTAAATAACAACCGTCCGATGAACATTCCTATGAAATCCAACGGCTGGACAGGAGAGAGAGGTTGTCACGATGTCACAACCAACAAACGTTGTGACGGAGAATCCGTGGGGATGATAAATCGGACAAAGATATGGAATTTTTTTTTGAGTTTTGAAAGTTTAAGAAATAATCCAAAGATGATGTAGAGCTGTACAAGGATAGACAAGTATGGTTTTGTCTTGTAATCTAGATGGTGGTGGTTTTTCTTTAAAGTTTCGAATGCTTAAAATTGTGTTTCAGTGTTTATTTGAACAAATAAATCAAATGTATTTACTCCAAAGCCGAAGCAATAGATGGCTTATTTGGTTTGAGATCATCAAAGGAGTAACAAATATCGTTCAAGCATGCTGCAAACGGATAATTCTGTAGCAGTGATCATAATTATGAATTTATAAATTATAATCAATGTTGGGTGTTGAAATTTCCTGTAGTAGTGTTTTTAAGATTTGTAATATGAAAAATAACGATTGAACTAACTCATACATTATAAATCCACACAAAAACAAGTTGATTTGCTATACTAGATTGATCATAAATAAAACATTCAAAGCCTACAAATAAATTATTCCGGTCAAGGTTATCTATGCACACATACCATTATAGTTTGTGGCTTTGTGCAATGCAGATAATTCTCGGCAAAATTAGCACAACCAGTGTTCTTTGTTATAAAATTGATGGATGTCCATTTCGAGGCCCAAAAACTTCACTAATTTTTTTTATTTTTATGTTTTCAAAGCCCAAACTTCAGTTATAATTAAGACATTGGTAGACAAGTAGAATAATAGTGACTGATGTGCACCAACCAACAACAAAAAAAATAATGAAAAATTACCAACAAAATAGAAAGATTATAATACTCCACACGAGTCACTATTTTTTCACTATTTATTTTTCTCTACCATATTTTTCTTGTTCCTTTTTTTTTTTTTTGACAGGATCTATATACATATCATTTTCCTAGAGTTAATAGGATTGATTGAAATATACCAAATTCAATTGCAAGTATTTTAGATTAAAATTCCTAGTTAATTCAAAAAGTATATAAATAGTTAGAAAAAATAAACATGTTAAAATTATTCAAAATTTTCTAAAATTAAAAAAAAATGATAAATCTGTCCAAGACTAAAACAACCTATAAAAGGAAATTGAAAGAAAACAAAGAATCTACTTCGTCGTCCTTTTGGTCGCTTTGTATAGATCGATAGGAAGGTCTACAATCGTTCGTCGACTTTCATGTTCACTTAGACTATGTCGACGGACAGGCCGACAAAACCTCTCTCTATTTCTTTTTTTTTTTCTTAAAAAAAAAGTAAACTAAAATAAAATAAAATAGTTTGAGTTTCAAACTTTCATCATATTTGATAAGATGATAAATATCATTCAACCCCAATATGTGTATGATCTAATGTTCATCATGAATTTTAGTAAATCTCGGTGGTCCGTTTAAATTCTTATCATTTAGGAGAGGAATGTTTGCTCATACAATTAGTAAATTTATCAAAATAAATTTGGTATCATTATTATGAGGATGTTATTTTCTCTCATATTTATAACATTTCGTGCGACCCACTTTTAATGTGTGATCCGTGAGGGGTTTTTTTTTTTTTCCCTTGAAGAGACCCATTCTAGTTTCAAATACATGATTAATTAGCAACGAAGAAACTTTTACTATGTGGGTTTTTTTAGAGACAATGATTAATTAGTAACGAAGTAAAATTCTTATGAATATATTAAAAATATCTATAGTATTTACAATAGTAGTTATTGGTAAGTCCACAAGTTTGTGACGTTGTATCATCGTTCAAAACAATTTTTAGACCTTCTAATTCATAAATTATTTATCAAACGATTGAATTTTCAGTAATTAGTAGAAGAATAAATCTAAGTAGCGGATGCTTTGTAGAAATAGATGGATTTATATTGTTGAAAATGCTAATATATTACTTTCATTGCATTATATTTTTTTGCTTCAATCATTAATAAAAATTATTTTATTTTATTTTTTAAAAAAAGGAGGTAATATCTGACGGAGAAGAGATTTATTTATGGGTATAATAATAATTTGATTAACATCTCCTAATTGTGTGAGATTGAGAAAATAATTGTTAGAGATCTTTTGCACAAGACAAACATGCCCTTAAATTAAAGGAAAGGAAGTAAGGAACTGGAGCTGGCAATAATACCCTAATTCACCGATAATATTTGAACTGAACTTAAAAGCCTTTTGCAGTTTTGCCTTGTAGCAGCTTTCGGCCATGGAAGACGAAGAACCCGTGGGCACCCGAGCTGTCCATATCAAAAAGAGAGCCCTCAAGAACAAAGCCCTCTCTGTTACTTTCAATGAGAAGGACCTCAAGTACTATTCTTTTACCCCGTTTCCTCTTTTTTTTGCTATATAAATTGTTGAAATTCCGGGCCTCTCTAATTTTGATTATATTGAATGTTTCTGTCTTTTTGAAGCGATTTTGTAACTGGGTTTCACAAGAGGAAGAAGAAGAGGAGAAAAGAAGCCCAGCAGAAGCAACAAGAAGCTGAAAGGCGAAAACGTATTGATGCCCGCAAAAAGGTTCGATTTTTTTTTTTTTTTAATAATGTGTTCCGTGATAGATTTTTTCTTAGTTGTTCATAGCAGCTCATATTGTTTCGGCCACCCTTATTTGGTTGCCCTGTTTCAATTTTCATTGTCCCTGAGGAAATTAGCACTCAATCTTGAGTTTCGCTGCTCAGTCTTGCATGCCCGGTGAATGGTTTCAATGATGCAGTTAGCTTTTATACGCTATTAGAACTTCTGAGTAGTCATTTAAAATTTTAGCTTATCAAAATGCATGTTCTGGAAGAAATGATCATCTTGAACATGTTGAAGTTTTGTAAATTTTCTGGAAGTTGTCATTAGGTTAAAAGGTGAAACAGAATCAGTCAGGGAAAACTGGTTGGTTTTTGTTAGTGGAGTGAAGGCTTGTTGTTGTTGCTGTTTTTTTTTTTTTTTTTGACAAAAGGATCCCTGTTTCATGGAGACTCTAATCTACCCTGTGCTTGTAAACTGTGTTCATTGAACGAATGTTGAGTCAAACCTTTAAGATTTTATCTTCTGAGGCCATTTTATGTAGATAAGCCTTTTATTTTCGCTATTGACAGGAAAATTGATTGTAAGTCTATTGTAAATGATTTATGATATTAGTTCTGTCTCTAGCTGGAAGGGACATTCATAATATCTATTGCATGATAGATGAATGGTCCACTTTACACAGAGCCTGTCATTTGACATCAGCTTTTTTCCTTTAGTAGTGGCTTGTTCCAAGTCAGCATAGTGTATAAACCTGTGGAAGTGGCTTTTTAGTTGTTGCTATCAAATTCCAAAGACCTCAGCCACTTGTTCATTAATTGCCAGTTCTTCAAGCATATTATTCTCCGTGATTTATTTCCTCTGCGAATCTTGTTTTTATTACTGGTTGAAGGGCATTCATGCGCCACTACCTGTCATAAGGATTGGAAACCAATTTTGGGGTGTGGAGGCAAATAGTTCTAGGTATATTATCACATGGATCATATCACATGGGTCTCTGGTCCAGTCAGCAGTTTTTTTTTTGAGTGTACAGAGGTTTCCAATGTAACTAGCAAGCTTATGTAGATAGTTGGAAAACAGGGTGAAGTTTCAGAAAGAAATGCTGACTGATCATGGACTGGCCAGTACTGGATTCTGCTAGATACATGCTCGGGAAATTGTTCTAGGATCCTGTTATTCTCTCTTCACTTTTACAATGAAATTCAGCCTAGCCAGGATTAACTTTTTTCATAACATTCGAGATCATAGTGAACGAGTTTGGTCTAGCAACCCAGTATCCGTCCTACAGCAATTGTTTTCCTCTTCTGCATGTTCAGCCAAATTCCCTTACCTTTTGCGATCTTGTTTGGAATGCAAAATTTCTCGTTGGCAGTGGTTTTAGCTACTTCTCATTTCCCCTTGATTGCACAGCTCCCTCTATGTGTGCTTTGATCACAACTATCAGGGGAAACTTTATCAACTTACTATGCCGTGGTACAAAGAGAATTTAACTAAAATAGTGACTTCTGCAGTTGTAGACATAAAAGACTAAAGCATAAGAACATATTACCCTGGTGAACATTGCGCATAAAGTTATTTTAGGTGGATCATAACTTTGTGCACTGTAGATCATTTTGCGGTTTAAAAATGCAAGAGATTGTTGAAGTTAATTCTTTCCTGGTAACCTCTGATTTTTTTTTTTCTTGAATTCATTTTGCAGAGAAAAGAAGAAAAAGAATTTGCTATATATGGTGGAGCTCCACCTGATTCAACTGCTGAACCTGATGAATCTGGTGATGACAACAACAGTGAAGAAGATGAGCCAACAGCATCAGTGTCAGGTAATTACTTACGTCATTTTATTTTTCAGTAGTTATGCGGTAATGAATGTTTAGTCACAAGGTCTTTACATTTTATTAAACGATCTGCCAATCAAGTTAGCAGGCAATACCCATTGCCATTTACTTTTATATACCTTCTCAGCATCCTCCTGTACCCATTTAGTCAGCATGTGGTATATGTGGGCAATTTTCAAATGATTGATTGATTGCCCCATTCAAGTCTCTGTTCATGGACCTTTATTCCTTTGTCGCATAGTGAGGAAGTGAAGTTTTGGGTTGGCTGGATCTTTTTTCCTTTCCCAGACTCAACATTCATCATTGCTCATGTTTTTCTGTATTCCTGCCTGGTACATATGGACATGATAAGGCACACCTTAAAGAACCATTTATTAGTTGTATGGGAAAAGGTGTTAGTAGTTAAAGGCAGCTTTTTGCTCGGTTATTAGTCTAAAATGACATTTTTTGTCAACCAGGTACGACAACGTATGACAATGGTGATGTGAAAGTGACAGTGATGACAAGTGAGATCTCTCGAGAAGAAGACCATCCGATTCCAAGGCCGATGCCAGAAGCATCTAAGCTTGTAGAGGTTTCTGAAAAGAAGAAACATAAAGTGCCTATTGTCAAGAGGAAACAATTTAAGAAGACGTCAAAAAAGAAATCTCATCCAAAGCCACAAAGTAAAAGGGACAAAAGGAAGGGAAAAACTAAAAGTAAAAGGCGTTAGGCTATATGCTATTTTCCCCCGTCCTCTCTCTGCAACATCCTCATAGAGGTAGCTATATTCTTTCATAGCCTATACTTCCTGTCATCTATCAAATGTATGCCAATACTTGATTTGATGGCAAGATGTACAAGTTTCTAGGATTAAGCTTAAAGTTAGGTTACTTACAAGCTAAGATGGTTACAATTTTCTCCTTCGGTTAACCTAGATTTGATTGAATACTATTTCAATTTGGTAGTAGTTGGGTTCACTGTACCTAGTTAACTGTTTTTCAAGCAGTGAGCTGTTTCAATATAATCATCATTCCTTTGAGTTCTGATGACATTCTAGTCTGAATTGGATTGTCCTTTGCTCTCAAGTTTGAAGAATGACCAGATAAGAATTTAGAAATTCGAAGAAAGTCCAGAAGTGAACTGAAATATCAGCAAATTTGGCAAATTATATACGTGTGTGTTTGGATTGGATTAGGCAGAGTATCATTAATCGTGTATAATTAGGGGCTGCTACTCTAACTTTGTCCCTAATTGGATAATGGATAGTGGGCAAATGCAATATATTATATAATAGAAGAAGGGTGAACATTATCCTATCAGAGCTCAAAAGTGATTAGAAAAACTCAATCATGGCCGCATTATCATTTCAAAATATTAAAGGGGCATGTACTAAAAGCACTAAGGGCGGCAGAAGAATTGTATAAATATTGGATCAGAGATGCTAAATAAATATTAAAATATGGTACATAAAGAACCAAGGAATAATCCAACGTAAGCTGCTGCACGGAAGAACCTTTATAATTCACGTGCATCAATCATACAAGTCAAACAATGGCTGTCTCTTCAGAAAAAAGAAAAATGGTTGTAACCATAATTTAATCATAAATTGGGGGAAAAAAGGCTTCTCTTTTAGTTATAGTTATAAACTCCACATGAAATTGAAATATACATATATATATATATGTGTTACATTTTTGGTAGGTTTTGACAGTACTAATGCGATTTACTATTGTAATCTCAAAACAAGAAACAAAATGAACATAAACAAGAGGATTGAAAGAGTAAAAGGGAAAAAAAAAAAAAAAAACAACCTTCACAAAAGAGTAAAAAACAAACAAACTCGAATTCCAAAATCTAAAACCTATTTTGGCATCAGACAGCAGACAGCTAATGTCTTCTGGCCAATTATAGTACGTGAGATTGCCATAATTAAGGGGCATGCTAATGTGCTTCTGCCACTCCAACTGTTGCATTTCTTTACTTCTTTTTTTTCCTGTTAATTTATTAGTGTTTGACAGTTGACAGTTTGACACAATATCGACCATGTAGTAGTACATAGGATCTTCACTGAAACCCAAAAATACATTTTACATCGTAATCAATACTAGTTTTAATCAACTTACTTCATATGTTTTGACATTATTTCGATGTAGATACTTTAATTAGAGAAAGACCATGAAAATCAACACCTTATTTTACATTTATGCACTTAAAAAAGAAAATTACCTTTTTTTTGACAAGGCTATAGACTGTTCTAAAAAAAATGAAAAGAAAGGAAACCGTACAACCACGAAAACAATTGCAACCTCAAAAAATATACTCCCTCCGTCCTATAATTATTGTCCAGTTTAGATTTTTATTTTTAGTTTAAATTGTACTAAAAGTGAAATCTCAAAATGAACAATAATTTTGGGACAGAAGGAGTAATATAATACAAAATAAAGTATTTTTCTGAAACAAAGAGCACGTAATTAATCGGCTGATTCTTTTGCTTGTGGGCATGACTAGATTGACCATGCCATATTATTATTATTGCTATCATGGAGTTTGTGAGTCAATGAAAATGAATAAAAGCGCGTTAAATGGCAGGATTGGAAGAAAAACCAATTGGTACGTATTTAAATTGGATTGAAATTATACAAACATAACTATCAGAAAAATGGATACAATGAAGAAGCATTGGGCAGTACAAATATATATATATATATATAATAAACTATAAAAATAAAAAGTCATTTTCTGAGGCAGTAAAGTGGAGCATAATAAGACTATAAAGAACCCAAACCCAACAACCCAAAAGACCAAAAAAACCAAAAGGGTGAAGATTCTGAGATGCTTCCTTGAAGTTTCACTGACACATTCTGAACCCATTTCTCAGAACTTTCAATTTTCCCGCTTTCCATTCAATTTCCTCTGCTTTTTTATCCCTTTTTAATATTCTCCGTTCTTGGCCGTTGGAATCTGAAATTTTTACTGGTACTTGTAGCCTGTAAGGAGTGTATCTGAAAAAGAAGGAAAGAAGGAAAACTAAGATCCTTACTTTATTAGTTTTTATTATTGTGATAATAACTGAAACTCTGAAACTGAATCCGAACATTACAGTTGTATAACTGTCGGGAGTTTAGTTTAGTAGTAATATTTAACATTAGTTTCAGATCAGATCTGAACTGGGTTTTTATCTATCAGGGCTGTTGTATTTTCTTTTGTTGAGCTGACAAAAGTGACCCGGAAAGAAAATGCAAGGAAGGATTATTCCGAAAGCCAATACTAGTATGGCTAGAGAAAAACGCAGTTTGGATCCCAACAGTAGTGAGGAAGGTCAGGGTGATAGAAAAAGGCCTGCTCTTGCAAGGTAATTCCAACTCATTTTACTACGTTTTTTCATTTCAAGATTCAATCTTGTTGGTTTCTGTTGATCATAAACCAAAAAGGAAAGAAAATGGATTGAGGGTTGTTTGACATGCCTGCACCTCTAGGAAATGCTTTAGGAGTTTAGGTGTGGAATCCAAGATTGTCAGGTTGGTTTGAGGGCTCGTGGATTTGGGATTTGAATTTAGGTGGAAGACAGATGAACTTTTGGATTTTTAATTTGTGGGCTAGGGACAGGGTGGTTTGATTTATTTAGTCAAATCTTGTTCTTAACATGCTTTGATACAGCATCACGGATAGACTGGTTTTCAATGAATTCTGTTCTGATAAGTTTCACTTCCTAAATTCAATGGTATTTGGATGAATAGGTGGAATGTTATGCTCTAGTTTTTTTTTTTTTTTTTTCCCCTATGATTCTGGAATCTCTGTCAAGGGCATTAGGATGGACTTTTGTGTAGCAAGAGATTTGGGTAACCTGAGCCTCGCGCTCTATCTTGAATGTCAGTGTTCGGAAGTGGATGCCCCTGTGGACTTCCACATTTTCATTTTCTTTTGCTCTCTACTGAGCTGGGAGTTGCATCGCATACTAGATTTCAAATTAATTTACCTGTTCATTTGCTTAATTACATTAGCGGGAACAGCCTCTCTGTATAATTAAAAGGGTAAGGCTGCATACACCTGACCCCCAGACCCCAACTAGGTTGGCAATATACTGGGTATGTTGATGTTGATGATTTGCTTAATTTACATTGCTCTTTTACAGCAACCAGGCCTCGTTTTTCCTTTCACCGTAGGTTCAGAATACGCTTATATCATAATATGATGGTGGGCATTCAAATTCTTACCTCATTAATCTGCACACTATTCATTTGTGCTTTGTCGCTTGACTGTTATGTTCTCAATGAATTGGATGCATACATCGCAGTCCAAGATTTATTGATGCATTTTAGTGTCTGGAAAGTTGAGTGTTTAATTTGGACATTAAGATGTTCATGCCCGTTTGATTTGCAAAGTCTTCCCATCTCAATAAACTGCTTAATGAGGGAAGATTATTTTATTTGATGCAGTGTCATTGTTGAAGCCCTAAAGGTGGATAGTCTGCAGAAACTTTGCTCGTCATTAGAGCCAGTTCTACGGAGAGTTGTAAGATATCTTTGCCTTGGTTCTGTGGTATTCCAATTCAGAAAGGAATATATTCATCATCTTTGATTCTTTTTATCAGCGTCCTTTGCAATGCTTTTGCTTTTGTATACCTATTAGTTACAAACTTGGTAGTGGACTGAAGCCTTTCAGAAATGACTTAAGAGTACACCTGAAAATTTTCATTTCCCAGAGTCAACTTCTTGTGAAATTGTATCAAAAGATTTTCTCTGGGCTAATATTGTTATTTTACAGCCTATTTCCTTGACTCTGCTAGATTGAAGTATCGTGGATTTATAATGTATCAAGTGTCTCATATAGTTTTACTATGCCCTTTACAGGTAAGCGAGGAAGTCGAGCGTGCTTTGGCAAAGTTAGGCACTGCTAAACTTAATGGGAGGTATGGCTTTTATGTCCCACTCTTCTGAAAATAACTTTCTATTGAAGTTCCCAAATTCTTGAGGAGGTTCTCTTATGGGCCTTCGTCATTCAAAAAGGAAAATTTAATTTTCTTCGGTGCTTTATTATCAGCTTCAGTCTGTTTCGAGTTTGGGTTCTTTCCTTCTCATCTTTATTGAATCTTCGGGTTCAGTTGTGAATATTGGTTTCATGTACTTGCATTTTGTGTTGCTTGCATGTGCTCTGTCCATTTCTAAGGTCTAAATTAGTCAACTGTAGATTTGTTAAGTTAAGAATCAAACCCACTACTGGATGCTATGTTTTCGGAAATTTATGTTGCGTGTAGTGTAGCCGTACTTGCACTGATAGGCTTTAATTTGAACTTGCAGACCATCTCCCAAGAGAATTGAGGGGCCAGATGGAAGGAATTTACAGCTGCAGTTTCGGACTAAGTTGTCCCTTCCACTCTTTACTGGAGGAAAAGTAGAAGGCGAGCAAGGGGCCACAATTCATGTTGTCTTGATTGATGGAACAACTGGCCACATCATAACATCTGGGCCAGAGTCCTCAGCAAAGCTAGATATTGTTGTGCTTGAAGGAGACTTCAACAATGAAGATGAAGAAGGTTGGACTCAAGAAGAATTTGATTCTCATGTAGTCAAAGAACGTGAAGGGAAGCGGCCGCTTTTGACTGGGGAACTTCAAGTGACTTTAAAGGAAGGCGTAGGAACATTAGGCGACTTGACGTTTACTGACAATTCTAGCTGGATTAGGAGCAGAAAATTCAGATTAGGTTTGAAAGTTTCTTCTGGTTGCTGCGAGGATATCCGAATCCGTGAAGCTAAAACAGATGCATTCACTGTCAAGGATCATAGAGGAGAATGTAAGTCCATTGGGAAACAAGGCCCTAGCAATCTTCCTTTTTCCATAATTTCCACATATGTGTCTCGGCAATTCTTAAGCTTATTTGCTAAATCTGCTTTATTCTGCAGTGTACAAGAAACACTATCCACCTGCATTACAGGATGAAGTTTGGAGACTGGAGAAGATCGGAAAAGATGGTTCCTTCCACAAGAGGCTGAATAAAGCAGGAATATACTCGGTAGAAGACTTTCTGAGACTTGTGGTTAGAGACTCACAGAGACTTCGAAATGTAAGGATCATATTGAACCTGGTTAAGTTTACTTGTTATAGACTTTCCCATGTTTCGTTCACCACTCCTTTGTATCTTCGTTGATATGATTTATTTATGAGTTTTTATGTTAATTACCTCAGATTCTAGGAAGTGGAATGTCAAATAAAATGTGGGAGGTTCTGGTGGAGCACGCAAAGACTTGTGTATTAAGTGGGAATCATTACATCTACTATCCTGAAGAGCCGAGAAACGTTGGGGTTGTTTTCAATAACATTTATGAAATGATCGGTTTAATCGCTGGTGAACAATATCATCCAGCTGACACTCTTTCTGACAGTCAAAAGGTTTGTCTTTCTGCACCTTCTTTTGCAACTTTGTCCTTTATGTGTATTTATGCACTGCTACTAGCTTGCTCCCATCTTGTCATGAGTTAGTTACTGTCGAACGTTGTAAAGAATATTGAATTATTTATTAAAATATTGACATTAATTGAAAGCTCCTTTTATTTTCTACTGCCAACTGGAAACTTGATCTTGTCAGTGTCACTTTTGTGTGAATCAAACTAGTTAGAGCTTCAAAAGCACAAGTTAAGTGTGTTAGTTTTCATTTTTGCAGGTCTATGTTGATACCCTGGTGAAGAAAGCATATGAGAACTGGATGCATGTTATAGAGTATGACGGCAAATCTCTCCTAAGCTTCACTGAAAATAAGGCATCTTCTACTCCTCCAAGTGATAATATTATTGGATCGCAAAATACTTCAAACACTTACGATTATCAAGTTAATTTACCAAGCCTTCCACCTTCAATTCCTGCAGAGCAGCCTTCAATCCCTCCAGGGCAGACCACGGGAGGTAATATACCTAAATTCTTATCTCTGTTTCTTACAGAAATGTATGTTTTTCCCTCATTCTGTTTGTTTTGCAAGTCCATGCATGTATATTAATTTGGAAACTGAGCCCCAGAGATCATAAATACGGGTTTTGCTATAGACATGGGGCATCAAATAAGATACTGGAGGGAAACTTTCACATTGTCCTAAATCATTGTATCAAGAAAGCAAAAGATGTTGCCCATTCAGAACTTAGTAAAGTTATTTAATCATGGCTGATATATTGTACCGTTTATGACTTCTTTCATTTAGTAAAGCTTGTAAACAATTAGTTTTAGTTGTGTGTGTGTGTGTGTGCGCGTGCATATATATATATATATATATATATATCGATTTTTTTGGAGATTTTTGGCTCTTAAAAGATAAAGAGTCTCTCTGCGTTTGTAGCTGTTGCTAATACCTGATTGCGCTTTCTTTGCTCAGGTTATGATAATGTTGGAAACAGATTTCCCCTGGAATCTCATGGCATGAATGTGAGTTCTACTATTCATATTAGTAGCACTTCATTGCCTCTTCATAACCACATGCTTAGTGCGGCATCGCAAGTTCAGTCACCTGCAAATACAAATCTACTTGCCCTTGGTCCTGCACAGCCATCCATGTCGACATTCCATGGGGGCAGCACATCTAATGCTGCCTCTTACAGGGGATTCAATGACGTCATGACTGAAGAAGATATTCGGTTAAGAAGTCATGAAATGCTTGAAAATGAAGACATGCAGCAGTTACTTCGCATGTTCAATATGGGAGGAGGTTATGGTCAAACTCACATGAACGTGACTGAAAATAATTATCATTACAACTTGGGCTACATGCCAAACATGTCTGCAAACTATGGTTTTGCTGAGGATAAAACACGTTCATCGGGTAAAGCAGTGGTAGGGTGGCTAAAGCTCAAGGCAGCTTTGAGATGGGGCATTTTTGTCAGGAAGAAAGCTGCTGAGAGAAGAGCACAGATTGTTGAATTAGATGAGTCATAGGATCACTTTTGGTGATCATGTGCTTGCGTCTTGGCAACAGCCACCCTGTCGCCATGATTTTGAACCAGTGGACTTCAAAGATGAAGTGTAGTAATCGGAGGTTGTGCATGGTTGAGGGTGACAACTCCATGAATCGGAGGCTTTGATTGTAGAGTCTTTCTGTGCAGCATAATTGTTTTTCCCTTTCGAAGAGTGTATACTCCAGCCAATATGCAAGTGCCCAGTAGTATCTGTGGCAAAATCTGCTAAACTAGAGCAGCTGACCCCTTCATGTTTTAACTATAACGTTAACCCATTCCACATCTGAAGAATTGCAGGATATACAGAGTTTCTCCTTCTAGGCTTAAAACCTTCCCTTGAAAATTTGCAGAACCAGGCATAGGGTTATATGATGCCGGTGCTCTTTTGTATGATAGCGTGTTCTCACTGTAACGAGTTGTCATCGAAGATGGCAAGTTTTTTGAAATGAAATTCTGTTGTAATTTAAAGAATAAGGTTATGAACGAAGTGCTTGAAACATGGATTCCATTTTCCACATAGCAGGTTCTTCCTTAGAAATAAAATTTCTGTGAGATGACACTCTTCAGAGCCTGGTAATCTTTGACATTCAATATTATTTCAACACAAATGGTTACATTATAGAAATGAAGGTATTTGATTAATTGTGGAAAAAGGAAAATGCAAGTAATGAAGAGAAAATCTGATGACACAAAAATAGAGAATAGAAAGGAAGATACAATTGAATGGGAGGAAGAGGAAAAGTATTGTTCATTCTGAATCTGACATTTCATCCTCATCTTCCTCTAGAATGTAAACCAATGCCCGTTTTCTTGCAGCGAAAACACAAGCCACTCCTCTAGATGCTGCAAAATCAAGTTGTAGAGATATTAAATCCAATTATGTTTGTATGAAGAACTCAATTCATTTTAATGCAATTTATCAGTAAATTTTAGATTGTAAGAACTATACTTATTGTCGATAAGATTGAACTTTGGCATTCATAATGCACCGGAAAAATGCTTTTTTCCCTTTGAACTAATTGGTTGCCCATTTGATGGGAACCAACTGAAAGAGACATTGCTGTTTATAGACTTGTATAAGGATTTCCAAATCAGATATTTTAATATCAGTAAATTCTTTAATCCAACTTACCATCATAAACTGTAGTTGAAAATTTCTATTCAGGTAGGACTTCTCAAATATGGTAAAACACCACAATTTACTTCAGAAAGATTGAAAATACACACACATGCATACTTTTAGTTGATGAGAAAACTCACCGCTTACTGCCAATGGAGCAACCGCTGAGTGAAGAATTCCCCGCACCCTTTCATTTTCTGAATTCAAGCACATAACAGAATCCTGGAAGGAAAAACCAAAGAGTAAACATCCAAATGTAACCAGAAGCTCACTATAAGAGCCACAAGAGCCCCACATTTTGCTGCCAAAATAATTTAGATATGTCTGTAACAACTAATGTACCACAAGTTCATCAAGTTTCCAAGAGCTCAGATTGCTGGAACTTGGAAGAGATACAAAAGGCAGGTCGCATGCTTGTACAAGCATCAAACAAGAACTTCCGGTGCTCTCAGAAATAGAAGCTGTTTCATTCAGTAGCAGAATAATCTGACCCTCCTGTTAAGAATAACATAACAATGCATATAATTAACACAAGAAAAAGGGAGAGATCATCTGAAACAACGATTGCACGAGCTTCGTACTTTATATAGAGACAAGTCCACACAGTTATAGCCATCAGGAACCGAAAAGAGGGCAGCCTCTAAAGAAATTTCTTCATTTTCTGAACTGCCAAAACCACGAACAAACCCCCTTGCAATGCCGATGCAGTTTGAGATATTTGGAAAAGATTTGTCTGGTATCTTGAACAACATGTACCCTGTCATTCTCTCTTGGCATTCCTCGTGATTTAAACAATCATCTGCAGAATCCTAGACAGGAGAATAATAAATATTATTTGCGTGTGAGATAATCCAAAAAGAAACGTGCAGAATCCTGGTTCATTAGTTCTATGCAATCACTCGTGACCTACTTGATAGTTATGAGGAAATTATATCATTGATACCTTTACATAAACTTGGTGAAAATTTCCTTTCAGTTGTAAACATTATCAGATACAACAAATGCGCATCAACGAACACAACATTAATGCAGTATTTCCCACTACTCATAACCAATTGCTGTAACTAACACAGAATAAGCAGAGGTTCCTAAAAGAAAATTCCCAATGCAGTATCAGGAAGTTGAAAAGAAAATCTATTAAGGTATTAAAGCATAACATGCTATTAGCCACTGGCTTCAAGAGCTAGCTGTGTAACTGCATTCAATAGCTCTTACAAGTGAACTAGTCCTCCAATAATAACAAAGGATGTGTTTGACTAGTTATAACTTCAAGTTAGATAGTGAACTAGAAATCTGAATGCACAAATCAACAGCACAACTCTTTCATATGTGACAACTTTAAATGTATTTACTGAGCCATTCATCAGAATACTTTTGCAGACAGACACGCGCAACTTCCACTTTACTATTCCACATCAAAGTCAAAACTTTCATCAACAGTTAAATAGATATCAGATAGACAACAGATATTTCCTTAAAATGTAAGCAAATCTTGTTACTCCCTTTTATGCATCTTTGTGGATTTATGATTATTCTGATCCACTGTCTATGCTTTTTTCTTTTTCTTAAAAGGGACCTACTAGAGGAAGGGAGTAGCAACATACATGAGATGACAAGTACCTTGTAAAACGATATTGAAACTGCAATATTGGAAGGACCATCTTTCTGAGAAGATTCCAAGGGGAAAAGTGGGATCAAATCCTTGCAAAGTATCTTTTTTGACATAGTTGAAAAAGGCATGTCAAAGGCTTCTTTCAAACTGCAATTAGAAAATGAAGCTATATTTCAGGGGCAGTGATAAGATTAAGACAAGATGTAAACCTAACGTTATCTGAATCCAAACACGGAAACTTCACCCAAAAGTGAAGAACTTTTTGATAACCAAGCAAATTAAACCATAATGCCTGCCATTTTATACACAGGACAGAAAGATGAATCTTTATTTTACAAATTTTTATCCAAGAATAGACTGATAATATTGATTAAGCCAGCAAAAAAGAGCATATTATACAGTGTGGTGGTTATGACAAGAGAGAAAATACATGCATGAAACAAGGATAAGAGCCTTCTTGCTGAAAACAAATCAGCATCCAAAATGTTGTTTTGATTTCAGAGAGAAGGTTAGTAATTAAAATATTTCTTATCACCAGCACGCAGATAAGGATAAACAACTAATGAGACAAAATGATCATCATCGAAACCATCAAGCAAGAACAAATAGAAGAGAGTTTCGAGCATCAGGAAATAGGACTTGCAGTAACAAGGGATCACAAATTAATATTTTTGCTCTTGAGTATGCAGCGATGACAAGTCATAATTAACATGGATGTTGTTGCACTCAGCAGAATGCCCTGCTAAACATCCAACATGAAACAACTTATCAGGCAAAAAGAAGAAGGTAAGACTTGAAAGGAATGAATGTGCTCCCATATCCCCAAAACCATGATTACATTGGGTAACTAGCTTACAACTAAACGGCATACTCACAGCATGTATGAGTCATTCCTCTACTCAGACTAATAATGTAACAATTGGAATTTCATTGCCCTTTATTTTATGGTGAACAGGTCAATATATACTCCATAACCTTCTGCGTTTGTTCCTTCTCTGATATTGAGATGAGAAAGAAGCAAAATTTGAAAAAAGAAAGGCCAGTAGCCACTACTCTAAGTTGGAGAATTTTAATTTATTAAATAGTTAGAAAAGCAGATGAAGAATTCCTCCAGTGCTTAACATGATGAAAACAAAGTAAAGGAAGTACCTAGACACCATTTGAAGAAATTCTTCAGCCAATGTTCTTCTCAAGTATTCTGTATCAGAAAACCCTCCAAACTGAACCAATTCTTTCACTCTTTCTGCTGTTTCCCTGAAACGTCGAGAACATAAAGTTAATCAACATCATGGTAACAACGTTCAGTTGCTAAAACAAAGAACATGATGTTCGGTAAATAGTTAAGATTATGTATTCACAAGAATCGCTATTCCAAATCATCACTTCTAATACATGACTGGAGTATTTGAGAAGTTAACATTGGGGGACAAAAATAAAAAACTGTTAAAAACGGGTAGGCAATAAGATATGCTTCTACAGAAGTATTTGAACATGCTTATGACTTTAGTAACATAATTCTTAACAAAATGAGGGCTAAAAGGAAGAGCATTTCAAATAATCAAGGTTACAGAATTTAAGGAGGTGTTAACTGTAAATCTGGCCATGCTTCCATACAGTATGAAGTCATCAGTAACATAATAGCTCACACGGAGATAAATGGTCCAGAAATTAATAGCTTACAAATCAACTCCGATATTGCATTCAATTTCAGATGACTCCAGCAGCTGCTTTATTGGATCTTGATCGTATAGAAACTTTAAGAATACGATGACAAGTTCACTGCCAAACAATTTATAATAAGGGAGCTTCATGTTAAAAGGAAACTCAATATTGAAAGCCTTCATAGAAGCCGAACCTACTGAAGGGTAGAAGCTGATCACTTGGTTCTGACAGCAGGGTCCTTGTAGATTTCAGCAGCCAGCTGAAGAAATTAGAGAACTAAGAGAAAGAATTAGCAGCAATGAGACTCTATCCTGATGAACTGAAGAGGCTAACCGATACTATGAACATTAAGAATTACTAAGGCTTCTTTGATATAACAAGCTGAAACTTTTAACTAACGACCAACATAAAAAACAAAAACCACACATCAACCGAGCATTAGCCATCTTGGACACGTGCGCAGGACATAAGGTTTTTCCAAAGTACTTGAATTAATTTTTTTCTGATAGTTGTGCTCCATCACAGGCAAAAACAGTTAAAATTATGTAGCTGCATAGGTTTGCCTATGTACATGCTATAAACCAACAGGCTGCCCTCTAACATCTCAAACCATCAAATTTAGCTTTTATCTCAATCAAACATTATTCTCGGTGTTTGTGCTGATTATTAATTTAAAAAACAAGCCCGGGTATCGATATCATGCATAGTTCTTGAAAACTTCACACTGTCCATCAGATGGGTCCAAGCAGAATCCAGAAAATTAAGGACACAGAAAGAGAAGCAAAATTGTTTGACTTGTGCAGAAAATAATTTTTGACAACTTCAGTCCATTAGCACAGTGCACGCAGAATCCAAAAGTTGCATTTTTTCGCTTGTGCAGAAAACATGGTGAATATTACAATACATGTACCAATAGATTAGGGAGAGAAGAAAATAGATTAATTACCTGCTTCCAAAAAATAAATAAATTAAATTTGTATACCTGCTGTGTTACTGAGGAAAGAATAATCATGCATCGTTGGATTTGTACAAGCAACATCCCAGCCTTCTCTGTAGCATTCTCAATTAATATCTCATCTAAACCAATATTGTGGTAACGTGCACGCCATCTGGAAAGACCTCTAAGCTCTCCCATTCTAAAAACTATAATTTCTGCTGCAGGCTGAAAATATTTCTACAAACTTTTAATTTTCTACTCACAACCACTTGGAAAGCTATAGAATCTAACAATTAAATACTCACTTTGACACAAGAAAATGTCAAAATGGAAACACAAATGACTCTATCATAAGTTGTAAACAAGTGAAATAATGTGACTTTGCTTACAAGGATGAAAGCTGACAGAGATCAGTGTATATTTGATGATGCCAAAATTGGTTCCAACAAAGGGACAATGTAGGGACCAGGGATCTGAACCATCTCAAGTCGCTAACAAATATATTAATTCAAAGGTGAACTATAATGCATAAAGTTTACCTGAACATGATCTAGTAAAATCTGTTGAAGATCCTTTGCAGCACCACAAACCAATTTTGTCAAGCGTTTGAGACCCTATAAAGAACTATTCAATTAAGACTAATCTTGGATTTAGTTTCCTCAGAGTCTCTTAAAATATTCATTACCGCTTCTCCAATGGATTGTACTAAAAATTGATGAAGTGGTGGACTAATCCTAGCTCCACAAAGAAGGCTGATAAACTCCTCTTCAGGGGTGGAGTCAAGTCCTATAAAGAAATACAGTAATGAACATCAACAATCAGCTTAAGATAGTTTTAGTAATATTAACTATAAAGATAAGGATGGCAGGGAAAAGCCATTACCATGGTTGGCTATCAATGTGGATAGAGAATTAAACTTCTCATGGAATGTACGCATGGCATCATTCCACTGCTTTGACATGACTGAAAAAGATGTTTGAATAACTTCAGTCAAATCCTCAATGCTTGAAGCTTGTAGGGCCACCTGATACAGTTCTTTTTTCCTGGTTTACATGACAAGGGAAATGCCAGCAATATCAAGGCCTATTTGAGTACTTCATGCAAAAGCTAAAGAGAAAAGGAAAACTAACTTGGATTTGAGTTACCTAAGGGGTATGTGGAGAACCACTATTGAGAGAATAACGAAATAAAGGGACAAAAGACACACACACCCACACACACAAACATATACGGAATTTATGGCAACTAACAACTTCAGGTAAGACCTCCTAAAACGGATCAAAATTAAATTCACCACATCATACAGGAATTACCTGTTCCAAAATATGGAAGTGTCGAGAACTAGACTATGAAAACCGAGTAAACCATTTGATTCAATCCCATGCTCAACAACTTCCCCTGAGCATAAAACTACTAAATTGCAAAGGTCTTTTGACAGTGCCACCTAACCATTGAAAATTTAGAATCATAAGACTACAACTTTCGCAAAAGAACAATATATTCTTTTTATCCAAAAGCATGAGAAGCAGACAAGAGAATGGCTTACCTTGTGAATAGACGCACTCAAGAGCCGACAATTAAGATGGCTATGATGCAATTGAAAAAGACTAACGCTGTGGATATTCTAGTGTACAATGTCCAAATAAGATATACAGAAAAAAATAAAGAGTTAGGGTCTCAGGCACAACTGGTCACCATATGTACAGTTTTAAGAAACAATGAAACAACTTACTATCTTTCCTATTGGAAATATGCCAAATATGCTGAAGCAGATGTTTCCATCTTTATCCCCACTACACAAAATGTTAAATCGCCGACTAGATGAATTTGACAGCTCCTGGAATGAATCCTCGCTATCATCCGTGAAGCCACTGTCGCCAGGAACTAGTCCAGGCATCTTCGGGGGCCTAGGTTGAGGAGGAAAGAAGCGGGAAGTGCGATCTTCATAAACGGATACGTTACTGCCATCTACCTGAACGATAACTATTAATAACAACTCTAGAGAATATATCGCTCCACGAAAGGAAGAAAAATATAGAAAGTAGATATTGGATGGTTCTCGTTCTAGAGATTGCATTTTAAATTTCTTGAGGGGAACAATTAAACGACTCTCTCCTTGCATATATAGGACGCAATGCTCCCAGTTTCTAGCCCCTACTCTTAAACCGCTATATAGATTAGATCTTGCAGGCTTTGCAGCCATTCAGCCAATTCGATCGAAAGTTTTCTTTATTACTTAATAAGTTTACATCCATTCACCCAACGGATTAAATAAAAAATAAATATATGTTTTTTAAAAAAAATCTTGATTTTTCGGTATGAGCTTCAAAAGAAAGCATCCCCATGGTCACAGGGTACCCTCCAAAGCTTCCTCTCATATAAACATGTTTCTGCAAGACTACCAATAAGCCACCTTAAAATGCCATTGCTAGCTACTATCCAATCACAGTTTTGACAAGGACGCAAAATCTCGAGCTAAAACGACCTCAAATTACAATCCATCGTAACACTTTTGGAAAGGTTACTTAATCACTGACTTAATCTTTTTAAAAAACAAGAAATTACTGATGCGGTTAAGCTCAATATTGGTGTATAGAAGGTTAAACATACCGCAATTGTCTGTGCATCCTCCTCCCAATTTAGACATGTTACAGCAACCGTGTGCAGTTTTATGCTTCGTAATAGCTTCCCGTTCTGATTCACATAAGATGCAACCGAAAAAAGGACAAGTAAAAATGTTAAAAGCACAATATATTTGAACTCAACAATGGAGACATCAGCAAGTGGGAAAGCAAGGTTAATTTAGCTAACATCTTAAGATGACAAAATCAATTTAACAAACACATAAACATTGTTAAAAGAACTGAGGAAGTTCCTAAAAAACCAGTTGTGAAGTTTGAAATTAACGCACTTCCACATCATACAGAGAAACCGTCCCGTCTTCAAGGCCAACAGCAACCGCTTTACCATCAGGACGCCAACATAAAGATGCTATGCTCTTCCCTGCATTAAAAATTACGTACATAATCTTACTCCTCTAGGAACTCTGTATAGACCAAACAGTCGAGACCAAAGCTAACATTTACACAATCTGAGGTTAACTAGTTAACCATCAGATTCTATTAACATGACATTTCAATTTCATCTGGTAAAATTCAAAAGTTTTTCAATATTTCCAGATGAAGGGATGGAAACAATAGTTATAAGAGACCATGTATCAAACAGCTGCAATACAAGTTCACTGCTCGAACTTGGGATTCACATGTGAGTACATGTGAGTTTTAGAAAGGAAAATGTACATTATTTTACAAGATAAATATAATGGAGAGACCGTCGTCACGATATACCAGGAGAAACAGTCCAGAGCCTCTGCCAATTGAAACGGTGAAGAAGCAGCTTCGAGTCCTCTGTAACCATGGCTAGCAAATCTTTTTCTGGGTTCCATTCGGCAATCTTTATCTGCACATACACCACATGTCTCACATAACTTCCGGCAAGAAATTTTAAAGAAGCAACTTGTACCGAAGAATATATTTTTATGAAGAAAAACGAGACATCTTCAGCCATTTTGATGCAAAGTCGTTCAGGAATCAAAAAAAGGGAACCTGGGAAGTAACGGGTTTGTCGAATTGTAGCTGAAAGGGCACCACTCCTGGAGCTTCATCGGTTTCCATTAGCCCCTTAATTTAGTATCTTTGTTGGAAAACTGTGAACTTTTGAAGGTGTTTTGGCTCACTGCAGATCGGAAATGATGGCGGGCTTCGGGAGTTCGGACAATTTCATTTTTAAAGTTGTGGGATGTATTTTCAAAACTACCCTCGGAACTTCTCTTTAATCCTTTTTGGTACCCATTATTTGATTATAGATTTTTGCATTTGCACTACTTTTTCCCTTCTTTTTTTTTTTCTTTTTTATCTGGTAAAGAAGCTACATATTTAAAGAAGTGACGAAGGACGAAAACGAATAGAAGATTAGGGTTTCTATTATTTTTGTCTAAAGATATTTTAGTCATTTTAATTTAGTTACGATTTTATTTTATATCGTCTTTTCTATTTAAGGATTTTAGCTGCCTCATTATAATTTAATTGTTGAATATTATTTAAAAAATCGAGATTTACTCTCAAACTAAATTCTTTTGGTATATGTGTTGGTATTGAATTAGTAGACTAGCTTTGGTCATGTTTTGGATGAATTCTTTTTTGCTCAAATAGAGAATGAAAGTTCAACCTCAAAGGAATGGGAAGAGAAAAAAGAATTTTTTTTTTTTTTCTTTTGAGGAAGGAAGAAATTTGTTTTAATAGCCATATATCATTAGTTTTCAGTTTCGTTCAGCTTTTTGGGATATACTTGTGACCTCTTCACTATTCTCTGTGTTTCTCAAAACTATTCGAATTGGTTCGAATTTTGTCATATCATTTACTTTTCGCAATTCAGAAATTACTCACTTACAGTTCGTTTTAGACAATTTTACCCCTGAATTCTTTTTTTTTCTCCAACATACACTAATTAATTAATTACAAATAAATTTCACTAAATTAATTGAATAATAACACAAAATATAAAACTAAAGTAATTATACAAAAAAATAATGATAACAAAAAAATAATATTAAAATAATACAAAAAATTAGGGAAAAAAAAAGAAAAAGATAAGGGTGACCGGCTGTCGGGCCGACCACCTTTTGAAGGTTGGCCTGTTTACTCACCGGCCAACCGGGAAGAAGCCAACCCATTGAGTGGCCACTTCTTCCTGGTTGGCCGGTGAATAAATCAAGCAACCTTCAAAAGGTGACCGGCCGGACAACCGGTCACCCTAGGCAAAAAAAAAAAAAAAATCAATTTTTTTAAATTTTTTTATGTAATTGTTATTATTTTTTTATATTTACTTTAATTTTTATTTTTTGTGTTATATTTACTGATTTAATAATATTTTTAATTTAATTGAATTTATTAGGTATAATTAATTTATTTTAATAATTAGTGTAGATTAAATAGAGAAATTAGGCATAGTAAGTTGTTTATTATTATTATAATTCATTTTTTATATTCAAATAAAGAATACACTAGATATTATATTAAAATTATATGATAAATACATTTGAGTAGGTTTTTGTGATTAGGTATGTAGTATTTAGTTAGTAGAAATTTGTAGGTTTTAATAATTATTGTTTACGTAAATGAATTAGTTACTTTTTTTATGTTTTGAGTAAATTAATTACAACTAAATAACACAACATACACTAATTAAATTAATTATAAACAAATTTAACTAAATTAATTGAACAATAACACAAAAAATAAAACTAAAGTAAATATAAAAAAATAATGACAATTACACAAAAAACAATTGAAAAAAAAAAATTTTGCCCAAAGGGCCAGCCACCCTTTGAAGATTGGCTGGTTTACTCACCGGCCAATCGGGAAGAAGTGGCCTACCCAACAAGTGGCCATTTCGTCGCGGTTGGCCAGTGAGTAAACGGGCCTACCTTCAAAGGGTGGCTGGCCCGACGGACGGCCACCTTGGGCAAATTTTTTTTAAAATTTTTTTGTGTAATTTTCATTATTTTTTATATTTACTTTATTTTTATTTTTTATGTTATATTTAGTGATTTAATAACATTTTTAATTTAATTGAATTTATTAGGTATAATTAACTTAATTTAATAATTAGTATAGATTAAATGCAGAAATTAGGTATAATAAGTTTTTTATTATTATTATAATTTATTTGTTATATGCAAATAAAAAATGCACTAGATTTTATATTAAAATTATATGATAACTATATTTTGAGTAAGTTTTGTAATTAGGTAAAAGTTCAAGGACAAAATTGTTCAAAACGAACTATAAGTGAGTAATTTGTGAACTGCGAAAAGCAATTCAGATACATGTATCATTTACCTATATATACACAAGTAAACTTACGAGTGACAGACTTAAAACAAAATAATGCACTCCTTGCGTCCCATTAAAGTAGTCTACATTAAGTTATTAAATTTGTAGTACTAAAGCTAATACAAATCTTAAAACTCAATGTGGATTATTTGTTTTGTAAAGGAGGAAGTATTTATAACAAAAATAATTCGCACAATTAGATAAGAGTTTTATATGTCACTCAAATTTTGCTCCGTTGTTAACTCTTTTTTTTAATTTTATTATTAATGTTGAGACAATTTTTTCCCACCTTTCATGATCTCTATACAGACGTAAAGCTTAGAAATGCTCAAGGTACAAGAGGGATGACGAAACAACCCAATGCTTCTTTCTAGATTCTGATGACTCCAAAAAAACTGCACCACCCTATCGGCGGCTTCGTAGTTTCGATGTATGAACAGCTTACTATGACATGAATTTGGAAGAGAATTTTATACCTATATCGTACCATCTTCATAGGTCATAAACGATCCGATAATTAAGAACTGGTTTTATGAATATAACGTCCGCATTCAGTACCCGTATTGAGTTTTAAGTAATGGCTTAGATCAAGTAGATGATTGATGATTGACAGAAATGACAATGGAAATAAACTACGATACCAACTATCAACTTCCCACCATGTTCACAAAGGATTCATCGCAACATGTTCAGAAAAACCTCAGCAGATGGGTGAAGAAAAGATCAACAATAAAAAAAAGTGCTCTTAGAAATTGTAATAAAATCGTTTTTATTCAGTAGACAACATATGACACACTCTACCGGACTCCAGAATCGGGAGCAAAAATAGGCCGCAGGATCATCCTCAACTTTTCGAGTCCAAAAGATCCTACACTTCCCTGTAAATATAAAGTCGAGGCCTAAATAAACACAATCGGCCCAAATAAAAACGATATGCCAAGACATTTTCTCACATAAAATCATAATCATCATAGGGATCATCATATCTCTCAACCACAGCATCTTCAGCTTTATCAACATGGAGCTGCTTCTTTTTTCCAACTGAGATTAAGAAAGAAACTCTCAGGATCAAGCCACAAAAGAAAAGGTGTAAAGAATTTAACAATCTTGAAATCATTGATGCAAAACACACCTGTCTTCTTTTTCCCAGCATTTGCTTCCTTTTCTGCCTTTATTTTTTCATTTGCGATTGCTGTGATAGAAGATGCTACGTCCTTGGCATCTGCCCCTTTCAATGAGACCATTGACAATCTCATCACAGCTTTAAGCAAACCAAGATAATGAAAGCTTTTCTGCAATCAATAGATATGGTTTCTGGCTCAGATTTCAGAATATAATGACATATTGAAACTGAACTCAGGGGTAATCAATTACAACAAACCTCGAAAGGCCGCAGCTTGTGGGAAACAAGTTCAGCGTATTCTAAAAAGTCACTTTCGGACTTTGGAATAAATGTGTCAAGATTCTTCTCATCACCGCTCTTCCCAAATAACTCCTTCGTGGACTTATAATCAGCTTCTTCTACTAGCCTGAAGTTAAACAAATAAACAGAATCAGAAGAAATCGCACCACCGCTAACTGTGCAAGTTAACCTCCGGACGTGAAGAATTTCTTTTTTCGAGTCATGAGATCTATTAAAGAGGAAAAGGCAGTAATTTGTTCAATTCGACACAGTAAAATTTGCTGAGATCTATTGATAGTGAAAAAGGTGGTCATATCATCACACATTATCAGACATCCGTGAATTACAATTTAAAAGCTATTGCTTCTGATAACTTTTAAAAATAAAGAAAAATAACTTTACTGAAACCAAGAAATGGTATCTCTATGCAAGACAATAACTTGCAATTATGCAGTAACTAAAATTAAAAAGCCAAACAGACTAAAAAATGCTTACAACTTAAGAAGATCAGAAAAAAGAAATAATTGAATAGATAAAAAAAGACTAAGGATAATCAAGTATCACATCAAACAATTACTCCACTTTTTATCAATTTTCTATCAGGTATATCATCCACTCTATTCCAATAGCATGAGCAAATTGCGCAGTAGAATATGCATAAAGAACAAAAACTAAATTCAGTGAAAGAGGAAGCTGAAACTACAGACTACTTTAAACTGCAATTAATGGTTTAACAGTGTCAAAATTCATACAGCACGGCAAAATATACATTGTCAATCACCACCACACAGAAGAGACATGAAACAATCGTCACACAAGTCAGTGGATTAATCCCTAAGACCCTGTCTTTGGGCTTGCCTCCAAGTAAAAATAACAGAAAAGGAAGAGAAAATGTGGAAGTTCTACCTTTGCTGACGAAATTTTTCCTCCACGGGATCTAGTTTCTCCTCGGCAATTTCAACAGCTTTTCCCTTTTTTTCTTTTTCAGTTGCTTTTGTGGTGGATTTCTTGGTAGCCTTTGCAGCCGGAGGTTCCTCTTTCGGTGCCTGATGACATAACAAGAAATTCAAACACCAATGCAAAAAAAACAAAAGCATAAGAGAAAAACCCCATTAAAAGGGCATTCAAGCAATGAAATAGCATGCCAATATATAAAGCTGCAGTAGCCACACGGGTCTGAGCCCCCAAAACCTCAATAAAGCTTAAGTTCTCTCTGCGCAAAATCATTCAGATTCTCACATATAGTACACTAAGAATAATCTAGAACAGCCTTTTCCTCATAATCTATACCATTTAAAGGGAAAAGCAGTTTATTTCACAAACCTACTCAATGACCCTAACATAACATACGACACAATTTCCCCATGATACGTCCCAGGATAAAAAGCTCTCAGCGTGTCCGGTAGAAGGCAGGATATTTATACCCGTAAAAGAACCAATATGTTATCTTCAACAAACCTTTGAACCAAAGATGCATTTTCTTTTTCCTCCAAAATTTACAGCGAGCATACACCTCACTAAGTTAAGGCTATTTAACTGTTACAGCACAAAAAGCAGAGTCTACACATGGTAGATATGCTAAATAAAAGAGACCAAGCACTAAAAATCAGCAGTATTTTGGAAGGCATTGCAGTTTAACTTCCATGATATTCAGCTCCAAAGCACAATGCAGAATGCACATGCCAGGAAAGATGGAACCAGAAATATGTATCAAACTACCAACAGTCAAATAAGAACTAAAGCGGGGAAAGAAAAACATATGCCCCCCCCCCCCCCCCACCCCAAAAAAAGAGAACCCATGGTTCATCTCAATAATAAAAACTTATTTCTACCTTTTCATTGTTCAAATTAACAAATTTCAACATTTGCCTGAATTAATTACAATAATAAGAAAAAGAAAGAAAAGGAGCTTACCACGGCAGGCTCATCTTCATCTTCCCAAGAATCTTTCACATCATTCTCATCCACATCTTCGTCCTCCCAGTTGGATTTAATTTTAACTGGTTCTTTTGAAGTAAGATCTGGAATAGCTTCTTGCTCTGAAATCACAAGATATTCCAATCATAGGTTATCCAACTATAGCTCCACATATATAGATGTAGCATCAACAAGCAACAAACAATAAGAATGTAGACAAACACTAATGCTGCAACTACTACAAACATAAACCCGGTTTCAAAAACCAAAAAAAATAATTAAAAAAATTATATAAAAAATAAATAAATAAATAACCATGAACTTACCCCAATCCTCCTCCATTGAATTTCACTTCTCCTGCTTTTGACTAGATTTGCAAATTCGAGTACCCGAGCTGGTTGAATCACATAACAAATATCATCATTAACTATGAAGATAAACTCTTTCATACGGTAACATCAGCAAGACTTCAAACACACGAATCAAAATAAATTGAATAAGAGGCACCCAAACCCATAACCAAAATAATGTCTTTTCATTAAAATAAACACCCCCTCCCACATCAACTAAACTATGCCAATAGAACACCTAAACAACAAGAACTGGAGTACGCATTCATGAAACCGGGAACAAAATTGATAAAGATAAATAAAATAATCAAGACCCAAAATAGGAACAGATATGAACTCCGATGAGATAAAGCCAAACATAACCCCCCCCCCCCCAAGAAAAAACCCCGAGCAGGAACCGAAATCTCGAAAATTGACTAGAATGCTTATACCACTGAAAGGTTAAGAGAACCGGAGGTGAAAACAGCGGACAACGGCGAAGACGATGGGAAGCACGATTTTGAATGGTCTGTGGAGAAAAACCCTAAGTCTGGATTCTGAGCGACAGAAAATCTACGCAGTCGATCCTTCAAATCGCGTTAGGGAGGAAGGGTGAATAAAAAGACAAGATTCGAAGAACCCAGAAGGGATTTTGTGAATTGGACTCAGGGTTTAATTTGTCTTTTCAACTTGGAGCGTTACAAAATTGGCAATCCGTCTGTTTTTCGGAGAAGTAACCATAAGGAGTAATTTACAAGGAGGGCTTATATGTCTTTTCCACTTTGCACTGGTACGTCAATAGCAATCAGTCTGGTCAAATTTTCTGTTGATATGACTACTATACCCCTGTTTAGACGAACTACTTTAATTCCACTGCAATAATATACATACTAACAACTTACAAGGTACAACCGTTGACAATTACAATTACAATTAATGAATGCATGATCCAAATAGTCATAAGATTTATATTTTTCAATTTGCAATATCCAGAATTTAATCACTTTTATCTAATAATATAATTAGATGATGATGCAACCCTGTCCGTGCATTTTTAACTCTTAGTAGTAATTTAAGTTTGAACAAACCTCGAGTTATTATATTTTAGTGTTTCGATTTGAGAAGTCCATTTTAGATCGGGAATGGTAATTGTTATAGGTTACAAGAATCACAATCATATAAAATCTGGAGTTCAAATTATGTCGGGAGTGATCATAATAATTTTAAAAAATAAACAAAAAAGAAATAAGTCCTTTAAGATCCTCTTACTTTCAAGTTCAACTATGTGCGAATCCGAATCTCACAAGGCGATCAAATTCTCAGTGGCAGGTGTGTACATACATGCAGGGAGAACAATTTGTGTGTCGATACTCTAACTATGGCTGTTTGGGTTTGGATAAAGTGTTACATATATATTTTTTTTGGTGTCCCCTTAAATTGTATCGACATACCGCGAGAACATGACTCAAAGGGAGTCTCATGTATTTTGAGGCGTTAGCCTCAGTTAAGTTCTTTACCCAAAAAGAATAAATAAAAATATTACAGCAGCACGAATGGGGTATTCAACGATTCATGTTACCAATTTAGAACCTTGTGGTACTGATGATTATTGAACTGAAAATTGATCATGACATATTGTGAGGGTTGCATTGACAATAAAGCCAAACACATTGGGGGAACAACATGAATGTTGCCCCATGTGACTTCAAACCCCTTTTCTGCAGTAGCTTCCTTTTCATAAGACCGTCATTCTTTTTGCACTTAATGGTCCTGGATTCATTAGAGGAGACATAAATACTTGTGAGATTTCATTCTCCACTTATAATTTTCAGAACACAAACCTCATTGGCATAGGAGTATTCTGCATCCATGATTAATAATGATACATTTACAGAAGTATTATAGTGATTATAGTTCGCTCCACTGTTTCATTTATAAGTGTTGCTTCTAGAGACCATTGGTACGATTCATAGATACATGTGTCCTCATGATTAAGCCCACCTCGCTGAAGAGATTAAATTGGACATATACATATAATTAAGGATAAAAGTCATAACCCTTTGGAATCCCTATAAAACTCTATTATACGCTCAATTTGTGGAGTTTGCTACTACTAAAATATTCAAAAGGGCTGAACAGAGATTTATCTGTAGATATCATGTTTTGGGGTCAATCAAAACTAGGGACATTAATCATTTTTTTTAAGCTCATTAGTTCCTTTTGGGAAAAAGGCATCAGTTATCTCCCTAATCTGTCCCTACTTGTTTGAAAAAAAAACACACATTGCGCTGAAAAGATGCAAAATACTGTTTATCATCTTCATCATTCATCAACTTAACAAAAAAAAAAACCTTATTTTGGTGGTCTAACACTTAACTAGGCAATTATCAATGTCATTATGAATCCTGCACCAGCAACTCATGCAGAAGGAACAGGGGACCCCACATGGGAAAAACTTAGAGATTCAGATAAAAGCAAAGGAACGAGGAAGCAAAGGCAAGATTTCTGGACAATTTGACAGATGCAGTCAGTTTTTTTTTCTGTGGTACTATTATTATTCCACCAATGAAAAGGAGTAAACAGGATGTGTGATAGATTACTGTAAGTACAAGTAAGCCAAAGAATATCTGTCAGGAAATCTTGGTCTTGATTTGCTAAAATACTTATTTTTTTTACTCTAAAAGGTAGAGATATATATCAATGGGTATGGCCTGAAGTTTGAATTTTTGGCCATTTTTGGGGACCTGTCATTTTCAATAATATGGCTGCAAATACGATGCCGGCTCTTAGCTCTTTGGAACTTATGCTGAAACAACTCCAGAAAAATGAGGATGATCAGCCAGAGGATGTGCCTCCAGCTCTTCCAAGTCGCCCTGTCATAAGGGCTCGTCTACCTCGGTCCAGAAATCGGCCACCCTTTACTTCCTCGAGCAATATTTGTGAAGATTATGGGAGGAAAAAGGGCAGATTGTGTGTTTCCATTGAATCAGATTATCACCTTGGATCATCTGCATTTTTAGCTGATTCGGCTAATGGATCAACTGAGGGATTTGAGTCCAAAAACAATGAAGATGGTGCAGCAGAGAAGGTAATGCATTTAACAGTATTTTTCATTTAGTTGTTTGGATTAAGTTGAGTGACTTGGGTAGTCTTATAGGCAGGTACAAAGAATTTAGCTGCACAAATCATTTTGCTGTTGAGTGATATGCAGAGCTTCTCTAACTTAAATGTATGCAGTTTGAATTGAGAAAATAGAATAGGAGTTGATGGATTACTTTAGGCCATATGCCAACAGTTGCATATTTTCTTTCTTTTCAAGATTGCATCTGAAACCAAAAAAAAACGAAGTAGCTGAAGTTCAATCAGATAACTATGAGAGCTATCATCAGAGGACTGCTAGGGCAAGATGATAGTAGTACAATGTTGTGGTGAATTGAAAAAATACTTTAGGGGAATGTAGACCTCCAATATGGGATTAGTTCAATCTTTTGGTGTACGCGGTTTCTGGGTTTGCCTGTTACTTAGTTTCTGATGCAAGGTCATCTGTTCTAGACTGGCATCTTCGATTGTGGAAAAGAAGGAAGACTGGAGCAGATACCGGGGAGCCACAGAGATCCTAATGTTGAACAAATGTGCTTGTGTGATCATGATCTTGACAGAGGAGTTATTACACTTCAATCATGTAAACTACTTCCCTCTACTACCCAATTGTGCTAAGAACTTTTCCTTTCTATTTCACATTATGTTCATGTTGTAGAGAATTTTTTCAAACTAATTGATATTATGCTGTCAAACTAAATCTACTATACTTTGTTATGTACAGTTGTCCGTGGTGAAAATGCAAGAAAGCATTTTGCTAAAAAGATGACAGCGATAGCAGTAATACAGAAACGTGTGAAAGGTCATCTCAGAAGTAGATTGTTAGAAGAAGAAGATCCGGCAATCAAATACTTGCAATCAAGTAAGTGCAGCATTTTGTTTGATCTGAAATTCGTAAGCATATCGACAAAAGTTTTTCATCTGCTATATTTGCAATTCAGGTGTTCGAGCTTGGTTGGCATGGCGGCACCTTAATTCTATAGATCAAAGAGAAAAACTACTTACATGGGATGCTAGGACTATGAAAAACCTCGAGAAGAAGGTACTGTACTGGCTCTGTCTCTATACTTGACAAATTTTTTGATTTTTTCTTCATCAAGATTTAGATTTAATGCAGGCTGTGGCTTTGAACTATCTACTACTTAGCAACATAATTGTTATATGGTGGAATCGACTTCTTACATTTTAATAATCATTCAGGATCAGGTGGAGGTTCCATATTCAGTTCTAGTTGATCTTCAAAGGCGAGTGCTGAAAACGGAGGCGCTATTGGATCAGAAGAAAGAGGAAAATGCTTCTTTAAGGCTACAAATAAAGCAACTGGAGAGAAAAAGACAGCAACATGAGGCAAAGATGAAATCCATGGAAAAGACATGGCAAGATCAGTTAACATCTATGCAAGTGAGTTTGCTTTACAGTTTACTTCACTGCTCTTTCGAATGCAAGTTTCAATTCATCAAACAAATTAGACATTCCAGATCAACGAACACCCAGCTCAGCTAAATTTTGCCTTAGAATGAGGCATTGTAAAGCTCCCTCTTGCTGAAATGCAAGGTCCAAGGATAAGCTGAAATTTTGCTACTTAGCATTTATTTGATCGGGCTATTCGTGTAATCTATGCATAGAAACACATAAATATTACCTAAAGAACATCTTATTAGTTTGCACGTAAAGAATTAATTAGAAGTGAACTAGCTTGAGAAAAATACTGTCTGTTATAATGCAGGAAACTTTAGCAGGAGCAGCAACTAAAAGGAATCCTAAAAGTTCTGCGGGCAAACTTGGAATGCTTTTTGCTTTACCAGAAGATCATGATGAAGATGATGATGATGATGATTCACCCCTTACTATCAGAGCAAGGCTGAATTCCAATCAGATCATCGACCACGAAAGAGCAATGTCGGATGAAAATGCTGGCATCCTGATTCGAGATGAGTTGGAACAGCAGGCAGCTTGCAGCGCTAATCAAGAGGAGGAGCTACAGAAACTGAAGCTCAAATTTAAAACATGGAAGAAAGACTTCAAGACTAAATTGGTTGTGGCAAAAACTACAATTAAGAAGCTAGGCAACTCTGATGGAGGGAGGACTAGTGGTCACAAGAAATGGTGGGCAAGATAAAAAGGAAAGAAGGGCTTTAAAACTGTGGTGTCTGTTCAGTTGTCATGTGTTAACTCTTACAACACAAGAGGAAGTGGATTTTCTATGGACAAATCAGCTGGCAGATCGAAGGCACTTACTGATTCATGGGATGCTGCATTTTACAATGTTAGTGCTGATTAGTCCTCATTCTTTTATCCATTTATGATGTATCAGCAAACAATCAATCGTCCAGAAATGCTGGAGATTAGTAAGTACAAACAAAATTTCGTTACCTTCAGCAGTTCATCTCAATCCCTTGCAAGTTTCTTGGCATGGAAAAACTTGGTACCCTTTGATCTTAGTATTCAGGAGAATCATTATTAATGCAGGAAGTAAGCATAGGGGAGTAAAATGTTAAGCCTTGAAGGAAATGCTTTTCCTTTCCCCAGTAATCTGTAATCAGGTATAAATAAAACAGAACTGCCACCAAAAAGGAAATCGCCGTTGCCGGGGATCGAACCCGGGTCGTCCGCGTGACAGGCGGAAATACTTACCACTATACTACAACGACTTCTTGTTGCATTGTTATTAAAGGAAATTTATTTCATATAATGTAACAGGCCGAGGAGATTTGGAAACAACGTCAATCGAACTAGGACCGACATTATTTTCTTCCTTTCTCCTACGTAGAGATAGCATTACACAATTAATTTATATCATGCCCGATAATCATAAGCAATACTCCCTGCATTTCAAAATATAAGTCTTTTTAGAGTGTGCACGAAAACTAAGAAGACAACTATTTAACAATTAATTTGTGTATCAAATATCTATTTTACCCATCACTAATTGTTTTGAAACTATAACCAAAACTAGAAAAAAAAATGGTCAGCATTATTTATTAAGGGCAAAGTTGAGAAGTTCATCATTAATTTGCCTTGAAATTCTAAAACGATCTACGTTTTGAAATATTTCTCCAAACCTAAAACGATATACACTTTAAAATGAAGGGAGTATGAATCTCACGATGTAAATGTGCAGAATCTTACGCAAATAGGAGTGAATCTCGAGCCTAGTCTGCAAGTGTGGATTGCAAAGGTCACGAGAAAAAGTGATGAGTTATCGAGATTGTTTTAGTTTTATAACCAAAGTATTCTTTCTACTGCAAAATTATTTCTATTCGAATTTTGATTTATGGTTCAATTTAGTGTAATTCTATAACTAAAGTATTCTTTCTATCGCAAAATTATCCCAATTTGGATTTTGATTTATGGTTCAATAGTTCTACAACTAAAGTATTCTTTTTATCGCAAAATTATTCCTATTTGGATTTTGATTTATTGTTTAATTTATACTAAAAATGAAAATATAAACTGAACAATAATTTTGGGTTGAATGCAGTAATAAATATGATTGTTTTGACAAATTACATATACTCCCTGGTATCAAAATGGTTATACAATGAATAAAACAAGTACTCACGAATGGAATGAGTTATTTTATATGATAAGATCCCAAAGTATAACAATCACATTTGGTCCTAGTCATCCAAACGAAACAATCAAACTATAATATATGTATGAAATCAATTAAACATAAACTCGCAGAAATACAACTCTATTAAAGATTTTCAGACATTTCAGACATCCTAGTATGTATAATTGAAATATTTGGTGTACTAAAATTAAATAGCACGAGGCAAAGAAACTAGTAATTAGGCCAGGGAATGTAATAACATTAAATTAATGCGATACCAATAGTTTATTCATTTCTTTCGAAGTAGACCCAAAAAAAAAAAAAGGTGCGCGCAAAACAAGAAGGAACGATATATATACTCCACTATATAGCGAATTAGCAAATCCTCCTAACCACTGCAACTATTCATTACTGAGCACTTTAACAGAAACCTCTATCGCATCAAACCGAAGATTTTGGCAATACTACGAAGTACGAACTCAATAAGCCTGATAAATTAAAGAAAAATATAAGGTGAATTTTTCATTGCAAGCCCTGAAAATAGGGAAAAGGACTAGCGGCGGGAGTATGCTCTAACACCGGAGTGCAGCTTCGAGGGCTGTTGGGGTCATAGCAAGGACTGGATAGAGCACTTGAAATGTAGTCAGGATCGGGACTTGAATTCGGTGGAATGGAGGGACTGTTGTTGCAAATATTCGGGCAAGGATTAGGGCTAGGGCTAATGGCAATGTTATCGGAGCTTGGCGGCTGAAGGTTGGTGGTGGTGACGGCGGCGGCGACATCTCTGCCACCATAACTCCTTCTTCTTCCTCGTTGATGATTGTAGTCGTGACTGAAATTGTCGGATTTCAACGGAACGGAAGACCCGTAGTATTGATGTGCCCTCCGCCGATTACGACTGCTCTGCCACCTCTGATAATTCCAACCTAAATCATACCTTGGCGATGATCGGGATTTCTCGTCACTCCAATCAATCCCATCACAATGTCGATTGCTTCCGTTTCTTGATGGTTTTGATCTTGACGGCGACGAATTGAAGGAGTATCTTGGCTGGTGGCGCCGCCAGCCATCGCTTGGACTCGGTGGACGATAGCTTCTTCTCAATCTCAGATGATACTCATCATCATCATGGCGATGATTATAACTGTAGAAATTCGACGTCGAAGGCTCATGATAATCGGAATTGTAACTGAAATTTGGCCGGTCATCATATCGATAATCATCGTTGTAATCGTAGCCGCTTCCGCTCGGAATTTGTCTCTGGCGGCGATGATAATCATCAACATCATGATTGTAGTAATTTCTTGATTTGGGGTAGAACAGAGAGCGAGGTTGATAGAACGTCGTCCGGCAGCAACTCCGGCTTGGATTCCGACTTCGTTGTTCACGTATGTGAGAGGTTTCAGTCGTCCTCGAGTAATAACAATTTCTTGATCGATAGGAAGGCGGAGGACTTGGTGACCGGCCAAGTCTTCTTCTCTCCATCTTTGACGGCCGCTCTATTTCTTGGTAAGCTTTTTTTTCACTAAACATTATCAATCACATCAAATTAAAAACTCAATCAAACATAAACCTCCCTTCTTGTATTTATAGATAGGAATATTTATTCCTGATTTCCATAAAAAAAAAAGAAGGAAAAATTAATCGTTTCCTTATTTAACCCGGAAAAGGAAAGGATTAAACCACAATTTAATTAATTTGCTTATTTAACCCGGAAAAGGAAAGGATTAAACCACAATTTAATTAATTTGTTGTATATTTTCCATCTAATAATTTTATTATAAGTAGTAATAAAACAGTTCAAAAAATACGATTTTTATTTAGAGATACAATACCCATATGATTTTTTGAGAGTTTAAGGTTGTGAACAAAATGAAGGGACAAAATAACCTCCAGTTAATTAGTTCTGGATTTAAAAAAAAAAAAAAAAGAAGCCAAAATACGTACTCCTTTTGTTTAAATCCGTAAGACAGTTTTACATCTCATGCCGCCATACCAATGAAAAAATGGCTGATGATTCTTTTTCCCTTTCCACAGTAAATTTTGGTCATCATATCGTTGAACTACACATTATTATGCTCATAATGTAGAGCGTTATTAGAATACCTACTAGTCATTTTGTTGATCCCCCTATTTTACTCAAGTATTTTGATGTTGCTATCTCAATGAAAAATATGTTGACAAAATCATGTGGGATTAAATATAGTACTTGTTTTACGCTATATTTTGGAGTTGCCTTAGTTTGGATTTCAAATTCCCCAATACCATTCAAATGTTACTCAAAAAGAAACATTAATAGTATTTAATATTTAGTCACTAATATACATATGGCAATAGAATTTCCATATAGTTTAGAAAACCCTTTTATTCTTGAGTTTTTCTTTTTTTAAATTTTCATATAAATAGCAATAAATTTTATTTTGACATCTCATATAAATTATCAAAGTCATGCATTTACTGTAACTGTTAAATAATTGAACCAAATTAAGAAAAAAGAATTTAAAAAATGAAGTATTGTGTGTGCGTGTGTTCCCCTGGGATGTTTCAGGTCGTTGAAAGTCCACACAAACCTGTTATGAAGGTGCATTTGACCAATGTACAGTGATTAAAAACTTGCGAAGCCCAAACCCAAAAAGAAACCAAAAAAAAAAAAAAGCAAGAAACTTCGATACCCAGCGTCTACGTCTTCATCGCCCCAAGCCGACAATCGAGAGCTTCTTCCTCCACCGGGATTCAAACCCTCATCATCTATCGTGAAACCAGAGTTCCCCTAGGCGGCGCGTTATTCTGATTACAGACTTCAAACCATGGTAATCCTCTTTATTCGCTTCTTCCTCAAAACCTAGTTGCGAAATTTTGTAGATTTTGGTTATCTTGTCTGTGTTCGATGAAATGTTGTAATTCGTGTTCAATAAACCATTATTATGATTGTTCTCAGATTTTTCTTTCGTCTTATTGGTTTTGTTTTGTATTGTATGTTTTGGTAATCTGTGGGATTGCCAAGAAACGATTGATAGAACTTCGCTATTATGAGGAACTAGTCCTTGGCATTCAAAGCCACCTTGTTATCAGAGGATAACCATGTAACCCGAAATGTCTTCCTCCGAGTTAGTTTTGTTGTGATTTAGATTCTATTTAACGTTATTTATCACAATGAATTTGGAGTGTTGTAATAATATGGTGTTTGAAGATTTGAGTTAGCCATTATTGAGGCTCGTGGTTAATGATCATATACTCGTCGGGTGGCAGAGGTTTCGGTTTTATCATGTTTTGTGTGATGTGTTCTTCATAGTTTATTCCATGAAGTTTGAAGTATCAAAGGCTTGACTTTTTATTTATCTTATCACCTTTTATAGTGTTTTTTGTTGGTGGTCAAGGATTTGATTTCATCCTCTATTTGGGCTTGTTGATCCATGGGCATTTCATGTGCATCATGAACAATGAGATAATTGGGCAGACTTTTGATGTTCTGTGTAGTATGTTCTTCCAGGGAATTAGAAGCTGAATTTACTAGTTCTTTTCTGATAATTTCTCTGGTCAGGTGAATTGCTGTATGTGAATTTAGTGCAAAATTATGAGCATGATTTGTCAGGGCTCCTTGCTTTTTTCCTCCGGGATCTAAATTTGCCTGTCCTCTTTAAGAAAATTTGGAACTTCTTCAGCTTGATTGTGTTTGAAGCTTATTGAATTTTGCCATTTTATCATATATATTGTTATTATTTTTCTTTGGAGTGATAAATTCAGTTTCAACAACCTACTAGCTACCCGAGTAGATTTTTGTCTCTGTTTTGAGGGTTCACTTTAAAATGCTAAGCTTCTGAGGTGGGGGAATGGTGTCTAGTTTACCTGAGTAAATATTTTATGTCTGTTTTGAGGGTTCGGGTTTAAATGCTAAGCTTCCGAGGTGAGATAGTCTTTTATATGTAGGGGAACGATGTCTAGTTGTTCCATTTATGAATGTTCTGGCTACCTGCTACTATTATGTAGAAATGAGCCTTGGTAATTAATTCATTGAGTTTCACTAGTTTCCAGAGTCTTTAGTGTTCTTCTTCTGATGAACAATGGTAAAGCTGATACACCAAATTGCAGTAGAAAATAACTTAGTTGTTGAAATATTTGTAAATCATTCACTACTTGCTATGTGCTTCTTGTGATACTACTGGTAGAAGTTATTATGTGAATGATTTCCTGGGGTTTATGGAGGACAAAATGATCTTTACATACATGTAAACAAAAATGTTGTCATCTCGTGTAACTGCCGTGTGAGCTTTTCGCCTTATTAGTGATATGTTCAACGATATTTAAGAAGCATATTAGCCTGTTTTTCTGATAATCATCTGCCGCTTTCCGGTGTTTCGTGTTTGGGCATGCAAGTGATGCTGATAACATTCTATTTTAAGAAGCCTTTGTCAGTGTTGTCTCACCTCTCTATACCTAAGAAGTGGACTGCAGTATGGGCACCTTTGCTCATATGTTGTAGCTGCAGGTTCTAGTGGTTACTTTATTGCACTTGTTCTCAAGTTTGGAATGGCATTTCAGAACTCTTGAAGGTTTTCAATTAATTCATGAGGTGATGGATTGTTGTTGGCTTGTGTTGTGTTAACGGAACAATTTAAGGGTGATTTGTGATATATTAACAAACAAATTTGGTGATTTCCTTCATACAAGGGTTGGGGACATTTTGCTTATACTTCCATGATTATAAAGAAAAATCATCTCCTTTATACAGTGCTGCATAATTATGGATAATTGATAACATTATCCAAGTCGATTTTGTATGATGGTAATGGGTATGCCTGACATCCTGTCAGAACATATATGCTTGGTCTGCTGTAAGAATGTTATCCAATTCTGCTCCCTGTCTCTATTTTTACTTCTTCAGTTCATTTATTTCATTCTGAACAGCAGTCTCTTTGACCACTTTTCCCGTTGTGTAAGTACAGGCTGCAAGGATAATCGCAACTTTGATAGTTTCGGGCTCTGGCATCTTGATCAGAGCATTTGCTCAAGCATACCGTCAAGCACTTGTTAGTAAGTTCCCTTTGATTAAGTGTAATGTTTTGTTTCTCTGCTTTTCAGTGTTCGAGTCGAGGTTGTGCAATTTGGGTTTTGCCTTAGTTATTTTGTGTTGTTTGATAGAGTATCTTTTGCTTTGGAAGGGGTATTTTAGAAAAGCAAGGAAATTTCCTCTTAGTATGTTACACCTTTCTCTTACAGTTGGTTGACTATGTAGTCTGAAAACTAAGGAACTTAAAATATTTTCTCTGATAGATGAATTGCGGTTATTGCTGGTGAGACATCTAGTGTTATCTTGTGGTTGGCCTACCATTTGTTTAGCTTTTCTGAGCACCATATCATCATTGTTTTGCTGCATTGAATCATACCTTCATTTAGTTGGGTTCTCGGAGGGGACCTGGTGTAAATATAGTTTATCTCTGACTAAAGAACTTAAGGGGTAGGATTCAGTCAGCAGCCATATGCAACTTATCTAGAGATCATTAATCAGAGTTGCTCCTTTTGGCAAAGTTTTACAGTCAAATGTTTAGGAATTGGTGCAATTTCACTGCTGCATTGATGAATTTTGCAACATAAGATTGTTGTATGGAATTTAGTTGGTGGCATACAGAAGCATTTTGGAAGTTGAGAGTCTCAATTATGTTCATTTTGGTTGTAAGCCAGTAATTACAAGTGATAGATTCTTTAGATGAAGTAGTTACAAGTGCATTTTGTTGCAGATGCATCAAAGAATGGTGTGGCCGAAGAGACACTGAAAAATGTGGCTCGTAAGGGAAGCAAAGTTATGACAGCGCAAGAAGCTAGACAAATTCTTGGTGTCAGTGAGCATTCGACTTGGGAGGAAATTGCGCAGGTACAATTTTTATTTTTTTTTTGGCAAGATTTTGATTTTTCAGACTTGTTTCTGCCGTGTGTTGAACTTCAATTGGACGTTTGCAGAAATATGACAAACTGTTTGAGAGTAATGCTAAGAATGGGAGCTTTTATCTGCAATCCAAAGTTCATAGGGCCAAGGAATGTTTGGAGGATCTCCACAAAGTAAAAAATGAGGGCGCTCCAAATCAAAGTACTTGAGAGTTGTCCTTCCCATCGGGGCTGACCGCTTCAATTTTTTTGTATATGGACAAGACCGCTGCTCAAGTTTGTGCCGAAGACTAGTTTGTCTATCGATGTTAGCAGATCAGCACATTGTGTGTGTGGGTCAAATGTTGATGTAGCACTAGGTGATTTGCACTTTTAGTATAACAATAAGATACTTATTAGCTGCCCTGCGTTGAAACAAGCAAGGCTATATCTTTTAAACCGCAGGGAAAATTATTGTATCCACAAAAAGAAATTTGCTTGTACTTGAGAGTGACTACAAAGAATAATGGATTTCCGTGTTCTGCGTTTGCTTTGTACTTCTGTTGTGCTAATTCTGGGTTGAAAACCCCTCAATTCAGACATCCTTTATAATGTTACCTACTCGTCCCAAAATAATTTCCCCAGAATTTATAGAACAACGATTCGCGACAAAAATAACAGCTCTGCCGTCTGCTTGATCTATATCTATCTCCATATAGTAAAGGTTAGTATGGCATGGTAAGTGGAAAAATTATTTCATATAGCCAGTGTATTCTTTTTTTAATGGTACAGCTGGATACGTGTCGTTGGCCAATTGGATGAGCTGCTTTATGCTCTTTGCGGCTTCTCTTTCCGTTTCCCGTATTTCTGGGTTGCCGGTGATTGCCCAAATATTTGCTCAGCCAGTGAGGGAGAGGAAATCGATGCTTTGCGCTTTCAATCGAAGACATAACAAGTAAGGCTTCCAGTGTTCTTTGCCTTTGAATCGTGGGTTTCGGTCTTTGATTGTTTCAGTTTTTCAATCTTTTTGCAATTACCTTGGAAGGCCTTTGAAATCTTTATAGATTTTCTTGTAAGCAACAAATTTTAGTATCAGACTTCAAGAGTTGATGAATAATTTTGTAAAAATCTTCGCAGGAACTTGTTTGAAATTTGGTGTGTTTGTTTATAGGTTTCCATAAGCTCTGAGACTTTTGAAACTTTTCTGTCTTGCATGTGCAATCTGTGTGTGCAACACCTGTTTGATAACATGTCTGAACTGGGAGTAATACCTCAATGTTTGATTCTTGATCTGACAGATTGTGAAGTTGCATGTCATGTCACTCATGTTGCCTGCAAAACAGTTTAAATTACCATAATCTTTACAGAATTAGGGGAAAATAGCTTTCGCGCACTGACGATGACATCAAAGAATGTGTTGTTCATTGACTTCTCTTTATTAAGTGCATGCATGTCTTGGTACTAGCGACCATTGCTTTGTTCAGCTTCGGAGATTTTGAGATTGTAAATGAAAGTCATTGCTTCTTTGTCTGATTCGGTAGCTGGATTAAATAAGAAAAACTAATTAGCTGCATCTGCGTTAAAATAATTTTGGATGAACTTTTAATTCTAGGCGATCTTAAGGAGCTCAAGACCTTTGGTTCTTATATTTGTATGAATAATGTTTGTTTCTGAATTTTAGATATTTGGTTGACAGCGAATTACCATTACTGTAACTTGTGAGGCCTCTTGAGGCTGGAAATTTTGTTGTTCAGAGCTTTCATTGTGTTCTTATTCAACTCGAAAGTGGTTGCTTCTTCAAGTATGCGTTGTTCAGATCATAGGAGTGCTTTTGTCCCTTTCCCTATTCACTCTTTTATGTCTCTGAACTTGAATGCAAAATTGTTAAAAATGTGCAAAATTGGAATTTGGGACTAGAGGCTTTTCATAGTATTTAGTTGAAGTTTCATCTTTGCATTGAATGGAGTATTTCATTTTGAAACTGAAGTACATAACTAAGTACGCTGGTTTGAATTATGTGGGCATTAATTGGGTATGATTGCTGAACTTCCGGATAAATTGGATTGGATTCTTACAATATTTGGAAAAGGATTAGCTTTAAAAATTTAGATGGCATGGTCGTATAAGTTTCGCTAATGAAGAATTGGGAATGATTATGTGAAATTTTACACTAGCAAAATTATTTCTTCATGAGTAGTATCTCATGTTTGTTTGCTGCATTTGGTGCTTTGTAGATTGTATCTTCAGTTCCAAATTTTAGTTTAATCAGTTCATTGAGCTACTTTATCAAATTTGAAACTCCTGAAAGAAGGCCTACATGGTGCAGGTCTGGAAAGTACTTTTATAGAACTGTTTCTAATGCACTGAAATATGGAACTTTTCATCCTCATTGTTATTGCTTATATACTTAAGTTGGCTATAAGCTTTTGAAGCCTCAGCACACTTTAAGTTTTACATAAATGGTTCAAATTGCATCATTATGCTCACTTCAAATTTATAGCAGTGGCTATAGCCTGAGCATAGTAATCTTGAGAACAAAGTTAGTCTGTACTGACGTTTTGAGGATTTTTCTCCCTTGGTATTAATTGTTTTGCATAAAACAGAAAAATGATGGTTTATGATTGTTATGAATCTATTCCAAATTAGGAGTATTTACTCTTTGAATAGCAAGCGTTATTACTAATAACACAAGAATAGAAAAGCTATAGCTGGCTGCTTAAACCTCCATTTACTGTGAATCAAGTGTAACACCAATAGGCGTCCAGCATTTTGTGATCTTGGAGCTGCATTATAGAATTGATATTTGGAGCTTAGAAAAGATGGAAATCATTATTTGTCCCACAAGAGTCAAACAGGTATGATCGCTCGTGATGCTCAACACTGCAATATTTAAAAGTGCATCCGTCAACAATGAGGCAGTTGCATTGATAGTTTGATACAGCTTGTCGCAATGTCTGAGATTTCCTTTAGCTTGTTGTCAGTAACACACAAACTAGCAGTGGCTTTTAACACCGCTAGCAAGCCTAGAATAGTTAGAACACTGTGAAGGAGTTTGGCAGCTTCACAGCTGGTCCTGGATCAACTCCGCCAATGGATTGGATGGATAATACGTATACTGCGATTTCATCACCATCATATAAAGTGTTAATGAAACGATTTTTAGGCTTGGCAATTTTCATAGAGCTACACCCCCACAAGGTTTGACCACCAAGAAGAATGCTGAGTTTAACTGGAATAAAAGGGATTCTTTGATTGGATTTTGATTCAGTTTTCCAAGTTCGTATTATTGTGTTTTCTATAATATATTTAACACAAATTTTCTCCTAGATTATATGTAACAAAAGCTTGAAGTTTGCTTCATTTTGATTCTCGGGTTTACTCTTCCCATTGACCGCACCCTGTGCGGTCGAACCAATTGCGTAGTTATATATGTTATGTATACATATAAATACACCGAAGCATTTCAAAGGAAAAAAGAAAAAGGGAAAACAAAAAGCACCTAAACAGCCAACCCGCAGAGATAAAAACGACACAATCTCATTGCTTATAACGATTCCACTTGGCGGACGTAAAGTTTCTCTCTCTGAAGAAGACGCTTACACACCTTCATTCTATCCTGGATTCTTACTGTCTGGTGTGTTATCCATCCCTTCTTCTTCTTCTTCTTTTTTTTTTTTTCCTTTTTTTGTTTACCTATTCTTTTCTTTTTTGATTAAAAGAATTTTCTATTGATAAACGTTTTGTTGAATCAATATGATCACCACAATTATATACTTTCTGAATGCGTCAGTAGATACAGATGATTAGTAGAACTCAGAAGAAATCGAACTCGAAAGTAACAAAGGGAATCCCCCTAACAAACGTGCGATTGAAGCCAAAACTTACCACTACACTAACAACCAACAATTTCAGTTTCGTTCGATTCCCCATGTTTTCCTTTCCCTGAAATTTCTGTTGAATTTCCCTCCATTTTCCTGTTTTTAATTCCCCCCTAATAGCTTCAGCATTCAGTAGTTTTGGGGTTTTGCTTAATCCCCAACTTCCACACTCGCCCAAATTCCATAATCCAATCCCAATAATTTTTTATTATATCCTTTCTTTTTTCTTTGACCCAAATCTACCAAATTTTCTCTCTTTTTCCTCATCGGCACGAGCAGCACGACCCAGTATCTAGCTGCATGGATATAAGGTCATTCTTTTGGGTCATTCTTTTGTTTTTTTTTTTTAAACAAAGAAAAGACTCTTTTTCCTCCTTTTTTTTTTTTTGTATGAGGTTGTGTTTTTAAGTTTGTTAGATTGATCAATTCAGCTTTCCATTGATATAGTGGAAGAAACCAGATATGTGTAGACGGGATTCTTACTGAATTTTGAGAGGGATTTGTTCTAGTTGGATGGGGATTGAGGAAACACCTATATTAGTAGTGGTATTTGTTTTTGTTTGTTTTTTCGGGCACATCACTGTTGTCTCCCTGGATACCCGCAGAAAATGCCCTTGAACTGTTCTTCTTGGTTTTATGAGTTTAAAGGTCAAAGTTGGAAGTTTCTTGATGTTTTGAAGCGAACCCATATCTTGTTTTAGAGATATCATGGGGAATGTGTATTTAAAATTGCAGGCTTTATTCTGTTATATATGTCGATTCCTGAATTTAAATGCGATTGAGATGACCTCTTATCTGGAGATATCTTGTGCAAGTGTATATGTACCGCCTTATCGTATCGATTTGATATGTTGCCAACATGATATATTGTTTTCTGTTGATCAGGCTTTAGATAATTTATATACGTAGTTTCATGTCGAGGGGGAGATCACTGATGAAGCTAGTGTCAGGTGTCATTCTTGATTTGGATGGCACACTTCTTAATACAGGTTTTCTTCTGTTCTTTATATTGTATTTGATTTAATAATTATGCTCAATCTATAATTTTTGTGGTTTCATTTTAATATAGTTTTTTTTGTCAAGATTACTTAGGTTTGATAACAGTCGGCAGATTAATAATAGAAAACAATGATCCTTGTTCCTGTTGCTGCCTGAATTTAGATGCTTCTTTCAAACAAATGTTTAGACTTTAGTACTTATGCTATGTTGACTTCCACAAATTTTTGTTAATTCGATAGCTGAAATTTGTTTTCGATATCTGCTCATATAAGGTTGAATAAGCTATTCCTACTCTAAAATGAATTTACCTTAAAAACTAAAAAATGTTGCATGGAGAATGATACTGATTGGTTTTGCTCTGAGGTTTTTAATTGTACTTTGTCAAGTTGTAATTCTTAGACAATTCTTTTAACAGATGGAGTAGTGAGTGACGTTTTGAAAACTCACTTGTTGAAGTATGGAAAGCAATGGGACTTGAAAACAGCTTACAAGATCATAGGAAAGACACCTCTGGAGGCTGCAGCCGCTGTTATAGAAGATTATGAGCTTCCTCTATCTCCAGATGAGTTTCTCTCGGAAACTAACCCAATATTTTCTACGCAGTAATTACCCTGGGTACCTAATCTTCTGTCAATTTTTTCATAAAACTTGCTGCGTTGTTTGAATAAAGGGAAAAAAATTGTGAATTTGGTGCATTTATTTGGTGTTTCCTTCATTGGAGAAAGCAAATCCTTGCACGATTTTCTTTTCAACCAATTCTTTCTCTTTGCAATCTAGATGTGCTCAATTGTCCACTATTTTTGAAACTCCGGGAATTCACATTTGGAGAAACATGCACTAGTTATACACTAAAGCATTTACCCGTAAAATTAGTGTTTTTCAACATACAGATGTTTGAATTAGATTTTTCTTCTTGTTGTTTTTTTCCATAGAAAAATTTAGTTTTTATTTTAACTTCAAAATTCCATTTTGTAGGTTGCTCTTGTAATTTTTTTTTGTTTTTTGTTTTTTGTTTTTTTTTTGTTTTGCGGTCGCTCGTACTAGAGTTCTTCTTGTAGTTGTTTTACTGCATGGACTTCTTAATCTATGTTCATTACTTTTGGGTTCATTGAGTTCTTTTATTGTCACCTGATTGATTGTAGTATTCATATTTATAATGCAGGTGGTGCAATATTAAACCTCAACCTGGTGCAAATAGGTTGATTAGTCACTTAAGGGGGCATGGTGTGCCAATGGCATTAGCTTCTAATTCTCCGAGGGAAAATGTAGAACTTAAAATTTCCTATCACCCAGGTATATAGTTTTTTAAGGCTTAGAAGTGCAATTACTTGAAACCTTGATCTTTAGTACATTGAGCAGATCTGGCCCGTTTTTGCCTTTATTCTGAGTAATGTATTTGAATTGAACTCCAGGATGGAAGGAAGCCTTTTCTGTGATTGTTTGTGGTGATGAAGTTAAAAATGGAAAGCCATCTCCTGAAATGTAAGACAAGACAACTGGGATTACACGGTGACCGTCTCATATTTGAATTGCTTTCAATGAAACTAATGCCTTTATGCTTTTCTGTTGGTAAAGATTTCTTGAAGCAGCTAAAAGACTAAATATTGACCCGTCCAGCTGCCTTGTTATTGAAGATTCGATGTAAGTCCCTACCTTTCAGTAATCTTCTTTTGTTTTGTTTGAGGAGGCTGGGAACATGTTTAAATAATTGAGAAGAATTGTTTTGTCATTGTGTGGAGAGACAGACTTAATTTCCTTTCCTGATTTTAAGACACTTATTTTCCACATATGAGACCTTTGGTAGCTCATACTGGTCCCTATTTTACTTGACGTATTAACACAAGATGGAATATCAATGCTATGAACCTTCCCAAAGCCAAATACTGCCGGAAGCTCTGTTTAGCATATAAAATTTTCTTCTCCCTCTATGCTTTCTGCATGCTGCAAGTAAGACTTTAATGTAAAACTGAATTTTCAGTAATTGCCACAGTGCTTGGATGCTTTTGCATATGTTTTATCAAATGTGGAAGTCTGTTAGTTACTATGCATGAGTACAGCATGCAGAAAGCAGTGTTTTAAGAATGTCTGGAACCAGTCAGGACATCTCTCTATTGACAGAGTCAACAGCAGGGTGGCCTCAGTGTTTTAATTTAGATTATCAACATCACCATCAACATACCCAGTATATTTCCAACCAAGAAGGGGTCTGAATGCAGCCTTGCCCTTGCGATTTACAAAGATATACATTAGATATCTTTGTGATACAGGTGTAAGCAACCAAGTAGTGTTCTATTTTAGATGCATGGGTAATTCAGGAACAGAAATCTCATATGCAGTGTTACAGTTAAATTGATAGAGCATGAAGTGACGTGCATTCCATGTAAAGGCTTAGTTGTCCCTGTTGATGTTCAACATTTTCAGTCTAGCTGGTTAGCAATTACTAGTATAACACTTGTTGATTTGTAGTAGTTTAAACTAACTGGGTAAATTTTTTGAACTGCAGTTCTTGTTATTTCTGTTGTCTATTAGCCGTTATAGTTTTTACTGCTTCATAGTCTTAAATCATTTTTGTGTTGGTCCATATCAATTTTCTGTGTTTAGCTTCATCAGTCCCTACACTCTCAAGATCAAATTTGTATCAATCTATGCATCAAAAGGAGAAAGAGAAAGCTCTTACTGTTTGGATTCTGAAATTTGCATTATGACCATTGTGTTGTGACTCAATGCGTTCCGACTACTGATAAAAATTGGAGTCTGCTTCATAGTTGTGTGTTTGAAGTTTTATAAATGTAGTCGCTGCCATTTTGATGTGTCAGACCCGGGGTTACAGCCGGTAAGGCGGCTGGAATGGAGGTTGTTGCCGTACCATCAGTACCTAAACAATCCGATAATTTTGCCATGGCAGATGAGGTGATCAATTCTCTTCTAGATCTTCAACCAGAAAAGTGGGGCCTTCCTCCTTTTCAAGATTGTAAGCACCTAGCATTGTTTCTTATTGAATTTATTATGTTCTCTTTCATTCTCGGTTCCAACCTTATAGTATGGTGCAGGGATTGAAGGCACTTTACCAATAGAACCATGGCATATAGGAGGCCCTGTCGTGAAAGGATTCGGACGTGGGTCAAAGGTGTTAGGGATTCCTACAGGTGTTGTCATCTTTTGCAGCCATTACAGTTAGATTTCTCATTAATTTGTGGCTTTTGCCCTTGTGTTTTGGCATGGATTCAGTTCAAGATGAGTTGTGTGGCTTCCCATGGCGTCCTCACCGGAATTCTTTAAGAATTAATCGTCCTATTTGTGTTCGATAAATGGCAAACTTATTACAGGAAAAAAGGAAAAGATGAAAATTCATCATGGTTTACATTATTATCATTTTATTTTTGCAGCAAATCTATCTATTGAGGGCTACTCAGATCTTCTATCGGAGTACCCTTCTGGTGTGTATTTTGGGTGGGCTGGATTATCGGGGCGAGGAGTTTTCAAGATGGTCATGAGCATAGGATGGAATCCATACTTCAACAATACCGAGAAAACCATAGTAAGTGTCGAATACCTACTCCAAATGTTGGGTGTCACACCTTTTATTATCTCCTGTTTGTGGTCAATAGATTAATCCAAACGGTGCTTTCAGGAACCATGGCTGCTCCATGAGTTTAAAGAGGATTTTTATGGTGAAGAACTGCATCTCGTAATTGTTGGCTACATTCGACCGGAGGTACGCCCATCTCAGAATCAATCCAGGAAGTTTTCTAAACATTAGATCATTGTGTTCTAAACAGTTTCCCCGTTTCCTATGTTGAATCCGATTTTGGACACTGCAGACCAATTTTCCATCTCTTGAAAGTCTGATAGCGAAAATTTACGAGGACAGAGGGATTGCGGAGAGAGCTCTTGATCTTCCCCAGTACTCAGAATACAAGAGTGATCCGTACTTGCTGGGCCTCAACTCTCAGGAGAGTAAAGATTCTCTCAAAAATCGAATTTGATTTTGTTTTGTCCATGAATATGGTGGCGATTACTCTGTTGGCCTTCAATTTGGCCAAGTAAATTGGTGGTAATGAACTACTATACTAAAATAAATATAAATGGTGGATTGTATATTACAAGAAATCCATTTTTTTTTAAAAAAAATTTTGTTTTTGTTTTGAAGTTCTTCAAGAAATTATTCATTGTCATTGGGAATTTGTCAGTTTCCCAGTTGGCAAAAAGATACAGATTCTATGTTTTGTTATGGCTGAATTTCGTTAATCAATCAGATTAATTTGTCAGTTTGAGCTTCAGGAAATTGAGAATCTATCCAACAACGAGGAACTGCACAATGAACATTTTATATAGGCTTTTAAAAAGGAAAGTCAAATCTGCCACGCTTCGGCATCGATCTTCTCTACGAATCCGTACTTTTGGTATATATTCTATGCAAAATGGTGAAAATTGTGAAGGAAGCCGGTGTAGAAATTACCAGAATTTGGAGTTCCTGTTGGTGAGGCGGATATTAGGAAATGCAGACAAAGAATTGTCGAAGTTGCAATTTCAGCGTAGAGGAGGAACGCCATCGAAGAAGAGGAGTTAATGAGGGTGACTATTGCAACATATTGTACGCGTATGAAACAAATTTGCTTCCTTCTGCATAGTAATACTTTTAACATTCCGTTTGGTTAGATTGAATTGTAATTGAATTGGAATTATAATACTATTAAATTGAAAATAAAATATTGAAATTATAACTCAATGCTCTTTCCTTTGTTTCGGAGATCTTGAAAATTGACTAGAATTAAGGTTACAACACCAATTTTTGCGTTTGGATGCATAAGGATTTGCATACTTTAGAACTAAAATTAGTTTGTTATTATATAACTAATACAATTTATACTTCATGTGTATTAGATTACTTTGTGGTTGTTCAACTAGTATAATTTTTGCTTTTTTTAAAAAAATATATTTTTTTTATTCAATTTGCTATATCAATTTTGTATGTTATTATATACACAGCTTTTTATTAGAAACACAAAAAATATTATTATGCAAGAATTAAATATGTTACGTAGAATTCTCACTTAATAGACACACAAGTAACATACAAAACATTCTCTTTTTTTTTTCTTGAGGAAAACATATAAAACATTCTTGTTTTCCTGTCTTTTACTTCTTTTTAAAGTTTAAATTTTTGATATTTTTATTTATATCAAAAATTTAAAAATTTTAGCATGTAACATTGTGAATTCATTTTATGAATATTAATGTCCATTTATATATAGATTGACATCAATCTATAATATATGCTTACATTTTTTTATTTTTAGTATATAATTATATATGAAATAATAAATACTTAAAACTCAAGTTACATAATTTTTAGTGAAAAGATGCCACGTATAGTTTAAAATTTATGTACATATATTATAACAATAATATAGGTGTATATATGGAACAATTTATATGTGTATATATATATATTTTTTTTTTTCAAAATTTTATGTTGTTTACTATGTCATAATATAATAAAACATTTTAACCCGAAACTATAATATTTATTTATGCTAATTTTTTTTAGGTACAGTTATACTTTTGATATTTTTTGTAAAAAACATGTAATGTTTATTTTAGGTTGATTTCATTGATGATATAATAGTAGTAATATAATAATTATTATAAGACAAAGAGCCCAAAAAAAGAAAAACAAAAATTACTTAAAAAAAACTCCAAAGCAAGCGATGAAAGCAAAAAAAAAAAAAAATAGAAAAGAAAAAGGGGAAAAAAAAAAGCAGCGCTGTAGCACTGGAAAAAAAAACAATTAAAATATCTTCTTTAAAAAAAAAGGTCAAAAGGCAAAAAAATGAGAGGCGATCCGTTTAGGATATAACCCGAGAAAGACCCGGTTTGGACCCGCGTCTTTTCTTTAAGTCCATTGAATTTGAATTCGAATTATTTACTCCCACAAAAAATTAAAAATAAAGAATTGAACCGCAAAACGAATTGTAATTCCAATTATTGGACTACCATTTTTATCAATCAAACACAAAAATTAGAATTAGACAGCTTTAATTTCAATTCTTGATCCCAATTCAATACAACCAAACAGAACGTAAATGTCCAGTTTAGATTTTTACTTTTCGTATTACTAAATAGCATCCAGCTGTTTCTTCATATCAAAAAGTTATATAGGAAGTTTTCTCTTTGCATTTGGACTTTGGAGTTAGGAATTATAGGTAATTCATTACGAGTGAATTTCTTGACCACATTAATTGCCTATCAATTATATCCCGATAAATAACATTGGATTATTATCTATTAAATATTTATCTATTACAATTAGTAGATATTGTAAATGATAAAGGAGGTTAAAAGAGAAATAAAGAGTAAATTCCATGATAGAAATGGAACTCTACTTTATGTAAATTACTACTACTCTATGGTCCCTCTCTCCACTCATACGTTCAACTTGATTCACCCCATCATATACCCAATTACTAATGAAGTGAGTCGGCAGAGTGAAGATCAAGGAGTTTGATTAACCGTCGGTAGCTGAAGATCACGGTATAATGAGTTATTATGTATTTATTGTTATTATTTGTGCCTAGTTTATGCTTAACCAGAGGCGGCTTAAAGTCTAGAGGGGCCTACAACAAGTTATAAAATTGAGGCCCTCGTTAGACTTGAATTCTCTCTCAAACACCATAATTAAATGTTCATTTTTTATATGTATTAATTTTTTTAGAATACTTTTAAAGTATCTGATCAATCAATATCTAAACTAAGATATTTTTTTTCTAAGAGATCTTAATAACCAAGACCTCTTTTTGTGTTTCTGTTAACAAGTAATTTTAATTTTTTAATCTATATATATATATATATATTAATAGATGATGAAAATGCTAATGTAGTACGAAATTGAGAAATCCAATTAAGTTGACGTAAAAAAAAATAGATATTACCATTATATATTAACAAGATATTACCATTAAACATTAAAAATTTTACGATTTGAATTAAGATAAAAAAATCTAAATATTTGGTTACACTAAATCTTAACAAAAAATTTAAAAATAATTAAGATAATTTTGTTTTTTTCAAAAACAAATACAATATGATATACAGTAAGAGATTGCTCATGTGTAAAATAGGAGCGTAAAAATTATTTACATTACCTTCTAAATATGGTTAGCTCATATGTTACTTCCATGTATAGTAAACAATTAATTATTAACTATTAGGGTAATATTGACTAACCGAAAAAGAATAAGATAGTGTTGACAACACATGTAAAGATTTGGGTAGATCGGCCAATTTTTCCGGAGATAGATTAATGAGAAATGCGATTTTCATAAAGTCCGTTGCTAACAACTGAAAATATTTCCTATGATGACCCATGCAGAACATATTTTTTGGTACAAAGAAGGAGGCAGCAGCCTATTAGAACATATTTTACTTCTTTTAATTAATCAAAATTGAACAAACTTAAAAAAAAGGAGGGGGACAGAAGTTGTAGTATTTAGTGATCATCGGCAAAAAGCTACGTGCCTGGAACTTTGGAAGTTTTATAGTGGGAAATACATTCATACTGGGGCTACCTTTGGTTTTGACATGTATGTTGAGTTGCGTTATGCGAACTCCTGTGCAAAGTAACCCGTTCTGTCGAGCAAGTTGCTGCTCTCAACTCGAATTAACCCAGACCAATGTCTTTAGCCTTTCCTTTACTTTTGTGATGATGAGGTTCTCATAGATCAACAGAAATTACCAATGGATGTAAATATTTTGAGAATTGACATTGATCCTGTAAGCCAACATCATCCTACAAGTGATGGTCAGGTATCAATTTGCGTACCAATGATACCAAGGTTCAAGTATATCATGTAGAGGGAGATAGTACATACAATTTGTGTTTGGAAAATGCTTGAATCAATTTTTTTAAGACAAAACCAAACTATGGAGATTAGCTAGCTAGGGTGATTAGCATGAGGATGTCATCCTTGGTGGTCGATGATCGATCTAAACTAGAATTTGTTCAGCTCTGCTGTATCCTATGTATTGTGTCTAATCTAACATCCGTGAATTTGTTTAAACCTTACTAATATCATTGACGTGGTGCATAATATTTTAGTTCGAGTTTAATAACAAAGGGTTATCAAGAAATATAATTATAAAAGACATGGCATCCTGTACACTTCGGCTAGAACTCTAACTCAGCTAATTAAGCCTAAAAATTACACACTATCTTAACTTTGAAAACCATGTTGTTGATGAAACATCAAATTTGTAGCTCTAAATTTTAACACAAAGCAAATTAGAGTTGACATGATATTTGTTAGGATCTATAGGCTTCAGAGCTTCTTCTTCAGTTCTTTTGACTACTAATTACGTGCTAGATTTTCCTATCATGACACAAGAAAATAATTTGGTAATTACATAAAAGTAAGTTACTATACTGAACCAAAATTAACTTATATCATTGTTCCATTAAGCTATATAATTTAGTATTAGTGAATTCCCTAAATTTATAATCTCCAGCCCTCCCACCAAATCCCTACCATCCATGTTTTAAAGACGAGCATTCAATCCCAATCATTTCCCTGTGCCTATAAATTGCAACGTCCCTTAACCACATTCATCGCACCAAACATCTCAAAACTCGTTTTTCCCCCCTCGCACCAAAGCTTTCTTTTCATCAGCCAAGCTTTTTCTTTTCAAAGTTTCTCCCTCAACTAGGACACGTGTCCTTTTTTGTTATCTTTTTTTGCGAAATGGCAAATCATGAAAAGATGGCCAAGATGACCTCTGGTCATGATTTGCCGGAATCGCTAGTGGAGAAGATAATCTCCCATTTCCCCATTGATATCGCCACAAGGGCTAAGCTTGTTTCCAAGAAATTCATCAATTCTTGGAAGCTGAGCCGCCACCTCAGCTTTAACGAGCACAAAGTGTACTTCAATAGTAGTCAAGTTCCATTTGTAGGTTTCGTTTCTAACATCATGCATCAGCATTCCGGTTCCAAGATCGAAACTTTTCATCTGAAAATGGGTCAGATTAATGATGAAATTACGGTAAGCAACTGGATTAGGTTGGCTATTGCCAAAGGGGTGGAAAATCTCGAGTTGGAATTTTGGGGATTTCCTCAGCATTTTCCAATCACTTCTGCTTTGATAGATAATGATACGTCCATTAGGGTTTTAAGACTTCAATCCTGTGATCTTCAGTTTTCGCCGCGATTACGTGGACTAAAGTTGCTAAAAACACTTAATTTAGTAAACATGAATCTCATCTCCTCCAGAATCCAGATTATTTTGAACAATTGTTTGGCATTGCAAGATCTGGAATTTCTCAACTGTAACTTCATCAACCACACTTTGGAAATCATGGCTAAAGATCTGAAACGGTTTAAGTCACTGAAAGTGGTACAAATTTCTCGTGACCTCGACTCCATGTTTATCGACGCTCCAACCCTTCAAACGTTGTATTATAAAGGGAATGTTTGTAGTATCTCAATTAGTTGTGTCTTAACCAACTTGTTTGCTGCTCTTTTTAATTTTGGACCAAATAAAAAATTAAACCGCCTCCATCGAGTTGAATACCTGGTCCCTGCACTCCACTATTGCAAGAAACTCAGCATTTGTAGTAAAATTCTCGAGGTAAAATTAATTGTAGTTTTTTTTTTTCCTGAATTCCTTTCATGAATATTCTAATGATTATTAATAATTATTTGTTTTTTTGCAGGAGCTGACACCAAAATTCAATGGATGTCATTATGCAGAGAGGTTTCCTTACTGGTTTCCAGCATTGTGGGAATTAAATTTGTACCTAGGAGGATCAAGCCTGGATCATGGTAGAGGAACAACATTTGTTAATCCTTATGATATCATGGCCTTTTTGATGAAGTGCCCAAGAATCAACACCCTGCTTATCGATGTAAGTTAGCTTAATTAATTTCATTTTCCCATTTTAATTAATTTTTATTTTTATTTTTTGGTGTAGTGTTTAATAAATTAATTAATGTTATATTATATATGTAGCTGGGACAAAATGCATTTGAAGAAGGGCTATTTTGGAAACGGATGACAATGGTACCATTCTTCAATAGTCGTCCGTTCTTCCCATTCCTGACGAATCTGACGGTGAAGGGTTTCAAATACCGGAATCTGGAGTTTCAGCTGGTGAGGAAGATTGTGGAAAGCGCACCATTTGTAGGGAAAAGGGTGACTTTAATCAGGAGCAAGAAGAATCACAATCACACCCCTGAAAGTGAGAAGGAGCTGTTGGATTGGTTGAAGACTCAACGTTGCCTTTACAATTTAGAGGTGGAACGTGTGAGAAGAAGAGGAAACACCCTTGTCGATTTTTGAAGGGTTGATTTTACATTTGTTGGAATTTTGTTTTTTTTTTATTCTGGAAAAATAAATTTGAGGAGGGTTTTGTACCTTTTATTTTTGTACTATTGAAGTCGAACTTTAGTGAAATAAAATTGGAGTTGTTAAGAATACAATGGAGTTGTCTGAATTGTTGATGCAGATTTTTGAAACGTAACGTTTTCCAAATGTTAATTGTCTTCGCTGCCAAAGAAGGGAGAATATAGAGTGTATGATTTGTAATATCTTTTGGTTAGATTATCTTAATAATAATACTATTAAACAATAAACGGATCTTTTATATATGTTCACGGATAGTGAGGCACCAAAAATCGATAATAAGATATATTGCATAACTAGGTAAGTTGGTGAAGTGTGACAACAAATCATTATTGATTAATGCGTGTTTAATACTCCATCCGTCCCATAATTATTGTCCAGTTTGAGTTTTTATTTTTAGTTCAAATTGTACTAAAAGTAAAATCTCAAACTGGATAATAATTTTGGGACAGAGAGAGTATGTGTTATTGTGTCTATAATTCCACACGAATGAAACATAATTGGTATTGCCTTTGTTCCCCGATATAATAAGAATATATATTTACTTCTTGGGATATACTCCAAATTAAATCTTGTCTCACTTTATTTTATTTTTTATTTTTTTTATTTTTTGAACTTAATAAGAATATAACAAGCTAGGCTGTTTACCCTTATCGGCCAAATGTTCTAATACACTTTCTTAAGAATGATCATTTGGGGAAAAGAAATAAATTGTTCGTCAAAGTTTTGGGGTTATTTTTAGCACTAAAGATCCTCATTTGAAACAAAAAGGTAATTAAAAAAGAGTTGTTTGACCACGTCAAATGCGGGAATTTGCTAACCGGGGGGACGAAATGTGAAACGATGGTATGATATTAGGACCTCAAAATATTGGGATAAAATCAACCTCGACCTCAAACTTATTAATTTAGCACCAAACCTATTTATACTTGCTAACTTTTTGGATTTTGCTTATTTAGTACCATTAGCATTTTCCAATTCCAGTTGATTAATTACCCGAAATTTTCACCTTTAACTCTCCTGACTGTTCAATTTTTTGTCAGCAAGTTTTGTTTGGGTTGGCTTGCAAAATACATAGAAAAATTCCACCGACACACATTATTTATGGTTAGTGAATCCTGAATTCATAATATCCACCAGACCATATCATTGTTGTAAATTTTAAATCCACTTACCCAATACAAAATCAGTCTCTTATGAGCATTCGGTACTAATCATTTCACCTATGTTTGTAGCCTATTAGTCCCTTAATCATATACTCCATCTGTCCCAAAATTATTGTCCAGTTTGAGATTTTATTTTTATTACAATTTGAACTAGAAATAAAAACTCAAACTGGATAATAATTATGGGACGGAGGGAGTACTTCATACCGAAACAAAACTTCCAAAATTTTTCCCTCCCCAAGCTTTCTTTTCATCCATTTTTTGCCCTGATTGATTATGCTGACATATCAATGTTAATGTATCTCTATCATCCAAGATTAGGTAATTAACATAATATTGGGATATAACCTTTTTTTTCCTTTTAGTTTTTTCTCTCCAAGCTTTCAAATTTGTGATCATGTCTAGAGTTTTTCTTACATTGATTTTTTTCCCCCCTTAAGCATGAGTTTTGTTTCTAATTATATATATAGGTTCAGTATGTTTATCATGGATTGATTGGTGATTTCTCAAGTTTAGTGTTAGTGAGGACGAAGATTATTTCAGTATAAGAAATGTCGATGGATCTAGGGTTGAAGGTGATTTGATTATTATTGTTTTAGTTACAAATTTAGAAAGGTATAACATGTTTCCACCACCATTGACGATCCAGCCAGCATCATTGACGCACGGTTGACCCATTAGATTTCAGCCAACTCTGTAAAAGAGATGGTAATTGAGGAAATCAGTTTTCAATTTTTAATTGCTAAAACTTGAATACGATTTAATCGGCATTTCTTTGCCTCTTTTACTGTTAAAAAATAAGAAATGATTTTCAGATTTCTCATTAGTTGGTATTTATATACATCTGCAAAAATTAATTGATCGTACTTTCGCCATGCAAGAAAAATAGTCTAATTCGTTATATTAGTTTTTTTTTTTTTTTTGAGAAAAATCATTTTTTCCAGATAGGAGAATTACTTCATAAAGCTATCAGTTCTGAAACTTTGAATTTTTTATCTTCATAATTTTTATTTATATATGTATCCTCCAGTGTCCAGCCCACAAAGGAACAGTCAACTAAACTTAACACAGTCGACGCAAATGCTAATTAGTAACTACAGTAATGCTAGCTTAATCCAACTCTACTCCTATTCTTTTCGGTCAACCCTAAAAGTGACTGCCTGTGCCTGGTACATTAACCAATGTACCTTAGTGGTAGTAAAATATTACTCTAGGTCAACAACTCTCATTGACTTCTAATATGCTCATCATCATCAAGCTTATCTTTGACTGTTGGTGGTAGACCACTAGTGCAAGTACAAATCGTTATTTTCCATCTAGGACTGAAAGATAAACAGAATGAAAATACGAGTTTACTTTAATTCTTCCAATCGTATAAACAAGGCAAGTTTAATCCGTAGGTCTCGCTAGTTGAATTTTCACATTAACTAGCATTTGAAATCTCCATTAGTGGAGGAACTTCACAATGAACTTTTCAACAGAAAATTTAAAGAATTATAGTACAATACGACTACTTATACTAGGAATTAGTAGTAATCACCAAGCCAACCTCGTTAATCAAAACTCGTAACATCAAAATAAAATGAAGTATATTTTAATGTTTGATGTATGTTTATCTTAGTGCATTTCTTGTATGCTAGTGAATATTTTTTGTATCTTCTCTTAGACTAATGATATATAGTACTCTCTCCGTCCCATAATTATTGTTCAGTTTGAGTTTTCATTTTTAATTCAAAATATACTAAAGTAACAAATGTTCTTTGAGTAAACCTAAATACCTAATGAAAAATAAAAAAAAAATGTATCGCTCTTTAGTTTCTAACATGGTAAAGATTTGCAAGTATAATTAGAGCTCTTGATCAAACATGGTAAAGATCTGCAAGTATAATTTCTAACATGGTAAAGTTTTAAGTTTTTGCTCTTTCCATAAATTTTAAAGGTCTCTTAAATCCCTAATTAAATCATTCATATTCGTTGGCTAATAATTCATCACCTTCCCTACCAATTCACACATGTTATGTGAGCTTTTATAGGGCAACATAACAACAATGAACTAAGGACCAATTTTGTGATTTAAGTAATAGACTTCGTTTATAACGTTATAATTTCTTTTGGGTGAAAAAAAAACAAACAAAATACATCCAACAGAGTCACTGTTTGCGGCAGCGTTGACCAGGTCATTACAGTCTCCGGTCTCCACAGCACCGCAGTGTAAATACAAAAAAAATTTAAAAAAAAATCCTATAAATTATAATAGCCGCCGATTTAGAAACTCCTTTTTTTTTAAAAAAAAAATTTACTGTATTTTTTAATTTTCCCCAGAAAAACAAAAGGAAAAGGAGCAAAAAGTGTCCACGTCTAGATTAACTTGGTCGCCAACCTTCTTTTCTTTCTCTGACGCCGTCCAAAAATCACGCGTGGGACATCACGAAATCCTGACCGCAAGATCCCATCCAATCAATCTTTCTTTAGTTTCCCATTTGTTAGATCATCGCTTTCTATCCACGTGTACGGTTTTGATAGCGCGGGTCCATGACACTTCCAAGTGGCGTCAAACCGTGTTAGCTAAGCTAACGACAGGCGACAAGCCGACTCAAACCGGCCAAGTTTCCAACCACATTCACTCCAAGTTTCCAATAACCCACGTTCTATCATCTAACCAATGAGCAACCGCCACGTGTACTTCCATAACGGCTAGTTCTTTTCCCCTTCCGTGGTTTTTCGTTTTCCCCCTCAAACCCAAAATCTAAGCCGCCAAAGATATTTTTATCTGAAAATTCGAGTACTTTCCAGCAAAAATCAAATCTTTTCGTCAAAATCCCATTTTCCCTCCTTTGATATCTATCTACAAAATTTTTAAATTATTACCATAGTAATCCCTCTCAGCAAACTGGACCTTAACTCCGCCTTTTTACCTCTCCTATAAATAAGCTTCCATTTCACACACGAACTGAGATTGGAAGGGTGACTAGGTTTTTTTTTGTCTGCTTATAATACTACCTTGGATTCCTTTTTACAACACCAGTTTCAACAACTATTTAATTCTTTGCCTTTTCTCCTAAGGTTTGCCCTCAATTTATATTCATAGATTCTCAGTTCATTGGGATTGTGTTCTAGATTTATTGGCCGGGTCTCTGTCTTTGAGTTGTTTTGAGTTACCTTAGGTCGGAACTGAATTTGGGTTCTTCCTAATTTGTGATTGATTTGATTCTTTTGGTGCAAAAATCAGATCTTGGAGGTTGGGTCTTTGTGTGAAGCGTGTGAAAAGAAAAAAAAAGAGAGAAGAAATGGCTTGGGGTACCAATTGCGGTTATTGTTTCCAGGCAGGAAATGAAGGGTATGGAATGGGTCTGGTAAGGAGTTCTTCATTTGGGAGGAAAAGGGTTTCTTTAGCATCAAATGGGATGATGAATATTGATTGTTTCGAACAAACTCCCCTCAAGAGACAGTGCAGTTTTGAGGCTTCGTTTCTATATTCAGACAAGTCTCCATTGGAGGAACTACCTCAAGAAGTTCTGGTAAGCTATTAATTTTAGCATTCCTTTTCTATTTCATTCAATCCCGGATGCAAGATTTTGGTTTTGTTTTATTCCTTAGAGCTTTGGATATGGTGGTGTTTATGGACAATATTGGCTAATTGAATGAAGTAAATGGATGTATCTAATTGTGTTCTGTTGATAATAGATTAAGAGATGGGTCGTTTTGACAAATTCATATTTAAAATTTTCTTGCTATAAAATAATTTCTGACTTCTGGACATTAATCTAATTGTGCAGATTAAGATAATTTGTGGGGTTGACCATGATGATCTCAAGAGGCTTTTCTTTGTGTCAAAGTCTGTGAGAGATGCGGTAAGTTATTCTGTTATGGAAAGAATTTTGATCAATTTCAAATTGGATTCCCCTTTCTGGTCTAATCATTAAATGTTCCATGCTTATACCTTAATTTGGCTATTTGCAGACTGTGATTGCAAAGCATGAGCACTTTGAATACAAGACACCAAGGAAAACACTTGGTTTTTCAAATGCTGCTGATATGGAGGATTCCGGTGAGTTCAATGAGGTTGAACGAGCTCCAAAACAAGTGAGGATCCGAAAGTCCAGATTGAACTTCGAGAAGATGTCCGATATCGCAGTGGCCTTGTTTTCCCCAGAAGGTGAAGATAGATGGCCACGAAGGGAGCTATTTATGGAGGCCTAAAATAGAATCACTATCTTGTTTGTGATAAACTGTTGGATGCTTCTGTGTATAGTCAGTCCCTTTGTTGTATAATTAGTAATTTATAATAGCAGAAGATACATAGAAAAGAAGGCAATAGGAAAATCTGATTAGGCCTGTCAGGTTTGACAGAACAATCTCTACAAGCCCCCGTTTCTTCAACTTGATCATTGAAGATGTATTTGGCTTGTTTATACTTGTTTGTACATGTAATGGTTTTCTAGGGATTTTGATAAAGGAGCTGGGCTGCTGGCCGCCCTTAGTTTGCCAAAAGGTTGTATATATATGAGATCTGATGCTTTTCAATGTATCTCATCATTCAAGTTGGTTGAATGGAAACAATGATTTCATAAATTTATTGCTGCTCATTTTTTATTTTCATGTTCATTTCTAGTGTTTCGTTCCCTCTTGTAGTATATGTTTTTACTAGAATGCTTTTGAGTTATTTTTCAGTCATGAAGGGACAAGCACTCAAACGAAACGAGTTTATGTGTTAGTAGGATTGACAGGTTTGTACAAAGAGATAGTTGTTTTATACTCCGTTATGCTTAGTAAAAATAGTCTTGTTTGTTGAACTGTTTTGTAGTACAACGTAAGAATCGTGTCCGGGCTATAATATGAATAAAGAGGGATGGTATTACCTGTACTTGCCTTTTTGGCTTAACTTGTCACATTACTTCAATTTGGTGTTTTCCTGTTGTTTAAGCAGAATTCACAGTAAGGAACTGACACTTTAGGCGGGAAAACAAAAAGACAGCGGAGAAAACTGAAAAAGCCACCAAAGTTTCCTTCCTTGAATAGGTAGTGGAATCTGCAGTGCACCTGGTTTTGCGTGCTTTTAGACACAAGTTGGCTTAGGAAGTGCAATAATTTTTGGAGTGGCCGTACAAAATGGGTGTTAAAATTTCTGACTTTGGGGTTTTACACGAGCCGTAATTGAATTGCTTTTCCGGTGCTGGCTGTCTTTCAAAAATGTTACCATAGCTGGAAACCTTGATTGTTGGGATCACTACAAAATTATGCCGCAACATCATATGCTGTCAATCAGTAGCAATTAACTTCTCCTTCCTTCCTGAATTACCAATACAATTTTCAAAAATTTTTGGGGTTATAATTAATCGGAAACACGTTTTGTATAAGGAATCCCTCGTAAATTGCTTTTAATTCACATTAATCTTTTTGTTCTTTCGGAGAATGTCGGCTTCGTAGATATTTCGAAATGGGAGGCACTAATTTGGTGTAAACAGTTTAACTGTGACCATTTTGCAATGTGGGGCGTGGAGGTTTGTGATAGTGATTTTCCCCCCACTCCAAAGCAAAATGTAAAAATCAAGCGACAAACATTATGGCAATTAATAAAAGCTCTTACAAGTTACAACACCAGTATAGGCCTACGCTAAAATTTCACTGGTTGAGTATAAGTTTAAATTAGTTCAGTAAATAGTAGAACACTACGTAATCTTCGGCTAATATGTTGTACCATATTTTGCATACTAAGCGTCACATATACATTTCTATCTTAATCTCTTTATTCACTCTAAAGGTCCCTCCTCATATAGTCATATTGAATCATTATTAATTTGTGTTCTTTGTTAATTGTTTTTTTTTTCTGGCGTGTTTATTTTCTTTTTTTTTTTCCTGAAAAGTGCTTAATTATTAATGTTAGAAATTGCCCAACAAAAGTAAGTTATAAATGGGGGGAGTTTTAGATTAAGTATTGATGCTTAGCTGTTAGATTTGACGAGGTCGTGCAATATAAGTATACAACAGCATATTTTACACGAATCTAAAATAAAATCATGATGGTCCGTCAAAAGCAGCTGAAGCGAACACCGGATCTCATATTCCATAAATCTACAACATCAATGTTAAGTCTAAAGATTGCAATTCATTCAATAACAAGATGGCAATATTGTAGTCAATGTAAGCTAGATCTTAGAGAAAATGCAAGAACTTTGGGCGAATGTCTCATTTATGGCGACGTGATTGTAAATTTGTGATCTAGATTCTCGATGTTTTGTTTCATTGTACTAGTAGATATATTTATTTGAGCAATTTCACTTTCAGCTGCAACACAAATTAACATATTCTTTATTATTATTATTATTATTATTATTATTTTTTATAATGAAAGAGGCACCTAAATGCTAAACAATCACATCACATAAAAGAAGCTCACGAACTAAATCGTATTCTAACTTTGTGAATGAGATGTAAAAAATCTAAGAAAGACACCACATTTTTCCTACCTAGTATTATTTGTAGATCTTTGATGATTTCTCTATAAATGCCCAAATTATCTTTCTGACATTGTGATACCCATAAAACGCATAACTGCACAAGATTTCTAGAGAAGAAAACTCGATTTCAAGGGCAAAATTCTGACATATTCTCTATTTCAAGGGCAAGAAATCTACTTACTCTTTTATTATTAATGCTGATAACGTTGACACGGCCTTTTGTCGAGCACTCTTGGAAGCATTCCACCATTGGAGATATCTTTCAGAAACTCCACCCTTGAAAGACTTTGGCGGGATAAGCAATACCAATCGTTCAAACAGAGAATCAAGAGGCGAAGACTCAAGGGGAAGATCTTGATCTAACCCGAATTGCATTGCTACCCTTTGGGGTTGATACTTTTCTTCACAATCCGGTTTTATTCCGACCAATTTACAAGGCCTCAAGCACTTAAAATACGACATCAGCTTCTCATTTTCGTCTTTGTTTGGATGATCTGTTCCCCCGTAGTATACTAAGTGAGCCCAATTATCATAATCAGCAGCATAAGGTCGCCACTCGAAGTTTTTCGGCTGCGTAATCGCTTCTCGAACTTGAGCAACAGTAAGATCCCGAGCCCTCAAGTTGTGCCAACGAGCCGCCCTTGGCTGGCCAGGATGTAGTGGATTAGGAAGACTTGGTGCCAGAGTAGTAGGGAAGTGTTCAAATGCCCAGAGCAGCAGCAGCTGAAGTGGCGCCGCGGCATTGACAGCGATAACTGAACGAGAACAACTCCTTACCATCTTGTCTCGCAACGAGGTGAGATTCTTATAAAGGGTTGCGAGAACCGCCGGAGCAAGAGCTAATTTGGTCCTCTGGCTTGGACATGAGAGCAGGGCAGCAATATGGAAGACATTCTTCCTCATTTTAGTATCCTCTGGAGGAGAAGGAACATACCTAGACAACCACAGAGCCAGGAATCCAGCATGGTGGAATTTATCCAATCCCTTGAATTCAATCAAATCATCTTGCCACCCGCGAAACTTGCTTTTGGCCTTGTGAGAAAAACCCAAGCTGAATTCACACATTTCCGACACAATGTTGGTCTGTTCTTCCGTCAGGGGAATCGAGATGGATTCTCCGGTAACCGGAAATCCACCTAAAATCATTACGTCTTCTAAAGTAACTGTGGCTTCCCCCCAAGGAAAAACAAAGGTGTTAGTACCCGGGCACCAGAACTCCACCAACCCGAGCACTCTCTCCTTGTTCCACATCACTTTGTATTTGGAACTCATGATTGAATTGTAGATTCCAGTTTCATTCTTCCAACTGCATCCATATTTCGAGGCTAACTCTTCGATCCATGCTTCCCATGCTTGGCGTGGATAGACAGGGTCGTTAAGAATGACCCTTGGAAGACGATCCTTTGAACTGGAAATCTCAGCCAACAATGGTTCTTTAGGAATGGCTGCGACCTGGCTTAATTTTCGGGTGCAAGGTCTCAGAAACCACGCAATTCTCTTCGTGCATTTCCCATCTTCCACAGAGATAACATTCTCATCATCCGATTTATCGTAGTAAAGGAACTTGGTATCCATTTTTTATTGTTTCCCAAGAGAAGAAGACAAAGGAGATTGGACAGATTATAAATGAAAGGAAGGCTGAGAAGAATAACTGAGTATGTGTGAGATCACAGAGAGATGTAAAATTGTAAATATATAGCAGAATGAATGAGAGGTTTAAACTCGAGTCCAGAAAGTAACAATCTGACTAGTTTCCTCTCAATGTATTACAGTAACAATTTTGGATTTATGCTGATGATCATAATCATAATGACACATGATTTGTAATGACTATAGACTCTTTTTTACAACGTAACCTTCCAACTCCAAGAAGCTAATGTGTACAGTGTAACGTAAAATTATAGTAATTTTTTTTTTTGGTTTGAAAAATCATTTCTAAGAAGCTGATCTGTCTACAAATTATATTTTCTTTCCCATTTCTTCAAGAGAAAAATGCGGAACCTTTTCTTTTGAAAAATAACATTTCGTTAAAACTTTTTTTTTCCTGAAAAATAACACATCATTAAATGGAGAAACTAAAGAAAGAGAAATTACTGCAATTAGAGAAGAGATTATGAAAATCCAATAATATAATGAGCAATGATAGAGACAGTGATAGTGAAATAAAATAGTGAGTAATGAAAAGACAAATACACCATGCATACCATTTTCCTAATATAACACGTGGCAAATATTGAGGCGTAATCAATATTTATCTCGGACTCGAAGTGGGATTTTAATTGTATGTTTGGGTGAAAGCGGAGGGAAGGTGTTCTTTGTTTGTTTGTTTTTAAGAAATTGCATTACAAAAGTAAGTTATAAATGGGGTAGTTTTAGATTAAGTATGATGCTTAGCTGTTAGATTTGACGAGCTCATGCAATATAAGTATATAACATCATATATTAACACGAATCTAAAATAAAATCATGATGATCCGTCAAAAGCAGAAGCAAATACGGATCTCAGATTTCATAAATCTACAACATCTGTGTTAAGTCTAAAGATTGCTCTTCATTCAATAACAAGATGGCCGTATTGTAGTCAATGTAAGCTAGATCTATTAGAGAAAATGCAAGAACTTTGGGTGAATGTCTCATTCTCGATGTTTTGTTTCATTGTAGCAGATACAATTACTTAAGCGATTTCACTTTCCACTGCAACATAAACATGTAGGTTCTCTATTTCAAGGGCAAGAAATCAACTTACTCTTTGACTTAATCTTACATTAGCACCTACATGTGACATTTAGATTTAAAACATGTGGTAATTATAACAACAAAAGTTCGCAATATAACCATACAATTATGACTTATAGGACATTTGAAAGATAACAGAAGGTTGCCACAACATACCATGAAATTAAAACATGTTTTTAGACTTAGGCCTTTTTTGTCTAAAAAAAAATTAAAAGTAAAAACAGGTTAAAGCCTTTTTAAGTTGATTCTGAAAATGTGGATACAAGATATTTCAAACTACTTATTTTTTTAAACTTGAATCTACTATTAGATGTACCAATAATGAAAAAAGAGTAACATCCACCATCTTTTCTTTCAGAAAAATAAAAGTTCTTAAAACCATAAAGAAATTACTAGATATAGCCCACTCATAAAACGTAACTAAATATAATGTATTAATTAAACATCATAATGAGACATGATTTGTAATGACTATAGACTTGTTTTTACAACGTTACCTTCCAACTCTAAGAAGATAATATGTACAATGTAAAGTAAAATTATAATTTTTTTTAAAAAAAAAATCTCATTTATACGAAGCTGATCTGTCTAGAAATTGTATTTTCTTTCCCCATTTCTTCAAGAGAGAAATGGAGAAACCTTTATTTTTTAATTTTGAAAAATAACAGCTCATTAAACTTTTCTTTTTCCTGAAAAATAACACTTCATTAAATGGAGAAACCAAAGAAAGGGAAATTACTGAAATTGGAGAAGAGATTACAAAAATCCAATAACATAACACGTGGCAAATAGTGAGGTGTAATAATAAAGAAGTAACGGCTCCGCTCAGTTACTAAAGAATCACCGACTTGTGCCAACTCTCTGTCTTCACTACCCAGCATCATCACACACACTCACACACTGAGGTTCATTCAATTCGGAATTCAGAGAGTTTTTTCAGGTAGAACAATGGCTCTGTTAACGAAACGTGATCAGCCGATGGACGACGGTCTCTGGCCGCCGGTGGAATCCAAGAAGGGCAAATTTGTGGCGGGACCATCTTTTGGAGCTCCGCCACCCCGTGTGGGTCTCAACCCCGCGGACTGTGACTTAGGTAAATAACAATATCCCTAATCTTGATTATCATTTCTTGGGTCTGATTCAAAGTTATAGTTTTCTTTATTTCTTGATGTGGGTTTTTATTGGCTATTGCATGGAGCTAAAGTTACGTGCATTGGTGAAATTTTATTTTTGTAAATTTTTCGTTGGTTTTGGTTGTGAATTTTCCGTAAAGATCTCAACTTTGATGATAACGAAAGGTGTTTGATTAGGTAGATTGATTGAGTTTAACGGACTAGTGTTTGCTTGAGAGTTCCTTTTTACTCTCAAGCCTCTGTTCTTTTTCAGTTTTCACCATTTAGACCTGATAAAAGCTTGAAGTTTTCGAAGAATTAATTTGACAAAGGACTTGCGTTTATGCGATTCCGGCTACATGGAAATTACCCTGATGTTATATTCTCAAATTCAATTGAGTGTTGTCTTAGTTTGACATTCTTTGATGTTATGTAATCTCTGTCGAGGTGACTTTGAAACAGTAGATCAGGTTAGTGTTTTCAAGGCCAAAATCTGGTGTCCGTGAGACATTTTTTATTTGTGTACAAGGGCCTGTTTATTGAGTCTAATGTTCGAATTCAACAAAGATTCATTTAGTAGCTCGCTGTAACAGAATTTTGTGCTTCGAAATGACACCATCTCTGCCTTTATCTGGTTATATCTTGATCATTATTAATCTTTTCCTCTTTGACAGATTTCAATATTGAAGATGATGGACTACATGGTTGGGCTCTCTGTGAGAAGGGATTTGCATATTGTTGGTCTGCTGCCCGGGCTAATGTGGGAATTTTTGGTGGCAAGTATTGTTTTGGGTGCAAAATCGTAGCACACCAGCCTGTCGAAATGGATGACACACCCCGCGACCTGCAACATTTGTGCCGGGTTGGCGTCTCCCTTGGAGATGATGCTCTGGGAAGTCTGGGGGGGAATCGAAGCAGCTTTGGTTTCGGTGGCGCCGGAGAGCTTCCTAATTCCGGAAGCTGTCCAGGTTACTTGGAGAAGTTTATGCCTGGTGACACTATAATTTGCTGTGTGGACCTTAATAGCATACCTGCTGTAGTTTGCTTTGCTAAAAATGGACAATTCTCAGGAATAGCAAAGCAATTTGATGCAGGTGCTTGTGGCCTTGGAGTGGCACCAACACAGAATTTAGCGCTATTTCCTCATATTTGGCTGAAAAATGTTGTAGTTCAGATGCAATTTTCTGCTCAAGATGGATTAGTTATACCAGAAGGCTATAGACCTTGGTCCTCCGCTTTCGAGGATGGCAAGGGGATTCTAGGACCTGTTTTCCCAAACCTAATTGATTGTGAAGTTATTATGATGGTTGGACTACCTGCTTCAGGTAAGTCTACTTGGGCAGAGAATTGGGTGAAGGGTCATCCAGAAAAGCGATATGTTTTGCTTGGAACAAATTTAGCACTGGATAAGATGAAGGTTAGGGATCTAAAATTTTCATTCTCTAAAAATTCTTATAGTTCTTTACATTTGGTATATCTTTCAACTGTAATAGCTGTTCTCTGTGATGAATGCTTTGTGAAGGTTCATGCCTTGTCCTGTGAGAACAAAGATGGTGAACGATTTGAATGGTTGATGGACCGTGCTACCAAAATATTCAACACTCTTTTGTCCAGAGCTTCCAAGATGCCTCGTAATGTCATAATTGATGAACCAAATGTCTTCTTGAATTCCCGTAGACGTAGAATGAAGCCATTTGCAGACTATCAAAAAGTCAGTTTTCTTTCTTTTCTATTTCAAATTCATGAGTTTTCCATTTTCAGAGTTCATTTGTATAGATAAAACAGCTAGGCAAGGCTTTGATTACAAGTTTAATGAACAAATTCGGTATACTGAAATTTGGTGTTTAATTTTGTCAGATTGCAGTTGTAGTTTTTCCAAAACTCGAGGAACTCAAGGAGCGTGCTGAGAAAAGGTTCCAGAGACTGGGAAATGAAGTTCCAGCTGAGACAGTAAACAAAATGTTAGGTTGGTCTCCATGAATGATGTCTTCTACTTATGTATAGTGGCTTTTAGGTTTCTCTTAATATTTTCCTTTCCTTTTGGTTTGTTTGTGTTTCACGGCTTTTACGTTCTCATTGTTTTCCTTTTTGTTGATTATGCTTACCTTTTGCCTGACAGTGGATTATACTTTGCCTTTGACCAAGGATATGCCTTATACAGATGAGTATTTTGATGAGGTAATGCATTATGATCTTTCTAGTTCTGGTTTAATTTGGGTTACGAGCTACATTATAACTGAGATTACTTAATGCTTATGCTGGAAGGTTCTTTTTCCTGAGCTCAACCGAATTGAGTCCGAGATATGCTTAAGTCAGATGAAGAGAGATCCAACTTTGTATGGGACAATATACTGCAAAACTGGCAGAGGTTGTGTCCAAACTCATGATAATTCTATGTCAATGACCTAACCCGTGGCATCTATACCTCCAAGTGGAGGCCCTCAACATTTCTATCAAACTAGTCATTTTAATTATTACTTCCATTGCTTCACATGATAGCTCTCTTCAAAGTTGCTAAAGTTAGTCGGAACTCATATTTTCCTTATATGTCTTTTTGTTTGTAATGTCTGTCAATTAGGCTTCGGATATGGGGCAAATTCATACTTCATTCAAACTCCATCTGAAGCCCTTTCTAGAAACACTTTCTCAAACCCTCCAGGGTACCATCTTCAATACGGTGGAAATGATGCTGAAAGGAGATTTGCTCTCACCGGAAGTATGACTGAGCAACCTTGGGGCTATAGACCTGGAGATACATTCACTTCCGCTGATAACAGATCTCGAATGAATGAGCCATATGGATATATGAATCCAGCTCCTTATCAACCACGGTATCCATATGCCAGTCAGTTCCCAGGTGGACAGCCTCAGCCTTTCACTGCTAGGCCTGGTTACCCTGCAGAACCTTATGGTCAGTGATTTCACTCATTACATTGTATAAATTATTTCCAGCAAGTTTTAAAGATATTATTTGCTATTGTGACCTTTGGTTTTAGAGAAAAATTAGTTTACCATAGATATGGAAATACTTCTAACATTAATAATAAACATTTCCAACTTCCGGCACGGAAACTGGATTACTTTTCCCTCAGGATTAAACTTAGCAGAAGAGATCTTTGTGAATTATATAACTTCATCTTTGATGCTTTAGAATTCAAAAAACTATTCCAAAAACTGTTTTGCGGTAGTAAATTGAGTCCTCTACTTCTGATGAGGTTGTCAACTTATGGAACTTTTTTCCTGTGTTCTTGGAGCTTTTGATATTCATGGGCATTTCCAATAGCATTTAAGTGTTGTATATGGTTTCAGAATTTATACTTGCACCCATTTTTATTTGACTTTAGTCGAGTTGTTTTACAATTGCCTGGACATGTGCTGATAGCTATGTTTGTCTTCTAATTTTGTAATACTAGATCCTCTCCATGGGAGTCCAATTCCAAGGCCTCCATATGGGAATGCCTTTCCTGATGGGGATGTAGGGGGGAGGGGCTTTGGTCGCGGTTAGGTTTATGAAAGCTGCCTTTGGAGGAGTTCAATTTACAGTCCGGGTTAGAATGATGCTGAGGAAGGTGATTTTGGCTGGATCGAAGAAAAATAACTGAAGATTCGTACTCTCACATCAAACTTCGATACAGTTCAGCATTAGGACATACTTTTTGGTGTTCCATACTTTGGCTCTTCTTTGGATGTTGTATTGTTTAGTTAACTTCATAGCTACTTGATTTTCGTATACTGCGCATTTCAAGATATATGCAGAAAAACAAAAGTAAGCAAAGAAAAGTGGCCGTTGGAAGTATTATTGAGGGATGACAAGCTGATCATATATGTTGCAGGCTAAGCATTCCAGAAACTTAGAATACAGAAAGATAGTGTAATGCTCATAACTTTCATCAAAATGAACACATGATCTTTATTTCTCATATCATATATGAGATGATTAGTTTAATCTCAGATACTCGAGATTACAGTTTTTCAGGACCTAATATTTGTATGGTCGTAACTATAAGTTTTCATCTGATTAATAGCACTCTGCCTGGGCACACTTATCACCGTTTTTACGACAGACATCAATGCATGGTTGGGCAGCTTGGTGAGAAGGAAAAATCTTTGTTACATTCCAGACGCTTTCGGAAATGGTGGGGTGTTTCTGTTTCAAAAACCGTCAGTTTTGTAGTTACAAATTAATTAAAGTAAAACTGAATGAATTACCGCATTTGAGTACATGATTTTGTTTCTTTTTAATCACATAATATTGGCCTTGCTGCCTCTTCTGTTGATCTATTTGGAGCCAATTCTCATATCTTAGAAAATTTTTATGAATTCAAATTACTCAGTTATTACATATTCATTCCATCCCAAAATAAGAGTTGTATTTTTGTGTTATTGCAATAAACAAAACACTTGTAAAGGAACAGAATGAGTATGCTTCTTTCTTCCGAAAAATTATTCAGTAAAACTGATGTATCACGTAGGATTGTGCAGTCACGCACAATAAATGGGGTAAAGTAGTAGTAATTTTGGGGGAAGAGATAATTTCTACAGGGGTTATAACACCAAAATAGGGAAATACTGATATTTAATCTACTAAAAATCAGGATACAGCAGTTGTACCCAATAATTTTTCCTTTCTTGCATCCTCTTCTGCTTCTTTGGGCATTTTCAAGGAAAAGGAATTTAAAATCAAAACGATAAAAGGGGAAAAGATAAAATTTGAAGTACGTTTTAATGAGAACAAACTCGAAGCTAACTCTAGAGAAAGTGGAAGTGTAATTCTGCGTGTATCTTTGGCCCAGTCCTCCTCCACTCAACATTAAAAAGGTTGCATTCTTTTAGCCCATACATCTTTGATTGTTTGATTTTCCCACTTCCACGTCTTGCCACATTCAGTCCACAGTACATATGTGCTCTGAAATTTCATTTAAAATTCCTTCAATTGACCAAATACACTATTTTCTCTAAAAGTTCCTTTAGTGATCAAACCTAGTTAATAAAAAATGCGGCCTGATAAGTATGAATGGCTCTCTTCACGAGTGCGCGTTGACCTGATTAATTCATTGACTGGATCGAAGAAAAACTAACTGAAGATTTGCACTTACACATCAAACTTGTGTGCAGTTTAGCATTCTAAGATTAGTACATACTTTTTGCCTTGGTGCTCCATAGTTTGGCACCTCTTTTATGCTGTTGTATTTGTTTAGTTCACAGCTAATCTATACACATTTCAAAAATGTATGCAGAAGAGCAAAACAAGGAAATTAAAATTGATCATATGTTTTAGGCTAGCTAACCATCCGAGAAACTGAGAAAGTATAAGTTAGAACTTAGAAGATAGAATGATACGGTAATATTGTTCATTATAATTACTGTCATCAAACATGAACAGATGATCTTATTTTTCTTAGTATATCGTAGTGTATGAGTCTCAGAAACTGGAAGGATTACATATTTTCGGGACCCAATCATGTGAGGTCGATTTTTCAGCACTCAATAACGACACACCTATCAGCGATTTCGTGACATTGGCGAACACAACGTTTGGCAGCTTGGTGATGAGAAGGGAAATCTTGGTGACATTTCTGTACACAGGTTTCCTTATATTCATCGCACTGAACCGCGCATTCTACACAGGCAGGGCCACATTCAGTAGGAGATATATGACTGCAAATAACTTGCTTGCATTCTTCCTTTTTATCACGCTTATCACACTCAGCTAAGCACTCCTTCATCTCCTTGACGCAATGCTTCCTGCAAAACTCAGTACGCCCTTTTCCCTCAACAATATTACAGCTAGTATTAATCCACACCAGTTGAAACACAAGCATTGTTTGAACAAGAACCCATGCCACACTCAAAGCTGGAGAACCCATAATTAGTAATATTGATATATATATATATATATATATATATATATATATATATATATTTGTTGTGTATGTTCCCCATGAATTTACCTCTATTTATATATATACTCCTGGTTTTCCAGTGACGGTGAAAGCGTGTGAAATTCGTAAATGTGACCACGCTTTCGGAAATGGTGGGGTTTCTGTTACGAATTAAACTAGAACGGAATTACCACATTTACTACATGATTTTGTTTCTGTTCAATCACATTGCTCATTCTTATGCAAAGAATTAATGGCCTTGCTACCTCTTTTACTGATCTATTTCAAATCCATTCTCATTTCCATGGAAATTCTTTAAGAATTCAATTTCAAGGTACTTGGTTGCTTTTTTTTCTTATTTCTTTTCTGTCGTAAAATAAGAGTTATGTTTATAGTACTCCCTCCGTCCCATAATTATTGTCCAGTTTTACTAAAATGAAAAATTTTATTTTTGATCAAATTTAATTATATTTTACCTTAAACAACCGGATATACCCCTACACAAGTAATTGTTTAACCACTAAGATTTTATGGATAATGTTTTTTACTAAGAACAAATGTGTAACTTGATCCATAAAAAGTCAATTGGATAATAATTTTGGGACAAAATTTTTTAGCAAAGTGGACAATAATTATGGGACGGAGGGAGTATTATTCTGTAGTTCTTGTTGTTGTTGTTGCATGTTCAACAAAATAAATTTAAAATTAAAATTATAGAAAAAGGGAAAAGATACATTTTGAAATACATTTAATGTGAAGAAACTCCAAGCTGAAGCTAGGGAAATTGTAAAAAGCTATGCTTCTTTGGCCCAGTCCTCCACTCAACATTAAAAAGGTTCCATTATTATTATTATTTTCCAGGTACATATATAGGAGGAGGAAAAGGTTCCATTCTTTTACTACGTCTGTTGATTTTCCAACTTCCACGTATTGCCACATTCAGTCCACTACATCTGGTTTGAAATTTCATCTTAAATTCCCTTCAATTGACCAAATATTTCTCTGAACATTTTCTTTCAGTGATCAAACCTAAGTAATCGAACGCGACCAGATTATTAAGGATGGTTCTTTTAATAACTACATACAATGTAAATCATTCAACTAATAATCCATCCATCTCTTAAAAAAAAAATTTTTTAAAAAAAGAAAAGAAATATGCTGCTTGAATTCTGCCTTGAGTTTTTTTATGACCAGATGTGGAGTATAGAATAGGGCCCAAGCCATGTGCTACGAATTTTTTTCCCAAAACAAAAGGTTTTTTGAACTGAACATCCTTTTGGTCCTAGATTTGGTGTCTGCCGCAATTAAACTGTATATAGGACTTTCACTTTATAGCATTTTGCTTTTCAAGTGTCATCCGCATTCTGCAAGACCATCCTTAGATTTTTATCTTATACTAGCAATTATTAATTAGTTGACTTTTCCCACAAGCAAAAGATGGACGACAACGGAAAATTTGCCTACAAAGCTTCTCCATGACTTGCATCTAGATAAGTACCTATATTAGTAAATTTATGATTTATGCATTTTATGAGCCTATAAAGTGTATTAAAATTAATATACTTCTTCCTTCTCGAAATGACCTGTCTCTATTCGTAAAATTATAAATGTAATAACAAACACGATAATTATTTATAGACATAAGGAGTATAAATTATGAATGCCTAATAGTACGTGAAGTAAATTAAATAAAACTACTGAAAGCCTCTTTATCAACTCACTCACTGCTCTTTATCATTAAAATAATATATATAAAAAAAAAAAACTCACTCTCTGCTGCCATTATATCATACTTGCATATTAGATGTCCACGTACTTTTAATAGCCATATCAAGTAACTGCATGTAGTGATTTATATTTGGATTTTATGCACATTTTTAAACATATAGCCTTAGATTGCCCTAATCAGATGAGCTTTATTGTCTCTTTACGAGACAAAATCACTTTTGTGACTCGCATTTGAAATTATTACCAAGTAATATAATCGTATATCGTTTGGAATTATGCTTGAAAGTGGCAGACAATAGAAGAAACGTTTAAGGTAGAATCAATTTGACTCTGATGTAATTATGTTCTAATCCACGCAAGCCTTCTTTAAGCATCATTTCAATTCGTTATGAAACTACATAGAAAAAAGCCTCTTCCTTTAGTTGATCACTTGTTTGAAGTTTCGAGTTACGATTATTCATCTTTTGCATCGTTCAAGTAGTCCTACGTACCTCTATCTTATGGGACATTGTAATTTTTAGACCATCCATCATAGTAGTGTAATGAATTAGGACGCTCTTGGCCTTTTTTTTTAAAAAAAAAAAAAAAACTACGACAATCATAATAGTCATTTCTGCATGGAATATGTAACATGGTTTGAGTTTATAAGTTTTGGGGTTAAAACAAAGAGGGGATGAAAAAGTTTTTCCTAAGAGACTTTTTTTTTTCTTTCCCCTCTCCTTCCCACAATGCAACCAAAATCAGTAAATATTTTATACAGTCCTACCGTATAATGTGAGATTATGCCATTTATTTATTTATTTATTTTTGGAGGGGTAGGCTCCTCAGTTCACTCAAGTTATATTTATCTCATAAATATATTAATGGCATGCTAAAATCCAGAATTATCAGAATCTACCCACCCCATCACCAAAATGCATGGATTTCTTCAATTTTTTCTCATCAAATTACGTAATCCAAATCTCTTCATCTTCCAACACACACACACACTCACGTAGTACTATTTCACACTAACGCCAACACCGCCTCCTCTTAAATTAAACTAAACGTATTAAAAATCCGATCTCTTTCTTTCGCGCATTTATTCTGATTTTAGTCTTCTACACGTAATAACCCGGGACAAATTGGAGATCAATCCTTTTCTTTTTCCCCTTCATTTCTCTATCTGGATTCCCCCGAATTGAAGTGTATGTGAACGGAAAACATGGAAATTTCTTCATCTCTTTTCACCGGCCCCTTGTTCTCAACCATCGTTACAATCTGCATTCTGATCCTGCTTTATTTCCCCAGTCTTTTTCTCGGCATCATTTTCTCCCCTGTTTTGATCTCAACTTCAATTCTCTTGCTCTCCCTTCTTAGACTCGGCGCTATCCAAAAGGAAAACAGAGTTTCTGATGTTGATCCAGTTCCCGAGGAACAAACCGACGATGATTGCAAAAGGGTCTCTTCAAAGCCCAGCGAATCCTACGTTTCCGGGTCGGGTTCCTGCGATAATCACGAACAGAGCCAGTTGATTAACAATGATTCTTTTGTTGGATGGGATGTTACGGCGCCATTGGAAGTAATCTATGAAGGCTACGAAGGTCAAGGAGACGAAAGCGACGACGTTTCGGACGAAATGGGAGAATCCCGCATGGCTAACCTTGAGAGGTACGCTTCCCTGTCGAAGTTCTACCCGGAGACTGATTCGGAATCATCGCTGGATGAAGAATTCCCGGCGAGCAGAGGTTGGGATCTGTCGGAAAATATTGGTTTCCGTTGGGAGCGAGAGGATAGAGATGGGATGATAGAGATCGAACTGGATGGAAAGGGTTATAGTGATGCCGAGGATGAAGACGATGATAATTTAATCGAGATCGACCTTCATCCGGCGAGTATACCGGCGACGTGTTAAGTTACTCCGGCTGAAAAAATCATGGGTTTTCCGATGAGGTTTAGATTACGTGTAACCTTGGTTAATGGAAAAGACATTAATCATGAATAGTCTAGTAAGTAGGATTAGAGGTTTCTATGAGGTTTTTTGGGTTTGGGTAAATACAGAGTTTTATTGTGAATTAGAACATTGTTAAGAGTGCATAATTCTACTGTAAACGAGGGAATTTCGAATGACTTTTAAAGTTTTTTTTTTGGCACTCTTAGTCCCCGAATGTTTGGGATTCAACAAGTTTCACCTAAAATATTTTAAACTTCGCATACTTACTACGTTCGATGTTCTACGTCCTACATTCCCATGGTGACTCATTTTGATTTGAAATTAAAGTAACGGTTGTTGTATCAAAATAATTCAACAAATAAAATACTATATATATATTTAAAAAGATAAATTATAAAGTGATGGCAAAAATTAGAAGTCTCTGTGACGAGGAGCATTCATGTTTAAATTTTGGAAACTGAAAGTACGTACTATATCTCTTACTTTGTAAATGGCTAATGAATTTGGCAAATAAGAAACTTGGGATGGGACACAGTACACAAGAAGAGTGGGAATGGTAAAGGTGGTCTGTAAAGTGGGCATAGCAAAGGAACGAAAGGCATGTGATTTCCCACTTTTCCTAACCATCAAATGTTGCCAATTGAATGAAAAGGATCTTCGAGATATGACCTCAAAAAGTTCTTTTAGAAAATTTGGATGCATTTTTATTTTTATTTTTTTCGTTAAGTGAACAAGTTGCTCAATTGTCAAGCTCTGAGTTTTTGAGTTAAAAAATAGTTCAAAAAAAGAAGTAGAGAGAAATATAAGTCGAATTTTAAAGAAAAGAAAAATACCGAGATCGGATTTTCAAAATCCGACCTTGCCTTAAAATCGGATTTCACAAATCCGACTTTATGTTAATAACAAAAATTAATTAACTTAATCAAGATTAAAAGAAAATCAGATTTTTAAAATCCGATCTTTGTAAATAAAAAAATAATATCCGAAAAAAATTAAGTTTTTTTTCCAAAAATAAAATTTTGACCAAGTTCGGATTTTCAAAATCCGAATTTACTGTTCACTTTTTTTCATATTTTCAAATTTTCAATTAAATTTTCAGATTTTTAAATTTTCCCGCCCTTCAATTTTTTTTTAAAAAAAAAGCAAGGTCGGATTTTGAAAATCCGTCCTTCCACCAAGATTTTTTTTTAATAAATAATGGATAAACTAATTTTCAAACCAGTCAAAATATATCACAATAATAATAAAAACTATTTTTCATCCATATAAATATAAAACACAATAATTAGTTTAGTTTTGACTAAGTTCAGATTTGTTAAATCCGACATTAAACAGAATTTTTCTAAAAAAAATAGACTGGATTTTAAAAGTAAAACTGATACTGATATCTCAAATTTATAATTTTTGCAATGCTCGTACCAATACAAGGAACATTAGGAACCCGGTGGCGGAAGAAAAAAATTTAGATTTCCAAAATCCCACATAATAAAATAAAATCGGAGTTTGGGAATCCGACTTTCAACGTAACTTGGATATTAAAAATCTGAATTTGTTGATTAAAACGGATTCAACAAATCCGATTTTAGGGAAAAATCAGAATTTTGAAATTCGATTTTTAATTTAGGTCGGATTTTGTAAATACGAGTTAAACCCTAAACCCCAGGTTTAGGGTTTAACTCGGATTTTCCTTTACATCAGATTTTGGAAATCCGATTTTTTCCTAAAATCGGATTTGTGGAATCCGGTTGTATAAGCAAATTCGGATTTGTGAAATCCGATTTTATCGAAATTCGGATTTGTAGAATCCGATTTTCTTTATAAATTCGCTTTAACTGAAAATTCATATTTCAAATATGATATTGTGTCAATATAATCCGCACAAATAGATGTATCAATGTTAGCATTAGTACATGTGTGGTATTTTATAGCATTAGTACGTGCGTTTTGTACTGAGTAACAGAGTTAACAACAGTTTCTAACACTAATACATATGTATCACTAGTACGTGTGTTATCTATTATTATTAATAGATAACAATATTAATAATAATAATCTATAATAGTATTAATAATAATATGTATCAGTAGTACAAGTGATATCTAATGTATAACAGTATTAATAGTATTATGTCATACTAGTTCAGGTGATAAATAATGATTAACAATAAAAAAAATAATATTAATAGTAATGTGTATCAATAGTAACAATAATATGTAATAGGTAACAATGTTAATGGTAGTAATGTGTAACAGTGTTAATCGTAATCTGTATTACTAGTACATGTGATATATGATGTGTAACAATGTTAATAATAATAAGTAGTACCAGTATATATGTGATACTTATGTCGTAGTACTATTAATGATACTATGTAACACTAATCTAGATAATATCTAATGACTAATAGATTTAACAGTAATAACTAACACTAGTACCAATGATATGTAGTGAGTAATAGTATTAATGTACTATATAAGACTAGTACGTAATAGTACATAACACTAATACAGATGAATTATAATAAATTAATTTAATACAAATTCTTAACAGTTTTAATAGTACTACACAACAGTAATATATTTTTTTCATCAATTTAATGCAAATTCCTAATTATCAGTAATATAAGATTTTATTATTCCCATACCTAATACAATTTTTTTTTAATTTTTTTGAAAGTGGATAGGTCAATTTAATGTGAATTCCTATCAAAACTCGGAAAAATTTTTAATGTTTTCTGCACTTAAAGATGTTTTTTTTAATAAAAAGAAGTTTGGATTTTCAAAATCCGATTTTACTGTTCACTTATTTCAAATTTTTAAATAAATTTTCAAATTTTTAAATTTTTCCGCCCTTCAACTTTTTTAAAAAAAAAACTTGCACTGTTCATTATTTGACCACAAAAAATATATATTATTTTTCACATGTATTTTTCGGAAAAAAAATATTATTTTATTATGTCGGATTTTCAAAATCCGATTTACTAATTTAATTAGCACTTCGGATTTTGTAAATCCGATCTCCATATTTTACTCTACAAAAAAAAAAAAAAAAGATCTCTCTAGTCTTTTTTCTAGACAGTTTTTTAACCAAAACACCCGTCAAGCTCTATCTCCCCACTCTGTGTTTGGATGAAGAAAAGTATATTTTGTCTCGTCTCTAAATAATTGTTCTATTATTAAAGAATTTTATTTAGTATAAATATTACTGGCTCTACGTACTAAGAAATTAATTTATGTATAAAAAAAAAAACAACTTTTTGGTGATGAGAAACGAAGGTTGTTAGGGAGACAAGTGTGGGAGACAAAAGATCTTCTTAGTTCTTATCAAAGTTCTAAAACTCCCGTTCATTCTATCACTCCTACGGGGCATGGTAGGTAATGTTGGTTTTCCTCTTGGATCTAGAGAGGAAGGTTCATAGTGATGACAGGATGGTTCATTATTGGCTATTATTCTCTCCCTAAAATAATAAGAGTAATATTTATATGAGACGGAGAAAGTACAAAATGAAAAGAAATTTGGATAAATAATCTTTTAATAATATTGTCCTCTTTTTACGACCTCTTGATAAATCCTGTGCAGTTGTATTATTTTCAGCTCAATCATCACCTTCTATTCGAGATATTATTTAATTTAACACAAAGGTTAAGAAAAAGAGTGAAAAAGAAGAGAGGGTACCATGTGAACTGTGAAGTAAAATTAACTGGTAAAAAACTCTCGCCTTCAACTTAAAAAATAGTTGTTTCTAGAGTTACCATATTTGTATTTTTGTAGGGTAAGATTTCAATCATAAAACAACTAATTGTACATCTCAAAAATGGAAAGAAAGGACTGATGGCCAGTCCAATTCAAATGCTCAAAAGACTGTAAGGATCCGAGAGTTGTGAGAATGATAGATGACAAGTACATCGTTGGTGGTTTTTGGTCTAGTTCAAGTTATTATAGAATTGCTCGAGAAAGGTTGGATTGAGAGGTTGAAAAATGTTTTCTGCCAGTTGAATTTCCTAATGACTATTTAAGACGTCTTTAATTATTAGTTGTTTTATAATTTACTCTTGAAATTAAGTTGGGACAAATACATGACACGATGGAAATTTCTTAATAATGTTCAATGCAATATATTAATTTATAAGATTTTAAACTTTCTCTCTTTTTGGCCACTGAATGGAAAACAAAAAGTATATAATAAGTAGAGAAGTATTCACAATTCAATTTCTTTTTTATTTTTTCAAAGGAAAAAAAAATACGCTTTCTGTTTTAAAATGATTATTCTATTTTAGATTTTCATTCATCAATTTTAGTACTATATGTATTAAAAATAAAATTTAAACGGAATATCACATTTTGTAACCGGAGTGGCGGGTGATATTTAAATCAGAAAAAGCAACTTTTGTTAACCTTTGCTTCCACTAATTTTATATGTTTATCTCATTATTTTGGGTGGTTTTAAAAGGAAAAAATTGGCCGATCTATCCAAAGGTTGACATGCGTTGTCAATTTCACCCTATTCTTTTTAGGTTAGTCAATATTACCCTAAACTATCCAACCGTTAGCCGATTTTGTCCAATTTACCAATTTTCGTTTAAATTAACGGAATTTTGTTAGTTTTAATTACAAAAAATACCCTAATATTTTTGAAAATTATAAAAATGACCCCAAAAATTTATAAAAAAACCAAACAGTCTTTTTTTACTTTTTATTTAATTTTTTCTGTTTTCTATTTCTTTTCACTATTTCTCATAACTATAAAAATATATTATATAATCTTTTAAAAAAAAGCTATTTATTTTTAAAACACTATTGTGCAAATTTATAGATATGCATATTCGTAACTCATGGTTGATTGCATAAATATATTAATTATTTAATTATGGTTTAACAGTAATGATATTATTTTTTTAATCTATTTTTTTCAATCTAAAAAATAAGATTATTTAACTAAACCTAATTTTGCACAAAAAATAAAACATTTAGCATAGATTAAATTTTTTTTTATTGGTATACTTTAATGTATTATTACAATATAATTTAACAAAATTTAGATTGTATTGTAAAATTAAAAAAATAATTAAACTAAAATATACATTTTCTTTAAAAGACCAAGTACAAACAGAAAGTAAAAAAAAATGGTACAAAATATTGTATAAAAAATATGTATATTTATCATTGCGAGATTTTAACATTTCGTGATAATTTTTTTGAGATATTAACATCGAACTTTAGCAGAAAATTTTTTTTTAATAATGATAAAAAAAATCTGCTCTAATACTGGACTCCACCTTAAAAAAAAAAAAGATGGCCCCAGTGAGAATTAAGGCCTCGAACACAGTAATAATCATCTCTCATCTTAAATCACCTGACCATCCAACTCAACCCTCTCACCTTTAGTAAACCGTGCATAAATGTGGATAAAAATCACTCTCCCGGTTAAAAATCCTTAGCGAGAATTAATCTAATATCTACTATCATGAAGCTGAACACCCTAAACACTAGATTGTACACTATATTTTAGTTTAGTAATTTTTTGAATTGGATAATATCTGTAGTTTATTTATTCAATTTGTAATAAATTAAAACGTACTAATATATTAATTTTTAATCTATGCTAAATGCTTTACTTTTTTTGTAAAAAATTGGTTTTTAGTCAAAAAATATTATTCTTTAAATTGAAAAAAAGGATTAAAAAAACTAATATCATTATTGTCAAGTTATTTTATTAAAAAATTAATATGTTTATGTAAATCAACCATGAGTTACAAATATACATATCTATAAATTTGTACAGTAGTGTTTAAAAATAAATAATTTTTTTAAAAGATCATATAATATATTTTTATAGTTATGAGAAATAATAAAAATAAATAGAAAACAGAAAAAAAATTAAATAAAAAGCGTAATAAGACTGTTTGGTTATTTTTACAAATTTTTAGGGTCCTTTTTATAATTTTCAAAACTATTAAGTTGTTTTTTGTAATTAAAACTAATAGAATTCTGTTAAATTAAACGAAAATTGGCTAATTGGACAAAATTGGTTAATAGTTGGATAACTTAGAGTAATATTAGCTAATTGAAAAAGAATATGACAGAATTGACAACGCATGTTCCGTTTTAAAAGTCTACAGTCTACATAAGCAACTTTTGTTAACCTTTTATTCCACACTCTTAGTCTTCTTAATGGGCCTAGTTCATCAAGAGCTGGCTCCCTCCATTTTCAATCCAAATTCCAAGTCCTAAGTCCTAACATATTAACATAAGTTTTCTGGGCCTTAAGGAATCTTCCAGTTGTGGACCTGTAACTCGCTCATATATTAATGTCAATCTACTCTTTGTTCTTTCGATTGATATTTCACTTCTCATTTCAGTATTAAACTGTTGAACTAAAATCGTATAGTCTCTGTATTTCATAAAATAATTGACATTATATTATTAAACTATAAATTATATTTACAACTAGATATTAAACCCGCACGATGTGCGGGATTTATACATATACATCTATTAAAATATATTTTTAAATTTTAAATGTAATGAATACAAATAAAGTAACTGGTTTGTAATAATAAATATATGATTAAAATTAAATTAGATCGTGATAAATAAAATTGTTATATATACTTTGAAATGACAACATTTTATAAATTGTATGCCAAAAATGTAATTAAATAATGGAATATGTATAAAGATTATATACAAATAAAAGTAAAAAAGACCACCAAAATAATAAATCAGATGTTACATGTCATATAAATCAAAGCAATTTATGTCTATACGGTTAAAAACGCATGTTAATCAAGATTGCAAACAATTGGAGAAAGAGACACCTTACATGTTAAATAAAACATGATCGGAGTGAGGTCGTCGCCGCAAAGATGTTTTGTAAAGTATATAAGATGCTTCGCTTCAGTATTTCACCGGTTGTCATTGTACATGTTAGAGTTAGACCGGAGTGGATATTTATAGTGAATGTCTGAATGAGATATCATAACCAGTAACTAAAGTAAAATTCATAACTATAGAATAAAGATGATAACGTCACGTTGATTAAGGGATAAGATTGGTGGGGAAATGACTTCCATTGCATTAATGTTGATTAGTCTTTTTCAATTAAATTTGATTAGTTTTTAATCACTAAAGAATTCCCACTTTCCCGCACGTTGAACTTAGGTTTTAAATCAATCAAGTAGTGATTTTAGGGATTATTTTGTAGAGGGATTTTTTTTTATTCGAATTGACTGGGGTAAAAAATCCCGGTGAATCAATGTTGAAAATAATAAATGCCTTATCCTTTTGAACTTATAATTTAAATCAATCAATTAATACTAATTGGAGATTACTTTTGGGAGGGATTATTTTTTAGAGGAAATAATTTTGGTGCATTAATGTTCATTAATCTCGTTCATTAAATTTAATTAATTTTTATTTTCCTATTTTGAACTATAGTTTTAAATGCCATTTGATAAAACTTTATTTACATAAAATTTGAAGGACTATTAGTATAATTGTTGTAAATATTTTTTGACTCAACCATTAGAAAAATGACACATAGGATTTTATCCTATGTGATGCCTTTAGAAATCTTTTTTATTTTCTCTTTTTGATTTCTCTCTTAGTATAATATATATACTATAGATGTAATTTATTTTCATGGGGTAATGGAAGTAAAAAGCAGATGAGATGGTCAATTTCCATCAAGCAGGTTGTAGGGATTTTTTCACTTTTATTCGGGGAATCACTAATTTTTTTAGATGCTCAATGAAAGAGAAATAAATATTATGCTAATATATCAAGTTTACAATATAAACTAAGTGATAATTTTTCAGAGTTTGAAAATGAACATGTATTTCCCCTCTTTTGGATAGTTTCTTCTTACGAGTTTCTAGAGCTTGGTTTCTTCCATTTGTTTATGGCAAGAGGGGACAATAACACAAGAGAGCTGGTGAGGCCTTCAAGTTTCAACATCAATCAAAGGACATACGTCCACCACCTTCAAATGAAAAAATAACCCAAAAAAAAAAAAAAAGTCCACCTCTCACCTAAACTTTAGCCACCAGAAAAGCTTTTCTTCTGGTCACATCAAATAAAATGACCATTTCACCCCTTACTGGATTGCCACGCCTTGCAGCTGCCTTTGACTAAACTGGTCAACAATTTGGAAGGCGTGATTTCTTTCGTATTATTTTTAACTAACTTACTAGTCCACAAGCCGCCGCAAAGAACACAAGGTACAGCCTTTAATCCGTAAGGTACAACCCTTACTGCGTAGCGTAAGGTTAATACCCTAAAGTCGGCGCGACCATGTTCCATCAAACGTGGAAATATGAACGGCTCAAGATCGTATTTGGAAGGGGGGCCACATTTGACACCAGCGGCGTACGATAGTTGCCTGTCACAACTCATAAATCACAGCCGTTCACGCTAGACATGTGTGACAGTTGACACACACAGTCACACAGTAGCCTGCCGATTTACACGTGTCCTTTAGAAATTCTTGATCGACAAGTCAGGCTTAAAAATTAAAAAAAAATAAGAAAAGGAAAAAAGAGAAAAGACAGCAGAGCAAGAGCAGGCAGACTCAGCAAGGGCACCGGCATTTCACTTTAACATTCCCTCCCAGCGTTTTGGGGGATTGGCAGCGCTTTTTTCATTTTCCGTAATTTTGATTCTCAACCAAATCATCCCATCTCTCTACAGCGCCTCCTCTTCCTTTCTCTCTCTACAAAGTGAGATTTCTATCTGCTGTTGTTGTTCTCTTCGCAAAATTCCTATTGCAAATTCATTTTTCCGTTGCTTTCAATTTACACGCACTCAAACAGTACGCGATTGAAGTGCCTGGAGTCTGAATTTTTCCCTTGTTTTTGGAATTTTAGCTGCTTTCACTTTGTTTTCCATCTTTTCTTTTTAATTTTTCTTTTTTTTTTTGGCAGATACTGTCGAGTTTGTACTCGGAATTCGGAAACGGAAATCAATATGCAGAGGATCGCGTTGTTGGAAAGGTTTTCTCGGAACTTCAATGGAGGTGGTGGTTCAGGCATCCCCAAGGCACTGCTTGTTGTTTGCGCTGTGAGGTACCGTTAAATACTCTGTTTATCCTTCTCGCGTATGAATTACGCTAGTGATTTTGCGCTTTTGTTGCCGAGTACTGCCATTGTGTTCTTGTTTGAAATTCTCGCTGTTGAGTTTTGCATCTAGGTTTCGTTTGCCTCTTGTTGACTTGTTGGTTAGATTGCGTGGATTTTGAGAAGATTCGACGACTAACCAACGAACTTATGCTGTTGATTTGAGTTTCTTTCCCGCCGGGGGTGATTTTTACATACGAACTGTTCTCTCTGTTGTGATTGATTTAATGTTTTGGAAGGAACAGATGCGCTTAGTTAGTTTCAAATATAGATGTTCTGATCTGGTTTGTTTGTTTGTTTGTGTATAATAATACCATGCTCTGTACCTAGCAAATAGTTATCTATGCGTAGATCACCCCGCCCTGCTTTTATCACCAGCCTTTAAATTTTGAATTTAGAGAAGGCTAGTTATTATGAGATGTGATGCATTACATGGTTCCAGACACATAAGTATTGTAGTTCAACAAGTTCAAACGAGTCCTCAAACTGGGATCATACAAGCTGCTTAGGTCTTAGACTGGTAATTTCTGATGCAACAACACCTGACGGCACGATGCTGAATTGTTGGCTTTGCTTGTGTCTTATTTTAAAGAACTTTACCTTTCTTTTGGGTGTAACATGTTGCCTTATATTCTGTGTCCTGCATTTTTTAGTTCAAAGAACTATACTAAGTTGAATGTGTTTGCTTAGTGCTTTGCTTTATTGGCATAATGTTCCATGTGTCTTATCCTTAACAATCAAATTCCTTTTTACTCGTTCAGTCGTTTGACCTAGTAACCGAATCAATTGCTGATTATACATTTTGGCTTATCATCTGTTTTCTTTCAAGTAGTGGCGGGGCAGGCTTTGTTGCCTATTCTGAAGCAGTGTCAAACAACACACCGACTGTCGCTGATTTGACTGAAACACAGATTAAGAAAAAGAGGGTGGTGGTACTTGGAACTGGTTGGGCTGGAACGAGTTTCTTGAAGAATCTGAATGATCCTTCATATGATGTTCAGGTGATATCACCACGTAACTACTTTGCATTCACCCCTCTGCTACCAAGTGTCACAAGTGGTACAGTGGAACCCCGGAGTATTGCTGAACCTATTCGTAACATTATCAGAAAGGTATCTTCGGCGTTCATTTAATTGTCGTGCTCTTTCTGTAGTTTTATTCTGATATTCCAGCGTAGTTGTCTATGGTTCAATAAAGTGAAGGCCAAATTTATTTGCTGCTCGTAATGCAGAAAAAAGTAGAGATTCACTACAGTGAAGCAGAATGTATCAAGATCGATGCTCAGAACAAGAAAGTTTACTGTCTCTCTAATGATAAGACAAACTTGAAGGGCAGAGAAGAATTTGCTGTTGACTTTGACTACCTTGTAATTGCTGTTGGAGCTCGTCCAAACACATTTAATATTCCTGGAGTGGAGGAAAATACACTTTTCTTGAAGGTTATTTAAAATAGTCCTGGACATCTTTGTTTCGTTTTCGTATTTGCAATGTAAAGGTCATTGATGAAGTATAATGATTTGGTTTGTACTGACCTCTTGGACTCCTTTTCACTGAGTAATAATGTTCTTATTACATACTTCATTTATTACTGTTGGATTTATAATTTTTCCCCTCTGTGGTTGTGATGGATGTGTATTAATTTCTTGTGGTATTTTCTTGTTGCTATCAGGTTTGATTCTAATGTTTCCATCTGCTTGTTTGCCCTCACAGGAAGTGGAAGATGCTCAGAAGATCCGGAAGACTGTCATTGAGTGTTTTGAAAAAGCTGATCTGCCAAACCTGGATGATGAAGCAAGAAAGAAGCTTCTGCATTTTGTTGTAGTTGGTGGTGGTCCAACAGGAGTAGAGTTTGCTGCTCAACTTCATGACTTTTTAGCCGAAGATTTATCCAAGCTATACCCCACTATCAAAGATTTTGTCAAGATAACACTGCTTGAGGGGACAGATCACATCTTAAACATGTAATCCCGTCACTCTCTTCTTTTTGTTATGCATTTTTCACATTAGATATATTTTCTCCTTGATTCTGCATCTCGTTGATAGTAATTATGACGATTACTGTCCATTATTGTTGTAATTATGAGTTTTGGCTTACTTTTTCTGTGTTTTGACTTTTAAACATTCTTTTCTTTGTATGAATGGTGTATGGAAACTGCATTCTTGAATATCCAGTGAAGAAGAACTTTTCGTAAAGTAACATGTTGCATTTATAAGAGTCATCTGGTTATTTTTCCTGGCATTGTTAGATTCATTGTTGGATATGGTTGCAAGATATCATTCTACAATATTTAAATGGTCATAGTTTCCAGACATATTTGTTGGTGCTGGGGAAGAATTGCTTAGATTCGGAACTCATTCATGCTTGAAAGATCAAAACATCTTTCATATCTATGTTTACTACTTTCAAAAGTTACTCATGCAATTTGAATTCCTGGATTGCAGGTTCGACAAAAGAATCACAGCTTTTGCAGAAGACAAATTTAAGAGAGATGGTATTAATCTTAGAACTGGATCAATGGTTGTGAATGTATCTGACAAAGATATTTCTATTAAAGACATCAAATCAGGAAGCATTTCGTCCGAGCCATATGGCATGATTGTCTGGTCTACAGGGATTGGGACTCGACCTGTCATGATTGACTTGATGAAGCAAATTGGTCAGGTAACATCCCTTGTGTAACTTTACATGATACTTCTTTCTTTCTCTTGCCAACTTTCTTCAGATTTATATATCCTTGCGTCTTTGTCTGAAACTGTTTCCTGTTCTGTAGGGCAACAGACGTGTATTAGCTACTGATGAGTGGCTGCGAGTTGAGGGCTCTGACACCATATATGCACTAGGAGACTGCGCAACAATTAATCAGCGTAAAGTCATGGTAAATTTCTTTCATCATTTATGGGCATTTAGGGACAGAAGAGAATCCATATCGTGTGGCTCCTGTGCAGTTCTTTTTGATTTCTATGGTTAAGGATGTTACTGGAATTCTATTGTGCTATGAGAAAATAATGTGCAACCTTTGACCTCAAACTAATCTGAGAGAATGCTTAGAGAGGCATGCTGTCTTATTGGTTGTGCACTTCATAGGAAGATGTTAACAGACTCATATAACAGTGGAACTTAGAATTTCTCAGTACACATTATTAACTGCCCTGTTGTCTTGGCATCTAATAGCTGTTTCACCCTGTACATGAAAAGAAAAAGTTTCTTTAACCACCAAAATTATTAAAGCTAGCTTTACATATGCTTTCACACTCATGCTTTTGGTATTATGCTCGATAAATTAGTCATTACTGTCTTTTTATATCTTTTGACTTTTTTCCCTTTGAACTTTATCCCAATTATCAGGAAGATATTGCTGATATATTTAAGAAAGCCGACAAAGACAACTCTGGTACACTCACAGTCAAAGAATTTCAAGAAGTTCTTAAGGATATCTGTGAGCGATATCCTCAGCTGGAGCTCTATTTGAAGAATAAACAGATGCACAGTTTAGTTGATCTGCTGAAAGCTTCAAAAGGGGATATAAAAGAATCTGTTGAGGTGGACATTGAAGAATTCAAATCGGCGCTCTCCCAAGTTGACATGCTGATGAAGAATCTTCCAGCTACTGCACAGGTTTGTTATTATAGAGATTGTAATATGGTTTATTCAGCACTGTTATTGTTATACAGGAATGGCATCCTGACGTTCTGTATCTTTACAGGTTGCATCCCAGCAAGGTGTCTATCTCGCAAATTGTTTCAACCGCATGGAGGAGTGTCAAAAGAATCCAGAAGGTCCTCTTCGGATTCGAGGAGAAGGACGTCATCGCTTTCACCCCTTCAGGTATGAACAAAATTATAGTGCTGTTCCACTGTACCTATTTTCTGTTCAGCCACACTGTAAAGATGAGCTGGCCACATGCTAGTAAATTCTTTAGCGTAACAGAAAATTGAAAGAAACAAGAAATAGAAATTTGTTAAGCAACCAATAAATGGAGAGAATTCATGAAAAAATGTATAAAGATTAACTGTTGCATACTGGTACTCTTGGTTGAAAAATATATTATCATGCTTTGTCCAGGTATAGGCATCTAGGACAGTTTGCTCCCCTGGGTGGTGAACAGACAGCAGCCCAGCTTCCTGGAGATTGGGTTTCAATTGGTCACAGCACTCAGTGGCTCTGGTACTCTGTTTATGCAAGGTATGCTGTTCTCTAGCTATGATCTGTGGTACTATATAATATCTCCCATCTAAGGAGATGTTGAACAAAGGGCACACTATTTATTTATTGCTGTATATTTGCATGTTTAGCAAGCAAGTCAGTTGGCGTACTAGGGCATTGGTGGTATCAGATTGGCTGAGGCGTTTCATTTTCGGGAGGGACTCAAGCAGTCTTTGAGGGATCCGAAGTTTCTTTTAGCGATGATGGTGGACTGTCAAGATATTAGACAATCTTCTGCTGCTGTTATATAAAGGCTGCTTTGACATTCTTTTTTCTGGTTATTCGAGTCCATTTTGTTGGAACATGAGCGAAACAACTCCACAATTTTGCAGCTAGTCTTGTCGTTAAATCTAAGAGCTGGTTTCATAACTTTGCGCTGACCATTCTTCCTTTTCCCTGTTAAGAAAGTTGTAAACAAAACAAACAAGCAAAACACTCTGTTATCTCTCTATATATATGGACATCTGAAGATACTGTTCTTCTGTCGTTTAAAGTTTAAATTGAACTAGATTTGGCTTATTGTTTCATTTTCAATTTCAATTGTGATGGAAATTTTTGTGTCTTCTGTCTTTTACTCCGCACACGCCGAAATAATTGTTCAGTTAAGATTTTTATTATAAGTATAAATTGTGATATTCTTTCTCTCTCAATCATCGTTATTGGATAAATTCAAGCAACGCTACCTAAGAAAAGTTCTCTAATTTTCAGCGGAGAAAAACAGTGTTTCTAAATTACGGATTAGCAGGTACGCACAGCCCTCTAAAGATAGTCCACAAGGAAGAAAAGATTAATTAGGCACATGGTTGAGATAATGAGAAAAGAAATTTTGGTTTTGGTTGGTTGGTGGTGGGCTGGTGGTAACATGGGGTTTTCAAAGGTGAGGAGACAGAAGATCGGGGACTCTATATTTTTATAATCAAGCTGATAAGCCATATGATATACCCTCCATGTAAATACAAATAAATGAAATCTATGAATATATATTGGGGATTATCTTCATTCCTCACTAGTGATGTCAATTCCCATTTTTGGTGAAGAATTAGGCTCCACGAACTGGTTGATCTTATCCTCCACATTCAATTCAATATGGATGATCGGAGTGGATTTTTCCTCCTTCGTCCCCCTCCCCCAATCAAATTCTCTTCTCTATCTTTTGTTGGAAGGAAAATAAAAAAAAAAAGAAAATGGTTTGCTGTATGAACATATTGTTTGAAGTAGAAAAAACATTGAACTCTTGTTCGAAACCCGTTTTATGAGAACTTAAGATGGAATCATCCAATTTCTCGATTGGCATCATTTTTCTCTAAACTTAAATAACGTCCACCACTTCAAACTCCTTTTGTGATCCTACTCGCTTAATAACAGTATCCAAATTCAATTCTTTAAAAGTGTATACAGTCATTTTTCATGATTTAAAGAAATGATACATGAGAGTTGAAACTAAAAGTTTACAATGATATAATCTCATTGCTACGAACCTTTCCAATGTTATAAATCTTATAAACTTTGAAATAACATTATTATGAGCTTTAATATAGTTCTTAAGAACTTCTAGGATAATTCTCATTAGCAAGAATCAAAACTAAAATCTCAAAAGTACTGGGATGTGACTAAAAAATTTGCACCCCTCCATCATTCCATAGTAATTAATCCCTGGTGGCTCGATCCATTTTTTACGATCCATTTAATGAATCCCCCGTCTAGAAAAAAAAAAAAGAAAAAAAAGGTTAATTTAATTTAAAAAAGCATAGCATTAAATGACCTAATTACGGCTCTTAAGTCTATCATGGATGCTCTTAATTTAAAAAAGCATAGCATTTTTAAAACTTTTCATCCGGAGTTTAAATATTTAAGCTTAGGGAATAGTTTAGATAATCGACATATTATTCTTTATAGTTTTCATTGTAATTTTCCCTGCATGCGCTATTCTTTTACATATTTGAAGTTTTGAACAATTGATTGTAAATTTGATCACACTTTAAGAAGGTAACCATAATTTCTCAAAAGCTCGGGGGAGGTCCTAATAAAAAAAGTACAGTAATCATTAACAAAAGAAAAACAGTTTAAAAGAGTCAAATGCTAAAATTAACAGCATTAAGAGAGCCAGATAATACGGTAAAAAAGACGCACGTGGCAGCAATTAAGAGGTAAATGGGTTTAATGTGCATCCCTCTTCCAGGCATGTCAGACATTGTCAGTTTTTCCACTGCTTTGCCAGCTTAAACCAAGTTTAAGAAGAATTATTTTAGAGCTTTCCTCCATAAAATATTGTGCTTGATTACTACTACTTCTGATTTCTGATCCAATAATAAATTATGCTTTTCCCACACATCAATGTCAGTTTAAACAATTCTTCATCAATTGTGGTTATCTTTCTCCTCTCTTTTTCCTTGTTTTTTTTTCCCCTTTTTTTTTGGGTTCATTTTTTTGACTTTTTTGGGATGATGCTCTACTGAAATATTAGTAGTAGTTGTACTGAGGAGAAGAATTATTGGAGTAGGGCAAGGTAGTAGAGTAGGAGTTACCATGGATGCTCTTTATCATTTGCTGGGGTGGTCCATTATTTTCTAGCATTCAACTATCAAGCTCCCAAAAGAGGTAAGAAAGTGAAAGCTCAAAGCTTTCCCCTCTTTTGTTCATGGACTCCTGCATCCCTCGCTCAATCAATCTACTTCATTTGTATTTTCTTTTTTATTATATGCTTTTGATTTCTAATTTGTCAACCCAATTTTTTTGTGAGTGTATATCAAATTCTTTTTATCTGCTCTCTTTTTGTTTCCGCTGTGTTCAGATTCCTCATTAATACATGAGGTGCTATCAAGGTGTTGTTATTGACAAGTTTTCAATCTTTTTTGTGGTGGATCTCAAGTTTTAGTTACCATGCTGTTTCTGGGTGCTTTGATTTCTGTTAGCGGGTTGAGGTTGGGGTTAGAAAAAGGGGAAAGGAAAGGTGAGGTGGGGGGAGTTAGTTGAATCTGAGGTGTAGCTGTATATGCCTATTATGTCAGAAGGCGATTTGCAATGAATACTGACAGAAGTCTAGAGGTTCTGTGAGGGGGGAAAAAGCAACTGCTGACTGATATGGGGTTTTGTTATTTGGTATCTTTGTCTGAGTATTGAGAATCTGTAGCTTCATAGTTATTGGTAATCTTTACATTCTAAATGTTCTGCTGCATTCATTCGTTGTATTTAAGCAGGATCATTTTTCTTGCATTCTGAATAATGGGATTTTAGTGTTTGTTGTATATACGCATGAAACAGATTCTGCTGTTGCACCCATGGATCCGGATCAAAAGAAGCCTAAGAACTCAGCAGAATCGACTACCTTGTCCGAGGTAACTCAGACACCGTCTTCATTCCCCGATGAAGTATTGGAAAAAGTCCTCTCTTTGCTGCAATCGCACTCTGACAGAAGTTCAGTCTCACTGGTCTGTAAAGACTGGTATAATGCTGAGCGCTGGAGTCGGACAAAAATCTTCATAGGAAACTGCTATTCTGTCTCTCCTGAGATTGTAGCAAGAAGGTTTCCCAAAATTAAGAGTGTGACACTTAAGGGCAAGCCAAGATTTTCAGATTTCAATTTAGTCCCTCAGAACTGGGGTGCTAATATTCATAGTTGGCTCGTATTATTTGCTAAAGCATACCCCTTTCTCGAGGAGTTGAGACTAAAAAGAATGACTGTGAGTGATGAGAGCTTGGAGTTTCTTGCTAAGTCATTCCCTGAGTTCAAAGCTCTCTCGTTGGTTAGTTGTGATGGGTTTAGCTCTAATGGGCTAAAATCCATTGCCTCTCATTGCAAGTAAGAGCTAGTTTACCTCTCTTATTCTATTGTGATGTTTGTTGATTTTGAATTAGGTTTATCTTTTCCAACTTTATTTGGTTTTAGGTGCACTTTGATTGTCTTAGCTGTGGCTTACTATTTCTTCAAATGTGTTGTGTCTTCTTCTTGGTATTTTCACATGCCTTCACATTGTGCTTAAATTGTCTTGATTTCCTGCTTATTATTGCTTGCAAGTCAGAGGAAAACATGTGTTTGGTTTGATATGCGTGAACCCACCAGGGAATGAATACCTGGTCAAAGACTAGCCTTCTCTGTGGAAAATAGAACAGGTTTTAGTGGAAGTTGAGTGCTTTTACTTTACGAATTATTTCTTTCTTTTTGCTGTTGCTTTCTGATGTGACACTCAACCAATTGAGGAGCATTCACTTGGATATTTTCCATTGATATAAAACTATAAATGAGGTCATCGTTTTTCATTAGAGAGGGAATATGGGCTTTGAAATCCACATAATGGATTGCTTGTGTTTTTTTGTTGGACAATGTTTGTGGCTCACTTTTATTTGCCCTTGTTTAAAATGGAATCTTAAGGATCATACAACAGTTAGTGTATGTCACCAGGATATCAGCTACTTGCACACCTGTGAAATGTTATCTGAATTAAATCTTGAGCTGTAGTACCTCTGCAAGAAAGTATTTTCTCCGAGCAATATGAACATACAGTTGTGCATGTGGAAGATGAAAGATTGGGTTTCACATTCTTTTAACTTATTTTTAAACAGAATAATGGCTTTCAGTTTTAATTTAAATTATGAATACCCGCCTGTAATCTTTACCTTACTTGTAACTTGTACCTGATTATAACTCTCACATTCTGTGTTCATTACAAATATATTATGCAAAACAACTTTCTATTCATTAGTCTTTTCTTTTCTTTTCCATCTTTCTATGAATATCTATTTCTGCTAGAAAATTTGAAGAATTCTTTCCTGTATATTTTCTTTCTTTGATTGCCTCAGTGAGGTTTCCAAAGTTACATCATTTTAAGTTTTTTCTCTCTCGACTTCTGTAGACATAAAACCAAGAGCATTCTTGCTAATCATTGAAGATTACTATTTGGTGACTGTACCTAGATGTCTTTTTATTTCTTTCTAAAGTTTTATCATATATTGTTTGGAAGAATAATGAATAAACCAATGTTCTTCGTCAAATGACCCATTTTGCTGCTTATCATCTATTAGAACACTTTGCTCCAGTGTGAGATGATGCTCTTTAAGAATTTACTCCTCTTAGTCAATATCAGCTACTTCTTCTTGGCTGTTACTTCCCCAAATTACTCAAAATCACAAGATTTTTTGGAAGTAAATAGCGCACAAAATCGTAAATGCTTTTTCTAGTTTCTCGCACAGTAGATAACTGTTTAGATGCCAGGCCTTTAGTTTGTTACGAATTTTTTTTCTCAGTATGTCCAATTCTGTATCTTCACTTCTTTCTTATTATTGTTTTATCTTTGGATTAGATTAAGGTTTTAATATGTTTTGCAGGAAATTGACTGAGCTAGACATCCAGGAGAATTCCATGGATGACATTAGTGGATGTTGGCTAAGTTGTTTTCCTGAGAATTTCACGTCACTGGAAATACTGAACTTTGCCAGCCTTCACAGTGACGTCAGTTTTGATGCCCTGGAAAGACTTGTAAGCAGGTGCAAAGGTTTGAAAGTGCTGAAGGTCAATAAAGGTATCACCTTGGACCGACTGCAGAGGCTACTTGTGCATGCACCTCAGCTGGTCGAACTTGGTACTGGTTCTTTCCAGCAAGAGTTCATACATCGCCAATATCAGGAGCTTGAAACTGCGTTCAAGAACTTAAAATATCTGCAGACGCTTGCAGGATTATGGGATGCCTCTTCCGTTTATATCCCTGTTCTATATCCTGCGTGCTCCAATCTGACCTTTTTGAACTTTAGCTATGCAACGCTTAACAGCGATGAATTTGCAAAGTTGCTAGCTCACTGTCCAAATTTGCGGCGTCTCTGGGTAAGAAGTTTTGACTATTTGATGTCTTTTGCTTATGGATCTTTATGTTCTCTATGATTATCTGGTCTACTGAGCTGTACGTTAAAATGTTTTCACAGATCACCTTCTTTGTTACTTGGCGAGAATTCATCATAGAAGCTTCCCTATCTTGTCATGCTTCATTCTTCCGCACTTTTCAAGATATATTTCAGCCACTTCCATACCCTATTGGTTTTTTGTTTGTTTTGTTTTTGTTTTTTTCTGTTTAAGTTCTTTTCTGATTCATCACTACAACACGACAAAGATTCCAGAAATTTTTAAGCTTTGACAGATTTGATAGAAGCCACTAGATAAAGTTTCTGTTATGTCATTGTTTGATAATCATCAGACATCAAAGTTGCTCCTAGAATCCTCGTACTTGGTTGGATTTCATTGTCTTGAGTTCCGTACTGTTTTCTCCTCCAACAGGGGTTGATGATTCAATGTTTATTACTTCGGAATCTTTGATATTTTACATTATGCAATCTGGGTTTCTCATGTGTGGATGTACTCATTCAGGTCCTGGACACGGTTGAAGACAAGGGACTGGAAGCTGTAGGTTCATGTTGTCCCTTACTTGAAGAACTGAGAGTTTTCCCAGCCTATCCTTTTGATCAAGATATTAACCATGGGGTCACCGAGTCAGGTTTTCTGGCTGTCTCTCGAGGTTGCCGGAAGCTCCATTACGTTCTGTATTTTTGTCAGCAGATGACCAATGCAGCCGTTGCCACAATTGTGCAGAATTGCCCTGATTTCACCCATTTTCGTCTCTGCATAATGAATCCTGGTCAACCTGACTACCTGACAGATGAGCCTATGGACGAGGCTTTTGGTGCTGTGGTCAAGACATGCACAAAACTCCAGAGGCTTTCAGTGTCAGGGCTCTTAACTGATCTGACCTTTGAATACATTGGTAAATATGCCAAAAATCTCGAGACTCTCTCTGTGGCATTTGCTGGAAGCAGTGATTGGGGCATGCAATGCGTGCTTGAGGGATGTCCAAAGCTGAGGAAGCTTGAAATCCGAGATTGCCCATTTGGGAATACGGCATTACTATCTGGTTTGGAGAAATATGAATCAATGCGTTCTCTGTGGATGTCCGCCTGTAATGTCACCATGCATGGTTGCCTTTTACTGGCAAAAGAGATGCCGAGGTTGAATGTGGAGGTAATGAAAGATGAGGAAGATGATAGCAGTCTTGTCGACAAAGTCTATGTATATCGATCCGTAGCAGGGCCAAGAAGGGATGCCCCACCCTTTGTTCTTACTCTCTGAACCTCAAAAAGGTCTAAGTTCTTTCTTTCTTTCCCACCCTTGTTCAAATATCTGCATTTTTCTTGCATGTGTTTGTGGTAACCTGTTCAGCAGACTTGTATACGTGCAGTAATGAGATTCATTGTCCTAACTGCACATCCAAAAAACCCCTTAGCATAGCAAACATTATATTGACTTGGGTGATGGATGGATGGATGGATGGAGCTCCAAACCTAATTGCATTTGGAAGTTGATATGTTGAAGCTTGTCGAGTACATTCTGCTTTTTCGTAGTACATTCCACACTGGAAGTGTCAGAAATTTTCGTGACAGTAGACGACAGATGAATAACTCCCAAAGCTTCAAGTTAGTCTCTGTGTGGATTTGGCCATGAAGGCTAATTATCCGGTTTTAAGGGTATCGGCTCAACCATTCGCCCTTCTACAAGCATTCTTCAGATTAGATTTCTTCCCAGCAGCTGCTGTAAGGTAGACCATTGAGTAGTATTATTCCTTCCCATCTCCTTTGTGATTCATCAAAACTGTAATAATGGTAGAGGAGATTATGTGAACCGTTAGTTATTTCGTTTCTTTTCTTTTTTCAAACTTGTAATCTGTATCTCATTGTAATTCTTTTGGGCAATTTTTAGGCTATTTAATAAAACAGTTTAGTCTGAGACCGTCTCTCTATCATATGATTTGTGAGTTCTATAAGTGTTGTTCCTTATTGTAGTCCATCGAGTGTGGAGAAGCAGCATGTTTACCTCTTAAAACCTCCACTCAGTGATTCTCTTCTTTCTCTATTAGAAACTGCAAAATATGTTTTCCCAGGATACTTCATACAACTTTCTTCAAAGGGTTATTGTTAGGATTGAGAAAATTCTTGTCCAAAAAAAAGATAAGGTAGCCGATAAAGTTGCACATTTTTCCTGTGAATCTTGGGTCAATTAAATATGACAATTGCTGTAACCAAAAAAAAAAAAAAATGACATAAAGTTGAGTTCAAACAAAATAGAGGTGAACTGGTTAGGGATGGATGGATCGTTTTACATAATACAAAAACCGCAAACAAAAAGATGAAAAGGTTAAAGGGAGCATCAAGGCATGTGTGTGCCCTGCAGTATTCTGAATGATCATTACCTCATTTTCTCCCTTTTTTTTTTTTTTTTCTGTTGAGCTTTCTCGTGTTATTCCTTCCTGATGTCTCATTAGGATTTGTATCTTTTCCTAGGATTTTGCTGCTTTTTTTTTTCTTTTTTTTTCTTCTTTTCAACCATCAAACCTTCATGAAATGCGTTTCTTGACGTGGGATGGATGACATTTGACAATATGCATGATTGATGAGCCATGTACGTCACACGCTTAGATTAGCATCTCGATATGATTAGATTAATGTTACTCACTCTGTCCCGAAATTATTATCCAATTTAAATTTTTTATTTCTAATATAAATTGAATTAAAAATAAAAAATCACAATCATTTTTGAGACGTTGAGTATTTAATATCTCTATTTCATATTAATAATTTACTTTGTGGAGAAAAAACGCACCCGCTTTATAGTTATTATAATAATAAATAAATCCATAGTTTCTTTGGAGCACCACCCAGAAAATCAGCTGGTTAGGTTTCATAACATTACTATTATTTTGAAAGTGAAATGGATACATCAGTTATTACGCTTTTGAAAATTGAAGCAAACCTATTCACTAACAAGGAATGTACGCTAGTGTGTGTTTGATTGACATTTTCCACGACCATCGATCTCTCTAGCTTTTCATGACCTATATGCTATTGTTTGGCATAGGCTACCAATTACGTGCAATTTAAGTCGTTATTGAATTCACCTTACGAGTGTACCTTTATTCGTTTTTTCTTTTTCTTTTTTTTTAAAAAAAGAATGTAAATTAATTTCAAAGTTTAATCAGACACCTATCAAGATTTATGGTCGGTATAAATCACTAAACAGAAGACCCTCCAAATTTTCATTTCCATGATTTTGCTACATGAATTCCAAAAGTAAGGAGAAGACCCTCCAATGAGACCGTGATGGGCATGATGATAAGGTTTGCTTGAATCAGATTGGTATAAGGAGCTCTGATGTGAGAGATGGATTGCCACCCCAAGATGACTTGACGTACGAATTATGTCTTTCTAATTTGATCTGGAATGGGCATACATGCAAACTGAAAAAGTAACAAAAACAACAAAGATGAAGGAAGAAAAAGTAGACATTTTGGTAAATGCCAAAATGAATTGTAGTTGTCTAAAAACAAAACTGAGGCTCGTGATATTTTGGCTCCACAAATTAGCTTCCTAGTTATATTTATAGTTGACAACAAAAAAAAATTGGGAGAAAGGGTCCCTTAAATTGCTGAATCAGTGAATTGGGCAAACTCGAACTATCCATCTCTTGCAAAATAATGCATAACAGGTTTGCAGTGACCTAACCAGCTTTGTGCCTTTGATCAGTCACATCGTGAGAGTATTAATTGATAGATCCACGTTTATGTAATTTTATGTATTTCTCCTCTATCTCAAAATTATTGTCGCGCTTGAAATTTTACTTTTAGTAAAATTTAAATTAAAAATGAAAACTCAAACTAGACAATAATTATGAGACGAAAGGAGTACATAATATCTATTATCAAACATATAATAAACTGTTGGGAACTAGAATCCCACATCAGTGTCGTGAAGAATCTGTCACTTATTTATAAGCTTCAAAGGCCAACCACTCACAGCCAACTGGTTTTGAGATGGGAGCCCAATGTACTTATATACTTTGACATGGTATCAGAGCGGTTTGGGCTTATGGTGGAGTTCTGGGTCGAAAGTAACCTGTGGTGATTTTATGTTTTCCTGCTTGAGTGTTGACTCGTGGGCTTGTTGTGGTCCGATCCAGCGGTATAACTGGCTTTTCTCCCACTTAAGCGTTGACTCGTGGACTTGTTGTGGACTGGCTTTCTCCCGTTTGAGTGTTGACTCGTGGGCTATTCTATTCTTGTCCCGATCCAAGTTCATTGGGCAAAAAGTTCGAAGAATCACTGGACTTGAGGGAGGGTGTTAAGGTGTATAATCTAGTCCCACTTGAGCGTTGACTCGTGGGCTTGTTGTGGACTGACTTTCTCCCGCTTGATTGTTGACTCATGGGCTTTTCTGTTCTTATCCCGATCCAAGTTCATTGGGCAAAAAGTTCAAAGAACCACTGGACTTGAGGGAGGGTGTTAAGGTGTATAATCTAGTCTCACATGACCACCATGAAGAGAAGTGACTCATTATATAAGTACCAAAGGCCACCACCTCATTGCCAATTGGTTTTGAGATGGAAGCCCAAAGTACTTATATACTTTGACATGGTATCAGAGTCCACGATCTGTGGACCTAGGCTCTACACTCAAGTCCAATGACCCGTGTGCCTTGGACTTGCGTGAATCGCTTTCGTGCGCACGGATGGGCTTGTTGTGAAGAATTATGGACCATTGTGCCTTGGACTTGCATGAATTGCATCCGTGAACACGGGTAAGCTTGTGGCAAATTATGCTGTGTTGTGTAACCCTAATGGGCCCAAAATCCCATTGGGCTTGAAGAGGGGTGTTAGGAAATAGAATCTCACATCGGTATCGTGAAGAATATGTCACCTACTTATAAGTTTCAAAGACCAATCCACTTACAGCCAATTGGTTTTGAGTGTAGAGCCTAAGGTAATTTTGACATAAACAGTTTCTCTATCAATTATATATAGAATTCTATTAAGGGAAGCTAATTTGATTTTAATTTCCATCATTTCTAGTTCTAGCTATAGTATCAAGACTTTTAGGGGCGATTTGTAAATCTATTACTCTATATTTTTTTTTATCGTTTTAAAAACTGAATTATTATTTTTTCGAAAGTTTTAGTGAACTTATGAACGAGTTAATTGTTTCATTCATGCCTACATTGACGCCTCTGAATGTTTTAGTATATCCAATTCACATAATCTCAGTAAACTTTTCTTTCTAAGTTCCAACTTTGTTGAGTTAACAATTATTATGTAGTACTTCGGATACTCTATTTGATCTGTCCTAAGAGTTAATTATAATTGATTCATGATTGGAATCGTTAGTGTCATGAAGTAGAAGTAGATTATAGTACAAATGTAGCTTGTTTCTTCAAAGCTAAGGCAGAAAATATTTTTGGTTTTTAGCAAAACATTGGATTTCACTTCTTCTTCACTCAAAGCTGTATTTATATCCTATATTGATTCCAGCATGCATGATCAATTTAATCAATTTTTTATTTTTTTTGCGCCCTTCTTCTACCTAACATTTCGATCTGCATTAAACTACCGACTGCTACCACATTCCCATGGAGTTCTCAAAATTCTCCAGTATTCAATTCTTTTTATCTAATCATTTTTTTAATACAACTTTTATTAGAAAGCAACATTTTGCCTCCCCTGTTTTTCCCTTTCGCGTCATGATCTGGTAATAATAAAATGAACGAAACAAGCAATAATTGAATCAAGAAAAAGACTCTTTTTTTTTTTTAAATGAATTCCTTTTCATAATCACATCTCTTTCACTAATTAAAGAAACGAGCTAGGGCAGAATTGATCCTTTCATTTAGCTTTGAATTTCTGATGCAAGGTTGATTTATGCACAAGCTAACATGGTTTTATTTGGTACTTTTATTACTAGTGTACTACACATGGCACCAAATTAAGTGCCAAAAATTGTAATATACTGTTAGAGTGCAGTATGGTTGTAACTATAAACTAAGAAAACGTGACTGCTCAATCCAATTTTTTTGTTTAACAATAATTTAATTCGAAAAGAAAAAGGCAAGTAATTAAACAATTTAATTCTTAAGGACAGATTATTGATCTATAGGCCTGCCCGCTAGTTTTTTTTTTTTTTTAATCCCCTAAATGTAAAGAATTACTATTCCCTTAAACATTTTGATCAAGCCATCGAAAATACCTATAACTTAACAAATTAATTACTGTCGAACGCCACTAACGATATACGGCATTTACACTAATGCATGCCGCGCGCCTTAGCCTCGATCAAAATGTCACATAGTACTCATTTTCACGAGCAGTTCTTATTATTTCGTTACGTGGTACTAATTAAGGATACTAATTATGTGACGAACCTACTCAAATTAATCAATCAAATTGTCATACAGAAACTACAAACCTTCATATTTTATTTTAAAAAAAAATTGTTTGTCATCTTCTAGGTTGGGTCATTATCTGTTATCCCTTTGACATACAAATTGTTTGTCCGCTAATCAAATTGCGTGATAGAATGAAACATCAAGAATGCATGTTAGAGATGCCTTTAGAAATGTCACTTTTTAATTTGCTGTTTGGTAGGCAGTAGGCACTCTAAGAATGTTTCAACCCTTAATTGGCTCATTATTATTCCATACAGTTAGTGGCTTCGTAACCTCTTCATTACGGGGTGTTATTTTAATAATTAGATTGAGGAGTAATTGCTTGACTTTCTCCATTCAACGATCGACATTGTCAAATGGAAATTCAATTGAATATATAGTGAAAGATACCTTATACCAGTCGATCAAGAATCGGTTCGTGTGTCTGGTTATAGCTAATCAAAATAGGGGGAAAAAACATCATAGAAAAATTAATGAAAATTGGTTAAATTCAATTCGACCTTAAGTTAGGCTAGGATTTGAAAAAAAAAAAAGAAGAAACAATTGAATAAACTTTTCAGACAAAATTATAAGGTTCCTTTGAATTGGATCATTATTCGATCAATTTTATTAAATCTTACAATCGATCAATTTTATTACTTGATTCAAGTGTTAAAACATATGAAGAGCGTGATTTTTCCTTGATGAAATGAAAATGTTCATTTGTTTGTGGTGAATGGTGATTAATCTCGTGGCATATCGAACAAATTAAGGAGGTTCACATGGTGGGGGGGTTGGAGAGTCATCTCATATATATGATGATGGTTTTATTGAAAGCTACCCTTTCCTTTTAGGCATTTCTTTACCTAATCGCAAAATAGGAAGAAAGAGCCCTTATAAAAAGGGGTTGCAGATGGGGTTGTGGGGTGGTCCATTATATATAAATTCTACGTACTCTCACGTTATTTCCACTTAATTCAAAATTCGCATTTATAAATTTGGCTTTTTGGCTTTGTTTCCCTTACTCTTCACTCACTTTCCAGTATTAGCAATCCAACTTTTGTGACTTGCCCCATAAGCATTTATGCGTTAAAAGCGAACTTTCACCTGTCTTTTTTTTTCTCTTTTTTTTTTCTCTTCGAAAATTGATACTTTTCCTAGCTAGCTAGGGTTAATCAATATTGAGTGTAGATGAGATAAGTTTTGTATACATGTTATTGATTGCTCTCACAGAATAGTATTTTCATTTTCCTCAAATTTCCAATAAGATCTCGACAATTTATGCATATGATTATATACGTTTTCCGATCATTTTATTTAAATTTTGTGTCTAAAAAATACAACCTGAAGAAGGATTATGCTGTCTAGAATGGGGGATTCAGCAGCCATTAAAGAACGGCTAATTACTCATATTTAGTCAGTTTGGAGTTGTTATACTATGCACATTAAGTGCACTTAGATCCTATTTTAATTATTTAATAATGGAGGAACTTCATATGTAATAACATATTTTTTTTTTCTTTTTGAATGCACATGTCCCTTCCACTTAATTTAGAAAATGGGTTTAATTTTTTTTTTATTATTTTCAAATGATTTTAGTTCTTAATCTGTAATAAACTAGACTAAGTGTCTTATATCATTTTGATAGTACTCGATGAGATCTATCCAACAAAATCCATCATGAATATGTTTTTTGAAACTTTAAAAAGTTTATGCAGTTGACTTGGTCATCCTAAAAGACGCTATAGTTTTACTTGTGTCTTTTAGGACCAAGACCTAGAACAAATATCAAAGATAAAAGGCCAAACACCAAAAATCGAAAACTAAAGATCAAAGACCAAAGACCAGAATGAATAGCGAGTATGTATGAGGAGCAAAGATCAAAGACCAAACTAGGCCCTAACCAACACGAAAATGGTTAAACCCCCTAAACCCTAAACCCTAAACCCTAAATAACTAGACCCTAACCGACACGAAAATACTTAAACCCACTAAACCCTAAACACACTAATATTTTTTTTTTAGTTTAAATTCTTTTAAACCAAAGCCTAATTGATTTAAAAAAATTTCATAAGGTTAATTGTGTTACGGCACAAATTAGGCCCTAACCGACGCGGAAATGCTTAAACCGCCTAAACCGTAAACTCTAAACAACTAGACCCTAACCGACAAAGAAATGCTTGAACCCCCCAAACTCTAAACACACTAATATTTTTTCAATTTTTTATCTTTGGCCTTTGGTCTTTACTCCTCACATACGCTCGTTTTTAATTCTAGTCTTTGGTCTTTACTTTTTAGTCTTTAGTTTTTGGTCTTTGGCCTTTGGTCTCTGGTCTTTGATTTTCGATCTTTGGTCTTTGTTCTTTGGTATTTGGTCGTTGGCTTGGATCTTTGGTCTTTGATATTTAATCTTTGGTTTTTGGTCTTTGGTTTTTGCTCCTCACAATACGCTTTCACTTTGGTCTTCGATCTTCGGTTTTTACTATTTGGTCTTCGGTTTCTTGGTCTTTGGTCTTTGGTCTTTTGTCGTTGTTCCTCACACACGATCGCTCTTTACTCTGGTCTTTGGTCTTTGCTCTTTGGTATTTAATTTTGGTCTTTGACCTTTGGCATTTGGTCTTTTTCTGTAGGTCTTGGTTCTAAAAGACACAAGTAAGACCAGAATGTTTTTTAGTAAAACCAAGACTACTATAGAAATTTTTTTAAGTTTCGAAAAATATATTCATCATGAATCTTGTTAGATAGATCTCATCGAATACTATCAAAATGATATAAGACATTTGATGTAATTCTTTACATATTGAGAGAAAAAATCATTTAAAGATTAAAAAAAAAATTGAAACCCATTTCTTAAAAAAAAAAAAAGGAAAAGTGATGCGTGTGTTTCACCTAACTCATAAAGACTTATATGTAGAGCCTTTTTTCTTATATTAATTGTGAAATAAGAATTTATATGTACCGAATTACATGCACTTAATGTGCATGGTATAATTTTTGGTACCTTCTAAAAACGTTCACGTACTTGGTCAAATTAATCTGTCATATGTCAAATGAACAAAAAGTCAAACTCCAATTGCAGAAGTAACAGAACCCATTTAAAATTATGAATTTAATCAAGTGGAAATTGACCGTTAATCTTCCATTAATAATATTAGGATTAATATATTTATTTTGAGCTTTTTACTAATACAGTTGTTGATGCATATTTGTTTTTTTTTTTTTTTGGGCATATTGTTTGGAGGAATTGATACTTCGCACGGATACTATTGTATATTAATTTATGAACATTTGCATGATTAAGACTTGCCGAACAAGTGAGCAATTCCAGCAAATTTTTTTCCCAGTTTGTCGGTACTTGTCATAACATTGTTAAATTCTATAATATTGTAACTAAAATGAAGAGACATTTGGCGATGAGTTTGAGCTTTTCAATTTTTAACTCTAACCCGATGATAGATCTACGCTGTGAAAGTCCAAATAGGAGTAATTACTGCCTGGTAATATGCTCTCTCTCTTTTTTTCTTTTTTTTTTGGGATAAACACCTGGTAATATACTCTAGTACAAAGGACATTACACTCTACATAATTGGGAAATTAAAAAATATACACGATGAAAAATGTTCCGAAAAGGATATTATATAAATCAATTGTTTCCTTAGATAAAATGTATAGCTTGAGAATAACAGTCTAGTAATTGGGATATTGTGTTTTATGGTATTAGACTTGAGTTTAATTCCCACAAAGATATGTAAGGGAGGTTTTACATATATTTAAGTAGGGTTCACTAGGATAGATTTTTTTTTTTAATAAAAAAAAGATAAAATGTATAGGTAGCCTCTGTAGAAGGATAATTTGGCTGTAGATATGCATTTGGAAGCTCAATTATTAATATATCAATATTTCAAAGATTATACTTTTTACGTTTTAACAAAATAGTTCACATCGAATTTTAAGATTACTAGAAATAATACAAATTTTAAAACGCAATGTAGACTATATTTTTGAGAATGACGGTATAATAATTTTTATGTAAACGAAATTTGTAATTAAATTGCTATTGAACCATTCAACAGCGACTTTATCGTCATTCTTATAATTACCAAAAAATCACCGATTGAAACTGTAAGGTTACGTTGGTTTCTTTTAAACGAAGGGATACCAACAGCATCTCCGACTGGCATTTTCCGGCTCGAAGGAAGCGTAATTCTATAGTTAGGGCAGCTGCAGAAGACAAGGATGTAGTACCCGATGCATTTAAAGTTTTAACAACGTAGTAGTATTCTACTTCGTAATCACCAGTCAATCTCTTGGTTTTGTCAAATAGTTCAAGTTGTAAATAATAAAGCCAAATTTTACTTATTACAACACGTACTATCTTATACTAGGATTTTTTTATGCCATTAAACTTTTGTTATTTATAGTACAATCATTAAATACTAACAGCCAAATATAATTTGAGGAATATTGTACCCAAAAAATGGTGACTTAATTAGCCAAGAAATGAAGATAGGGAGAGGAAAAGAAAAAAAGAAAGGGAGAGGAAAAAGAATGCTAGAAAGCCGTTGAACAATAGTTTTCTAGCCTCCAAAAATTAGGCGTTTGCGTGGAATTTTCTTTGAAGGCAGCACATTTTTAATACCGATGAGGCATTTTGCTTCTTGCACTCAACGCTTCGTAGCTGCAACTCATCTTCGGATACCTACTATAATCCTTAATTTTGTGATTGTATTCAAAACCCCTGGTTTTCACTTGTGTTTTCTGTTTGTTGGTCAAACGATGACAATTCTATATTGATTATGGTTTGTTAATTTCATGGTGTATTTGTATTATTATGAAATGATTAAGTCATGTTTGTATTTCATTGTGAACGGATAATTATCATTTTAGTTGGTCACCATAAGGAATTTTTTTGCATATTGTAAGAGGGTGTCCGACGTCGGTAACAGTGACTAATTCCCTCGCTCATAGAACACCTCGATGGGTAGGACTTGTGAGAGTTACTAAGAATTTTTAATAGAAAAAAGAAATCTGTCAATTTCCCATCTCCTTTTATGCATTAAAAGGGGAAAGGGTAAAGAAAGACCAAGGTGAAACCGGTTGATGAACTTTTCGACTTTTTTAAAAGGCTTATCTTTGCTAATGAAAGAAAACTAGGGAAGACATTTCTAAAGTGAAGCACTCTTGGTCAGTTTTATTCCCTAAAAAATTTCATTGCGGAATGTTCTTCAAGCACTTTCTGAAAACCATATTTTTAGAAAGTTAACTTTAAAAGAAGCCGTTTTGGTAAAAAGTTAAAGCAATAGAATATATCCGCAACAAAAACGTAAGAGAAATTACTTTTTTTTATACTATACAAATCAAGACCTTAATTAGTACCAATGATTAGGACAGTCTAATTGCCACACAAAATTAGTCTTTATCCAGCACTGCACACATTAATATAGAGAGTGATTTATATGTAATATGTCAAAAAATATTTTAAAAAAATAAAAATAGGAGTTTTGGTTCTTAAATTGCTCAACTACCCCTCAATTTTTCCCTCCAATTCACATTAACTAAATTCACAGAAAATAAGGCCATAAAAGATGTTAGTTTTCAATCTTATTGTCAGTTCTGCTATATACATGCAGTAGTACTGCTGCCACAGAAAAGAATCCAATATAAAAGACCCGGTTTTTTTTATTTTTCCATTCATGTTAACATCTTTTACTATTCATTTCCTTTACTCTCAACAGTCACCGGAATCTTGATTCTCAGGTCATCGGAAGAAAGCCCTTTTCTAGCCAATGAATCTTCACCCACATGGGGAAAGAAATCATCAGTGTTGAGCAGGCAACTGTGCTCATATCTTCACTCATCTCTGTTTCTCATTCAATTAGAGTTTTCGCTGTGAAGTGGCAAATAATCCGAGAAAGGCTTGAAGAGCTTCTTTCCAGCCTCACAGTCATAGAAAACTGCGATTCCATCGAAAACAACCCTTCATTTCTTGCAACCCTTTCAGCCATTTTAGCGTCTTTGAAGGATTGTGAAGATCTTGCCAAGAGATGTTTGGGGGTTTCTTACAGCGGGAAGCTGCTGATGCAGAGTGATCTTGATATCGTTTGTGCTACGTTGAGGAAACATAATAAGAGTCTCTCTGATATTTACAATCTTGGATTGCTCACTCAGAGTAACGCAATTGTGTTATCAAGGCCTAATCTTGGAGCTTCAAAAGATGACATGAAGATTTATGTCAAGGACTTGTTTTCAAGGCTCAAAATTGGTTGTCCAGATATGAAAAGGCAAGCTTTGATTTCTTTCAATGAAGTCAGTCAAGATGACGATAGATATGTGAAGGTTGCTCTGGAACTTGAAAGCTTTGTTCTTTTTCTTGTGAATTTTCTTGATTCCCAGGAACATGAAATCCAAGAAGAAGCTGCTAAAGCAGTTTCTGTAATTGCTGGGTTTGAGGTATATAGAGGGGTATTGATTAGTGCTGGAATTATTGCTCCATTGATCAGAATTTTGGAAAGTGGGACAGAATTGAGTAAAGGGTTTGCAGCAAACAGTCTCCAGAAATTGACTGAGAATTCAGAAAATGCATGGTCAATCTCTGCTCATGGTGGAGTAACTGCCCTATTGAAACTCTGCTCCAGTACTGGTGATTGCCCTGCTGGATTAGTAGCACTGGCATGTGGGGTGCTGAAAAATCTGGTTGGTGTTGAGGAAATCAAGAAATTCATGGTTGAAGAAGGAGCAATTCCAGCCTTGATTAAACTCATAAGGTCCAAAGATGGAGCCATAGCTTCTTCACAGATAAGTGCCATTGATTTTCTTCAGACAATGGCTTCTGGAGATGAATCAATCAAGGCAATGATTGTTAAAGAAGGTGGGGTTCGGGCATTAGTCCGTGTGTTGGATCCCAAATTATCATCATCATCAAAAGCAAAGGAAATTGCATTAAAGGGAATCATGAACTTATGCATTCCTTCAGCAAATTCCTTTGGATTGTTGCACAACTATGGCTTCTTGGATCACATCTTGTATTTCCTTCACTATGGGGAGAATTCAGTTCAAGAATTGGCATTAAAGGCTACATTTTGGCTGAGTGAAACATCAGATGAAGCCAAAAAGGCAATGGGGGATGCTGGATTCATGCCTGAAGTTGTCAAATTTCTGGATTCAAAGTCATTAGAAGTGTGTGAAGTGGCAGCTGAGACACTGTACAGCCTGTTTTTGGTACCCAGAAACAGGAAGAGATTTGTGCAGAGTGACCAGAATGTGGGATGCTTTTTGCAAACGCTGGACCAAATGGAGATGATCAATAATTATTCAGGTAACAAAAAGCTCTTGCTCTCCATATTGATGTCATTAACCAATTTCAACAGTGCAAGAAGAAAGATTGCAAATTCCGGGTACTTGAAAAAGATTGAAAAACTTGCTGTGGAGTCTGACAATTCCGATGCCAAAAAGATTGTCAGAAGGTTATCCTCCAACAGATTCCGAAGCATTCTCAATGGAATCTGGCATTCCTGATCTAAAAGTCATGATCTTTTTAGTTACTAAATTTTGTACTGTCATAAATTGAGCAAAAATCCCAGTTGTTAATATAGGTAATATACTAAATTAAATTCCTTTTCTTCATTTTTCATCATCATATAGCATTAATTTATTTGTTCATAGAGTTCCCACTCTCTTTGTAAGTTTGTTTGAGAAATAGTGTACAAAAAGGGCCAATATGGAGGCCAATAAATGGCATTAAAGTTATCCTTTTGGTTGGATGGGAATTAATGAAAATCATATATAAGAAGAAGAAATTGAAGGATATGGAATTGGACTGTTGTAAAATAGGTTTCTTTTGGTGGTATATTTTGTCTTTGTTCATAAAATAGGTCACATGGGAATGGCATGAGATTGAAGATTGGGCATGTGAGTAGTAGCTATCAATGAATTGTATAGCTTGAATTTTTGTGCTAGATGATAATACTATGATATGGAGGAATTGGGCAAAATGTCTCTTCATATCAATGCCCTCATTCTCTCCTAACAAAATTAATTTGTAGAACCACGTAAAACATAACAACAAAATAAAATATTCCCTCTGTCCCAAAATTATTGTCCGGTTTGAGATTTCACTTTTAGTATAATTTGAACTAGAAATAAAAATCCAAACTGGACAATAATTATGGGAGGGAGGGAGTATATTTTTTTCGTTAATGAAGAATTTTTTTTTTTATAAAAAAATATATAGGAATTATTTTTTTGGATGGAAAAAGTATCAATTGTAATACAATGTCTCTTTCATCCACACTGCGTTTTATTTGTGCTCATGCCGTATAGTTATAGCCATACGTGTTTTGTCTCTACTACCTACTAGCTTGTGAATTCGGTTTGTTCATTCACGTCCAGCGATCAACACTCAATCACGTGAAAACTATCATATCGCTAAATCAACATTTTACATTGTCCAAAAAAGAATCTAATAATCATCCTTAGATATGGATCAAGTAAAGAAGAATGCCTTGGAATGATGTAAGTGGCTACTCTTTTGTCCGTCAAATTTAGTGTTTATATTAAATTAGACTATGCATCCAATAGATTATTTGATGATTAGTCAAAGGAAAAATGTTTGTACATTGATTTAATTGGTTAAAATAATCCGGTGGAAAAAAGATGCGTAAATAGTTCAATACTTAAAAAGTTTAAACCAATTAGTTAAGAATCCCGTTTTATTTGCTAATTATCACATATATTAGCAACTGTTAACCATAGAAAGAATGAAAAACAGAATTTTCTCGTATAGAACCTCACTCAGAAATTGACATCATTTCTTTGTCACACTCTAAATCGTCCATTGGATCGGCATTATTGAAGCTTAATAAATTAATATAGGTTTCTTGGCCAAGTAAATATTAGCATAATCGTGATGGTGATTGGGCATATTGTTTTGATTCTTCACACAAGAGGGGAAAGAAGAGATCAGGATAGAAATGGATTTAGTGACAAGTCCATTGAATAGGATGTTCGAGTAATTAGTGAAACATTGGGGGGACCATTATCCAACATCCTATCTAATTCTCCCATAAGCTTACGGTTTGCTACTTGGGCTACTTGCTCTTAGAGAAATGAAACATAATACTCCCTCCGTCCCATAATTATTGTGTAGTTTTACTAAAATGAAATATTTTATTTTTGGTCAAACTTAACTATATTTTACCTTAAACAACCGGATATACTCACACATAAGTAATTGTTTAACCACTAAGATTTTATGGATAATGTTTTTTACTAAGGACAATTGTGTAACTTGATCCATAAAAAGTCAAATTGGACAATAATTTTGGGACAAAATTTTTTGGGCAAAGTGGACAATAATTATGGGACGGAGGGAGTAATATTTTTTACCTTCCAAAAACAAAAATCAAGTTTGATGAGTATTATTTTTTAGCTCAACAAAATGAAGTACAAAATTATAACGAAAGCGAGCACAAGTTTACGTTATATGCATGCTGCTAGAGAATTACACTCTGTACAGGATAAGAAAATTTATATGCCCTAAAATAATATCATTAGTTCAATTTGAGATTTGATCATTAGTATTATTTGAATTAAAAATGAAAAACTCAAATTAGACAATAATTTCGGGACGAAAGATGTATCATTTTTTCATCTTGGAACATTCAATAAAGACTTAAAAAAGAGTCTCACTAAAACCGGAAGAATAAGAGAAAATCTTTTCAGTAAAGATATTAACATCTACCTATAATCTACTGTACTATCCGCCTACAGCCTACAGAGAAATTATAAGAGGCCGGTGAGGGTGACCAGACAAGTTGCAAAGATCAAATCACCTGTTTCCCTCATGAGTTTTCAGTTCCCAAATTGACCTCACGGGCTTAAACTATCTGGTAGCTAAGCAATTCATTAATGACTCACACAAAGAAACTGTGGGTATCACGGGATGATGTCTTATGGTTTTCAAGGCCCGATGTCTTTAAGCCCGTCTTGAGCCACTACAACATGGAGATGTTATTGTTTTCATCTCATGTCGCAATTCAAGAAGCCCAAATAACAGGGGAGAACAAAATGGATGGTTGCAAGCCTCAAATTATTGCGTTGTCCGTTGACAATCTTGAACATTTGGAAGGAGGGAGTATTCCTTTTGTCATAAAATGATCCGGTTTGGATTTTTAATCATTTTTGGCCGGAATTTTTCCTTTTTTTTTTTTTTTCTTAACAAAAAAAAAAGACTGAAAACAACAGATATGCTGTTATTCATCTATTAGCAGATGCTTTAGTAGCACTTGAAAGTTCTAAGCATCAAATCTGGTGATGTTTGAACTCCAGTGGTTTATTATACTACTCCATATCAAAATTAGTTTGACCCAGATAAAATGTGATGGGCTTTACAATTTATGTTTCTTTTATTATGTCACTGGGCTTATATGGGGTGAACTTTAATAATGGACTTCAGCTGGCTGATCCTTCTTTTCCTATTTGGGCTTTTTCCCCTTAGGCTTTTTACAAATTGTCCACTTTGCCCAAAAAATTTTGTCCCAAAATTATTGTCCAATTTGACTTTTTATGGATTAAGTTACACATTTGTCCTTAGTAAAAAACATTATACATAAAATCTTAGTGGTTAAACAATTACTTATGTGGGAGTATATCCGGTTGTTTAAGGTAAAATATAGTTAAGTTTGACCAAAAATAAAATCTTTCATTTTAGTAAAACTGGACAATAATTATGGAACGGAGGGAGTATTATTTTATAGTAATTGTAGGTAGAGTTTTGTAAAGCAATTTGAGTACAACATGCGATGAAACTATAACCCCCACGGCCCTATCCAAACGTAATCAGAAGCATTTGAAAATAACGTATAAACAAAGTTTGGTTACAGTCAAATTAAGTCTCAGTTTGGCAGAAAAACTATCCGTTTGTTTCACATGGGTATCCAAATCTTAAGCAAAATGTACGCATTGACCTTACACTATCCGTTTATTTACTAAATTTGATTTCCCCTGCATTCTGACTTACGCTAGTTTTATACTCCCTCCGTCCCATATATAATTATTGTCTAATTTGGATTTTCGTTTCTAGTTCAAATTGTACTAAAATTGAAATATTAAACTGGATAATAATTTTGGGACGGATAGAGTATAATTAATCTTGCTAATTAAACAATTCCCTGGAGAGTGTTTAATCATGCTTCTGCAAAAATTTATGCTTTTTTTCTTTTCATTTTCCCTTTTTTTTGGGGGTGGTTTTGGTTTGTCGTGTTATGTTTCCTAGTATACCATCCGTCGTTCCAGTGTTTATTAATCTAGTGTTTAAGATATACCCATTAAATTGAGTCCATTAAATTAATAATTAAAATTAATTTAAATTAACAGCCGTCGATTGTTGTCGTTGTCCTTCTATTACAATTTACTGGGTTTGCTGTTATCACCTGTCATCTTGTTTGTAGGTTGACCTTTGGTTTTACTCAAAGGATTGTTTTTCCCTTTCTTATCTTTTCCTTTGTTTTTAAATGTTTCGGTTCATTGCCTCGGACGATCCAAAATGGATGGTTTACTTGTACCCCCTACAATTAAGAGAAATAAAGTAATTGGTCGAATAAATATTTATTATTCAATTTTTTTTGTGTGTGTGTACTTGTGAAATTAACTTTATATATATATATATATATATATATATATACGTACGCTATGTTTTTGGGCGTAGGGTTTTGAATAAATATTAACGTATTAAATGTGTCCCTCATAGTGAAAGCAGATGGCATGGTGTGTGGTATCCACCATACTTTGATAATGTGGTGTGGTAATAATTTTATTTATTTTTTTGGGGGGTGATGATTGGAACAATTCAATCCCTTGAACTGGAAATGAAATTAATGGAAATACGGAGAATAAGAATAAAAGTGTTATGTGACATATAAATCATCCATCGTCTTTTCATTGTTGACTCCATGTGCCTGGGTCGTACCGACATCTTAAAATAGATGAATGATGATATATCGCTTTCCCCCTCATTTAACAGTTTACAAAAGTTGCTGTTAAAATTTGTTTTCTTTTTTTACATCCCAGTGAAATAATTTTTGTTTGGAAACACCTTAAGTAAGCTTTCAATTAGAAAGGAAGAATACATATTTAAATTACATGTACGCAAGTACGCTGTTAATCGTGACCATGCATGTTACTTACTACACCATGATTAGTGTAAATGTTACCTCAGGAAATTCACTTCCTTCATTTGTTTTAATGTAGATTTTTTTTTTTTCTCCCTGGTTATTGAAAAAAGAAAAAAAGCCTTATCTTTCAAGCCAATCAAGTTGGCACGCATGTTGTTAAGAGTGTTAAATTTGAGTAATTTCTCCCAAATTGGATGCTTGAGAAAAAATTACTACGGTTTAATTAACAACGGATTGAAGGTGCATTATACAGTCTCTGAAAGTCACATGGTCCAGTTGCCGTAGAAAAAAATAAAAATAAAACAATCCTCAAATAAAATTAAGGGAAACAGTTATTCGGGTAAATTAATTCATAGTGCATATAGTGTAGTACTTCCTGTCTTAAAAAAAAAAAGAAATAATTCGTATTAAATTTTGATGTGAATTGTTCTTTTTGAAAAAAAAAAAACGACTGAGGAAGTACATAATAACAATAAAAAATCTAGGGGATATTTCAAAAGGCAAGGCAAGATTTGATAGAAAATATGATGGCCTCATGTCTTCTTATCTATGGAGCAATGCAAAACAAAGCCAAAATGTTATGGCGGCTCGCTTTTGGTTATTATGGTCGATCGATCACTACAAAATACAACTTTCCGTCCACAATGTGAAAAAGAGAAGATATACATATCATTGTATACATATATCTTAATGGAAAAGGTCTTCTCTTTGAGTAATGAGCTAACACAAAAATTTTAGTTTGGAAAATATATAGTATTATGTATCCCCCCCATTCACCCATTGTCCAATTGTGGTCCTTCCTTGAATTGAATAATATATGGGTTAAATTTTATATATTTATCTGTTGATTGTTTAAGTTATCGGCCGGTCTACGTTAAGACGGGACGTCTTAACTAGTTGGTAGATATGGAGAGCTAGCTACCAACCAATGGCTTTTAGCCTTTAAGGGTTTGGGGAGTGGAATATGGCGATATGCATTTTTAAAAAAAAATAAAATTGCCCAAAATATCTTGGATGATTCAACT